CTGATGTTTTTCATGCCTTAGTTGGCGTCACCGTTCCGGTAAACAAATCACTATCTTACAATTTTCCCTACCCAACAAACATAACTAGTATTTGCACGCTGCTGGCCCCTATGCAGACAGCGCTCAGCTCGCGGCGGTCATGCCCAAATTAGCTTATCAAGTTTTCTTCGAGAACTATACAACAGAAGCCGTAGCTGAGCTAAACAAGGACATCAAGAGAAGCCTACGCGCTACGTTGCGCACAGTAAACAGCACCCCTCCAGATAGCTTCCTCACAAGCACCACTACTTATCTCGGTGCATATGACAACGTGACGGAGGTATGATTAGCGCTCATCCTAGGACATAGCTTAGCTAATCTTGACTAGATTCCTCCAATCCCGTTCTTCACCTCCTCCGATGAAAAATATTTTGTCGAACGGTTCAGCTCACAAAAATTTGACCATAGTACGAAACAGAATTCATCCGATACCATACTAAGCTAATCGATTCCCCGCAGCTCTCATATTCTACACTCGCGGAGTGCGTAGATGACTTCTTAAAATGGAACCCATAACTGAATGAGGATTTGCTTACTAGAATCGCTATGGAACGTGGCAATCTACTCAAGCGCAAGGAAATTACACCATTCCCCAGCCCGTCTTGTCTGTTTTGCCTCTCAACGTGGGTCATCTGTCCATTTGCAGGACCCTACTCATGTGCACCATCACTCTAGGATCCTGTCGCAGACTGGGTATTCGCCGCTAGATACTTGAGATCTGCGACCCTTTTGCCACAATTGACGACCAAGGTGCGTGATTTGATCTGATGCTCAGGAATACGTGACGATCGAATGTAGACAATGGAAGGTGCCCACTGGCCCCACCTCGAGCACTCGCGAGTGTTTAATGACATTCTCAGAGCATGGTTGGAGACCTTGGAACATTCTCTCACGCCAACCCAGCGAGTCTTCTCAGATGAATTGTAATCCACGACCTATTATTCACAATTCAAGGAAGTGGCGTAGACACTCAAGGACAAGTGTACAATAACAATAGCAAGCATGACACATTATGTACATGGATCTGTGGGGTAATCCACTAGATGAACATATCTGGACGTGTGAGGGGTTACTATGTAGGAACAACATAGACAGCGTGCATAAGTACAGTACAGCATAGGACAGTAGGGTCATACAGGTGCATACATCGCTGGGGTAGATCACAACATTGCATTGAACAAGTTACGCTTCAGGAAAGCCATTACCATTCTGCAAACCGACACCCAAGGTCTGGCGGAGCAGCATTTCAACACGATCCCGCTCCTCGTTGATGCGCCCCATCTCGTCCTCCCAGCGTGCGACGCGGTGGTCGTATATTGAGCGTAGAGCACCGAGACTACCAAGAGCAGTCTCGAGCGCGCGCTTGAGGTCGCCTTCCCGCGATTCCGAACTGCCGTCGGAACCATCACCAGAGGAAGTGGAGTTGAGAAGCCTCTCGACAAGCGTCGTGCCCTTGGCGCGGGATGCTCGTCGACGAGCAGCAACGCCTCGGAAAGAGTTTCGGATATTATGCATGCTCGGAGACTGCGTCCCTATTTCACGACGAATCGAGCGTGATGTCAAGGCATGCAGTTTTGTAGAATGCGAAGGTGCAGCAAGGAGGACCATCGTCGTATCCGTCTCACAATCAAGTGCTTGGAACTATGATAGTATGGCGGTCAATGTCAGCATCCACCCATGGCTTTTGATGACATGTCATCTCACCGCCTGCTGCAGAGCCTCCCACCGTGTATCCCACCTCCTCCGTCTCTTTTCGATATTGTTGACGTAGTTCGGGTGATACTCCAAGTCTAACAAGTCATCCTTGTCGTCCTCGTCCTCGTCCACCCACTCAGCGCCCTCATCAGGCACCGTCCCATTCACCCAGTTCCCCTCCTCAGCAACCTCAAAATGATCCTCACCAGCGGTCTCCTCACCAGATGAGTACGGCTCTGGGCTAGTGTCTCGTGGCTGCGTGCTGTCCACACGTGGCGGCGGCTTGATCTTCCGCTTCCGAATTGTGCTCTGGACTCGTAGATCCGCGGATGCCTGACGACGCTTTACTTTGCCAGTCGGAAACGGAAGGCTGACTGGTTGATGGCTCGGGCTCGACTGGATACTCATCGTTGCAGTGGAGTCGAAACGCGGCCGTACGCCTCCTCCGAACGCACGAGATGCCTGCAAGAACGCCCATGGGTTGTATCCAGGTCCAGGGAAGGGCGTTGACGATGGTGAGAACGTGGAGTCTGATAATGCTGCATGGTTGTTCAAGGCGTACATCTGCATCTGGAGAGCGAGTTGCTCTTCAATCACCGAGGGATGGTTGGGGTCGTAGTTGGAGGAAGGCGCAGTGTGGATGGGATAGGCAGAGTAGGTGTTGTTGCGTCGAACGTGAGAGAATGGGTAAGGATAGGGCGAACCCACTGGAGGTGCTGGACTAGCTTGCATGCTTTGCATGCTAGATATCAATGGTGACGGAGCAGCAGTTTGGCTGTGAGGCGTGGGTGGTATGGGCGCAACTGGGCGAGGAGACTGGAAGTAATGAGATATATAAGCAGCTGCAGCGTCATCATGAATCTGATCATCCGAGTAGACCTGATTTTGCAATGGGTGAGGTCGTCCGTTGCTCTGCTGTTGCTGTTGCTGCTGTTCTGCACCACGTGTGTCCGAAAACATGCGGCTGTGTTGGTTCCGCAAATTATGCTCTGGCACAGAGTCAATCTGCTCAGTCGTCAGCCTCACCGGAAGTGCAGGCGACTCACGGCGCTCCTCAGTAGATCTGACGGGAGGCTTTTCAAAGACGGCTGCGTCGAAGCTTCGGAGACCAAGTTGGTCTGTGCTGCCGTTGCGGTGGTGTTTTGTGAGGCTCGAAAGGCGCTGATTTGCAGGCTGCGTAGGGTATTGCCTCGCGGGATACGGTTCAGGTAAGCTGGCAGTGGGTGAACGTGGGGTATACGACTCTATTTCACCGTCGTGGTCTCTGTTACCGTCGACGGGGTAGTCATGATCATTTTCGATGAGAGTGTCATTATCATCATCCTCGTGATAGTCATTACCGTGGGTATAGTCGTCAAGGTTCTTAGGGGTTGCGATATCGTCTTCTGGTTCTTCTTGGACAGGCAGTGACTTGTCGGGAGTTCGGGTCTTCATGGCCTGCAAGGGAGGTGTATTGCTTGCAAGCTTGCTAGCTGCAGGTGGCGTGACACGAGCATTGTCAACGACAATGGCTTTCCGCGCAGTGAGCGGCGGACTGGGAAGCCTAAGGGAAGAGCTTCCGTTAGATTGATACGAGTCCCGCTTATACGAGACGTAGTCTACGTCCACTGCAGTCACACTCTCACCGCCCGACGAGCCAGTAGGCGTGTGGTAAGGAGGAGAAGTGCGCTCAGGAGAGGGCACACGCTGCTGGGGGTGTCCCGAGGGTGAGTAGGACGGAGAGCCAGTCTGACTGGACGGGAGGGAACGCTCGCGTGCACGAGTACTATCGCTCGGCTGCACTTCCTTCTCGCGTTCGACAACGCGGATAGAACGGGAGCGCTGCATGCTGCTGCTCCCTTGACCGTCTGCGTCCTTTGGACTCGTTCGTTCGTTTACGCGGACACGATCACCGACGGGGTCTTTGAGAGGTGATGGCACCTCACGTACATACACAGCACCGCTAGCAGCGCCACCGGCGTAAGCGACGCCAGACATTCCAGGCACGGGTGGCTGCTGACTCAGAGCCTGCGCGTAGTCTGCTCGCTCAATCTCTGCCATAAGCTCTTCTGTCATTTGCCAATTCTCCTCGATTGCGTGGAAGTGTGTTAGGAACTGGGGAGGAGGGACCCTGTTAATAGGGCGCGGATAGCCCATTTGTGGATTCATGAGATGAGCGTGGATGTTTGGCTGACTGAGTGAGTGTTGGGGCAGAGGAGGGGGCTGATGCATGTTGGGCTGACTGAGCGAATGTTGGGGAGGTTGTGCTTGGTGCATGCTGGGGTGAATAGAGGCCGAGGGAGAATAGTGCCTCTGAATTGCTTCTTCTCGGATATGAGAAGGCTGATTGAGTGGAGATGGGAGTTTGGTCACGTTAGGCGCGGCTTGCGCGAGGACCGGCGGCGAGGAAGTTCGTTTTGACTGCGGGGAGATGTTTGAAGTGGTAGGACTGGCTTGTTGTGCCTGGCGCTGATTCGCAGGCTGAGTTGGTGTTGCGTAGATCTGCATAACGGAGGGTACGATAGGCAGAGATTGAGCCTTGATCGTCCTTTGTCTCGGAGATGGGGACATTTCACGAGGTGGTGTGTTCTGGGAGGAACCTGGCATATAAAGGGTGAGTTTTGGGGTTTGGAGCGGTTATTGGATAAGAGAAGATCCGCTAGCGTTGTAATAACGAGTGGTGAATGACAATGAAAGAAGTGTGATTATTGTACTAGGAGACGTAAAATAGACGACGATGTGTGAAGGAACGGACTAAGGTCCGGAACAAGCTAATCATGATGGTTGATGGTGATCTACACTTGCCAAGGCTGCGATGGGAAGAATAGACACGAGAGCAAAAAATAAATAGGACGAACCTTGAACACCGGGGAACATTTGAACTTTTCTTTGTTTATGTGGGGACTGTGAAGTTGTCATGGGCTATATCGGAGCTCACGATGACTTGTTGTTGTGCTCGCTGTTGATGGTGGTAGAAAGAGATCTGAGAAGATAACGAGTTGAAGAATGCGCCAGTCAGCGCAAGTTCAAACGTACGCGCGTTTCCAACGTGGCCTGGTGCGTTGCAAACAGACAGTAGGGGTGGAAAAGGGCCGTGATATTGGAAGCGCTGCCTCGAGGCAAAGCCTGACAAGGAAGTCCGGATCCAATCTCACAGCACATTTCATTCCTACTAGCCTAGTCGAGTAGCGCTGGGCTATGTATGTGATTTCCTACGTTCATAAGTAATTAGGTACTCACCAAAATTTTGATCAAAAGGCAGAATGGAAACACGGTCACAACAACAAATGTCACATTACGGAAGTCGTCTCGAATCCCATTTGATGGCGTCCAGTGCAAGGTGAGTTTTTCATCAACACGAGTCCGGGATCATCTTCACTAACTCTACCATAGCTTTCTACAGATATATGAATCCCTTCCAGCAGATGCACAGCACGCTCTTGTCGAGAACTCACTCGCACCTCTCCTCGATGCAGTTTCCAAAGAAAAATCAAACCACATTCTTGCATCAGCAGCACGCATGCACAAAACATATGCCAGCATGCCATCCTTGAATCTCAAATCGAAAAAGTTGGAGATCGCTTCACTCCTCGACGAACTCGTTCGCGACCACAAACGTTCTTTCGTGAAAGAAAAGTCTCGTAAAGAAGAACTCCTCGCAGAAGTCATCGAGAGCGTCATCGACTGGCTCAACGATATCTGGAGACTCGTATACGAATACGGTACAGAATTTTCAAAGGCACATGATTATCTTTTGTATGCGTCTAAAGCGGTCGAACAGATCGGTAACGTGCGAGTCGGGTAAGCTATCATCTCCTCCTTGGCGTAGCTTATATCGTTCCAGGTGCAAGTGTTCTTTCATGAACATGTACATCTCTGTAAAGATCAGGCGTTCCTCTGGCAAGGTCGTCAAGTCTTTTCATTTCACTGGCGCACACAACCTCCATCGTGTCATGCTTTGGATTTGGCGCGACCTTTTCGTAGTTATGCTTGCCGATGGCACTAAGCGTCAGAAGTCTGCCATTCCAGATATGCTAGACGACATTCGCTCCGAATTCGGCTGGAACGCCCTCGAACGATTACTCTACGGTGGTCAAAAACGTAAGCTCCACTGACTCGACTACACTGTGATGACCTTTACACCATGGCACCAGCTGATGACGACTTTGATGACGATGATGATTTCGATTGCGACGATGACTACAGCGAAGACTATCCTGACACTGACGGAAACTCCGATGACACCACCAGCGATGCTCAATGTGCTTGTGGTTCACACGCATCACATTGGTCTAGCAAATTCAACGCCGTTCGCACCTCCCTCCGCAATCTCGTCCGCACGTCTCTCATTTCTCTCTTTGCTACCACACCAAGTCCAATTCTCTTTGCATGTATCGGCGGCATATCCGAAGCGGATGGACTAGACGAGGATGACCTTTGCGAAGAGCTCCTCCCCACAGTTATGCGTATCGCTACCTACAGCTCCGAGAATTTCGCCACAGCACTGCATATATGCGCATTGCATTCACATACAGATAATATCAATACCCTACTGGCCAGCCACTCTCACCTCCTGCGTCCCCGCGACGCGCCCGCACACCAGCTTGCAACTATAATACTTGCTACACAACCATCTTACCAGATCAATGCACTGCGCATCGTCGAAAAAGAGCTTATCGACACTGTGCACGCCATCCAGGCCGCCGTACAGAGCGCATTTTGTTATATCGATGTTCAGGCCAATAAGGAGGAGCTGACTAAGATTATGGCATTACATTTGGAGGCACTGGGGCGACGAGGGCGGATTGAACGCTGGGTGGGTGCTGTAGTGTCGCCTACAAGTGACACTGCCCATCCGATGGCACTGGCGGCGCTCATGATGGGGCTTCCTCTTCCCCCTGGGATGGAAGGGGCCATGGACGATGCCGACCCGCTCGGGTACATGGACATGGACATCCAGGATCCGGATCTGGATGACTTGCGGGAAGATTTCCGTCCAAACCTAAAGGCGCGCCTCGAGGGTTGGATAGAAGCAGGTCGAACAATCAAGGGAGGGATGTCGGTGTTACTGATGGTGTATGCTATGATCATCGAGATTATGCCGTTCTTGGGTGCACCAGATATAGTGGATGAGATGACAGGACGGTGGGTTCCTCCCTGCTCATTCCTTAGATCAACTGATTCAATTGACGGCAAAGGCTCTCTGAGAAACCAAGTAAAGCCTTCCTCTGCGAAGCCCTTGATGCGTTGTGGGATTTCTGCAGGCAGCAGAAGCGCAAGTTTGCAAGGCCAAAAAGCAAGCAAAAGCCGTCATGCGCTCCTAATACCTCCCCAGCACTAAGCCAATCAAGTAATTCTGGGGGCGTAACGTTCGTTGCGATAAATAGCCCGCAGTCTTGTCCGGGGGGAGTGGTGGATGATGTCGATTGAGTTTATTTTTTTACAGTGCGCACTCTTAGCTTGCTAGTACCTTATTTTGTGTGCTCTATCAATCTACCTTGCTCTAGATCGCCCCCAGCCTGAATAATGAACCATGATCTAGGGTTAGGGTTCTCCATACACGCACAAACATTTGAACCGCAGCCTTGTTTCCGTATTTGGGACTCACTTTGTCAAGACCTTCCTAGAAATTACTCAAGCCCTTGTATTCGGCATGCAACCAAGTGATTCACCCGGTGTGGAATCAGATTATGTTGCCAAATAATACAAAGACTGTCGATTGAGAGGCCCTGCAACTTCGCGATGTAAGTGTACCCATGGCATTTTGTTGTTTGGTCCCATTAATATTCATTCCCTCGAAGGCAATAGCGCTTCTCATCGATGGCATCCATCTTCATAGTAGTTTCCCTATATGACGCGTCTTGTAGCGGGAACAGGGCTATATAGGCCAAGCACGAGGGGCCGCCACACCAACCTCACAGTAACTGCTCGTACCTATAAGACTCAGAGCCGCCTTCCTTTATTCTCTTCTTATAACAGACTGTCGACCAGCAACGATACCTCGAGTCCTCCACAACCGCTCGCTCATCTTCTTCCAACCCATTCGTTTTTAACTTCACTTGCAAGCCAAGATGATGCTTCTTTTCCGCTCGACGTTCATCACCGGCGTATCAGCGTTCATCATAGCGCTCAGCTTGTTTTCGATGTCTGGTACGTGCAGCCGCTGGATTTATTTATGCCCGTATTTATCGCACGATCGTAGTCTCCGCTGTACCGCAATTCGGTCGTCCTCTGCTGCATGCGTTGGATGTCGTTACGACATCTTCTGGGCCCGTCGAGGCGGTTCCTACGTCAGCAGCTACTGGTACGGACACAGACCCGGATCCTGATATTCAGGTCATCGAAGCAGCTTCCTCATCGTCATTGCCATCATCAACATCATCTGTATGTGTCGATCATCTTGTTGTTGTGATGGTGATTCTGATGCCGTATGACATTTTAGGCATCCAGTACAGCTACGACGACGCCAGCTGCTAGCAGTACCAGTACAAGTGGCGCGTCAAGGAGTCTGTGTGGTGGTATGAGCGTTATACTAGGTGTCGTAGTGAGCGGGGTGTGGTTGGTGTTCTAAGTTGTGCAGCGGTTGAACGGACGAGGACTTGGTCTGATTTCATACAAGAGACTATTTATTTCTGACCCATATATAGTTGTACTATCTTTGCATCACCTTCGCATTTTTGTTTTTTTGTGCCATATCGTTATTTTGGGTAAGCCTATTGCCGTAGAAGACTTCAGCAGGTGTCATTTACTACTGCTGGTCATTCATGTATTGCGAGTATCTGCGTCTGTAGCCTTAGTATACATTTAATTCACTATTGCATACACTTTTGATACATACAGCGATTACCTGTATTCGTAAAATGCAGATCGACCAGGTAAGATGGTCACTAGTAGAGTTGTCCACTAGGTGCATCTTCGTGGACTGCCTTCGATACTCGGACAAGCAGCGATGCCGATCGACGCCAATCTAGGAAAATATCGTGATCGAGTAGTTAGATCTCCGTACATTTGAATAGATGGCCCACGTCTTCAGGTTCTCAAAATGTACCGACCAAAATTGACGGAAAACAATCATGATGGGTAAAAGGGATGTTTAGAGTGCGGAGGATCAAGAGAACACGGAGTTTAGTTGATTGTGAATGAAGGCCCTGAAGCAAAGTTCAAACATCATATGGCCAATGTATCCGTATTGAATTGTCAAATGTGTGTTCAAGTTAGGACGTGTTCGCTATGATAACATGCAGTTGGGATTGAGTGTGCAATTCAAATAATACTATGCTTTTACCCCAGCCACCAGTTGGAGCCGGCGGCTAAATAATTGCTGGGTGATCAACATGATTAAAGTTTGGCACTGTCCCATCAAGGCTGCTCCCTTATTCCTTCCGAAGGCATTGGATGGGCAATGGGCATGTGGCCGGTTAGCGCTTGAAGAACTTAGTCAATGTGTTGCCCATGCTTCGGTCAACAGTATTCGGTTCATGCTAAAGGTCCTCTCATCTCTCCCACCTACTTCTTGCACCCCCACTTTGCTCGCAGTAATTGTCCGCTATCATGACTAACAATAGACCAACTCCTCATCCACAAACCAGTGAAACAACCGTTCCTGAAAGCTCGGTATGTAGTCTCAAAGGCTTACTTACTGTGGATGAGCGCTCATGAATTCATCGTTGCACCTGACGCTTTCTTCGTCCAGAGCCAGCCAAGTGGCCAAGTCAAACAGGGCTGGAAATTTGCGAAAAAGATCACCACGAAACTTTCTGACACTGTAGGTAGACTGCTGGGTTTCCTGATTCTGGCTGACATCATGCAGAAACGCTTAAAGCGTTCCCGCAACCGCATTCCTGCGATCCAGGATGTCGAACGTCAAGGTGCTTCATCCAGTGAGAACATCCAGGTAGGTGTTTCCAATCGTATCCCCAGTTCATGGTTTTTTATCAGAGGCGCCCAGGATACGTCACATCCACATCCTTCCACCGACGACAAACATCCCACCACATCCGAGAATCCCAGTGGCTGCGTCAACCAAGGGACATCCGGAGAACCTGCTTCGAAGGTACTTGCATTCAAATCTATAGTTTTTATGTCTAAATTTGTTGGTCGCGCAGGTTCTCGACGTCCCATGTGGCATGGAGGAAACCCCTGGTTTCAAATCAGTTAGTGCCGAAATTCAGGGTGCCCACGAGGCTTTAGAACACATCAAAAAACCCTTGAGATCTGCGCAGCCTGCGATATCCGCTGTCAGCAATGCCCCAGCAGGTCTCACTGCCGTAGATGATTTCCAGACCGATTACCTCCAATCCCTGAAAATTTTCAACACCGCCATTGACAAGATCGCAAACGTATGGGCCGCTCTTCTTTCTTGCTAGCGAACTAATCAAGTTATAGGTGCATCCATACGCAAAGATGGCGTTGGGCGTACTTTCTGCTGCAGCCAACGTATGTTCTATGTTTCTCGGAGATCTGTCCTCCGCTCAGAAGTCATGGTTCCATATAGATCATTCTTACTCAAGCGGAGCGCGACGAATCCGTAGATGGCCTTCTTAAGAAATTAGATGAAGTTTATGGTTTCATCACCCAAGACGATAATCTTTCCAAGGTTGAATCGATGCGTGATGTCATCGGAAAGATCGCTCAGCAGACTCTCGAGTGTGCCCGTTTCATCAGGGAATATTCGGAGACGAAAAGCTTCTGTGAGTCCTTGGACTACTGCATTCGCAAACCGGTCTTATACTCACTATGATAATAGGAAAGCGAGTCGGTAAAAACATCGTTGCGGAAACAGACGACATCATCACACGGTACAACAAAGCCTTGGATGGACTTCTGCAGCAATTTCGGGATCAATCTCATCGGGACGTAGCTATCTTTGTCCAGTTTGCGGGTGAGGATTCCTGCACGTCCCTGACTTTAAATCTACTCATACACTCTAAGGCGAAACACTCGATCTCAGCGGCATGACTTATGCAGCGGGCGCAGGACTAAATACCGCGAAGCAATGCTTGTCAGGCACTCGCACGGGCATTCTCTCCGAAATCACCGAGTGGATCAACAGCAGCGGAGATTCTGTTCCGCGTGTAATGTGGCTATCCGGACCTGCAGGCAAGGGCAAATCAGCCATCGCCCACACTATTGCCAACTGGTTCGAAGAGACAGGAGGGTTTGGTTCGTGTTTTTGTTTCGATCGGCATAGAGAAGCAGATCGTCGCCATGAGAAGATTTTCTCCACCATCGCGCGCGATCTTGCCGATCGCGATCCGGGGATGAAACGAGCGTTAGCGGATGCGGTCAAGAATGCAAACGCTCTGAAGAATACGATGGACATCATCCAGCAGTGGCGGAAGCTCCTGATGGAACCGCTGAAGAAGTTCCCTGGGTCAAGCGTAGGGCCTGTCTTGATCGTCATCGACGCACTAGATGAGAGCGGCGGAGTAGAGACACGGCGCAACCTCCTCAGCATACTTGCCGGTAGACTTCAGCACAATGGACTTCCCCAAATCGCCGAACTCCCTTCCAACTTTCGGATTCTCGTCACCTCTCGCCCGCTTCATGATATCGAAAAGGAATTTGAAGGTGCTGATCATATTCTACGATTGTCCATGGACAAGATTTCAGCAGATGTGGCGGAGCGCGACATCCGTGCTTTTGTATCTGACAAGCTACAAGGGCTGCCACGTTTTGGGGGCAAGGAGTTTGCAAGCCTCGCTGCGAAAGCCGATGGACTTTTCGAGTGGGCACGTCTTGCATGCGAATACATTAAGGCGGACCTTCCTGGCGTAAAACCAAGGACACGCTTTGCAACTGTTGTGAATCGTGAACCTCAGAAGTGGACAAACAAACTGTATGATATGCATCGGCTTATTTTGACAGAGATCTGGCCACGAGATCGGTATGGTGATAACGAGTACCTAGAAGCACTAGCGGAGTTTCGTTCTGTGATGGGCCAAATACTTGCCACATCCGAACCCTCCCTTTAGCTTCACTGAATGCTATGCGGCATCAATTCCCGAACGACCACGACCATTACGAAGTAGACGTAGTAATAAAACACATGGGATCCCTCCTCAGCGGTATGACCGACTCATATACCCCCATCCGACCCCTTCATGCGACTTTTCAAGAATTCCTAAGAGACAAATCATCCAGCGGAGACTTTCTCGTCGAGAGAACGAAGGCGCAAGAACGCGACCTTGCATTTGCGGCACTACGAGTGATGATGGCCCAGAAAGATGGCCTTCGCTTCAATATCTGTGGCTTGAAGTCGTCATACCTCCCTAATTCTCAAGACTCGGAGCTGCCTCAACGAGTCAAAACATCCATTTCCCCACATCTCTCCTATTCCTGCCGATATTGGGCCATGCATGTTCAAACAACAGACTTTGACGATAAGCTCGCAAAGGAAATAAAATCATTCTTCGACGACGAGCGACAGATGTTCTGGATCGAAGCACTCGGAATTCTTAACGCAATCAGAGGTGCAATTATTGTGCTTCCACTAGTCGCCAAGTGGCTGAAGGTGAGCACATGCCTACGAGGCAGAGTCGGATGAACAGCTCATACATAGATGCAGGGCCATTCTGGGTACGAAGATTTGTGTTCCACCACGATGGATGTACAAAGGTTCATCCAAGTGTTCGGGGCCATGATTTTGCACAGCACACCACATCTGTATGTATCAGCGCTCCCATTCTCGCCCGTCAACTCCACCATTGCTAGCAAATTCACGGCAAGGTTTCCGAATAGCATTCGTCTAGCATCTGGCCATGATTTGAACTGGACGGTCGTTCAGGCTATAATCAATGGGCACACTGAAGGGGTTCAGTCAGTCTCGTTCTCACCGGATGGTACTCGCATCGCGTCTGGTTCGGAGGATAAGACTGTGCAGATATGGGATGCAGTGACGGGACAGCCATTGGGTGAGCCCTTGGAGGGGCACACTGGAACGGTTCACTCAGTCTCGTTCTCACCAAATGGTACTCGCATCGCGTCTGGTTCGGAGGATAAGACTGTGCGGATGTGGGATGCAGTGACGGGACAGCCATTGGGCGAGCCCTTGGAGGGACACACTGGAGTGGTTGGTCAGTCTCGTTCTCACCGGATGGTACTCGCATCGCATCTGGTTCATCGGATAACACTGTGCGGATGTGGGATGCAGTGACGGGACGGCCATTGGGTGAGCCCTTGGAGGGGCACACTGGATCGGTTTGGTCAGTCTCATTCTCACCAAATGGTACTCGCATCGCGTCTGGTTCGGCGGATAAGACTGTGCGGATGTGGAATGCAGTGACGGGACAGCCGTTGGGCGAGCCCTTGGAGGGGCACACTGGAACGGTTCACTCTCACCAAATGGTACTCGCATCGCGTCTGGTTCGGAGGATAAGACTGTGCGGATGTGGGATGCAGTGACGAGATGGCCATTGGGTGAGCCCTTGGAGGGGCGCACTGAAGTGGTTTGGTCAGTATCGTTCTCACCAGATGGTACTTGCATCGCATCTGGTTCGCACGATCAGACTGTGCGGATGTGGGATGTAGCGACGGGACGGCCATTGGGTGAGTCCTTGGAGGGGCACACTGGCGCGGTTTGGTCAGTCTCGTTCTCACCGGATGGTACTCGTATTGCCTCTGGTTCACCGGATAAGACTGTGCGGCTATGGGGTGTAGTGAAAGTCCAGCCATCAGCCCCTGAGTCAAGAGATCTAGACTCCTCTGCATCTCCATTGCATCAAAGCACCGCACCTCCCACCCAAGAAAGCCATGTCATACCAACCAACACCTTTAACAATCGCCTCATTTCCTTCTCGTCCAGCTTGGAACACGCTCTGCCCAACCCCGCTCACTTACTTGAACCCCCCTCTCATCATGATTCTAATTAAACCCCTTTCTTGCTGCAGGCTGATGGATGGGTGATGGGATCCAATCATCGGCTCCTTTTCTGGGTACCTCCAGCTTCCCGATATCCATTTTATTCTCCTGAAACTGCAATGGTGATCCCGAGAGGAGGCGTCGAGCTTGATTTGAGCCGCATGGCACATGGAACACGCTAGTCGAGTTGCCGAGATGAGTGAGTTAGTTTTTACCGTCCCCTCGCAGTTGTTAACACCAATCCTGCTAGCTCCACGTAATGATGATTCTATTGCAATATTGAGTGCACCATTCTATTCTTTCGTTGCTTGTCAATTTTTATACCTAGTACCGAGCATGAATTTACAGCTGTCCGACTGAAAGATGCGCTGAAACAGACTGGGTGAAACTCCAATGTTGCTGCTGATTTGTAAGAACATGTATCGAAAACCAATCCCATCAGACGTTTGTGCCCTCGAGAATTGATGCAGATGTTGCAACGTTGAGGTGTCAGTACTTCAGTGACCACTGCAGGTGCTTTGATTAATGTTCCTGTCATCGCCGTCAGAGCCGCGAAGATCCCTTTCAAACTGGAAGTTCTCATGGCAGCCGCAGTCTTTCCCTCGAAATGTTTGCGATCAGTAGTTACGACCTAACATGTACAGAGAGATACAAGGACACGTTGATCGACACATGTCCGAGATCATTTGCGATGAACGAACTTCGGCATACTGCATGCTGATATCATGACAGACGATGCCTCTTCCATGGCTCTTTACATATTCCACCAGGCTGGCACGATGACTCGAAGTAGTGGGTTGTCGTTGGCTTGAAGTTTTAATTGTTCCTGCAGGGCATCGTTCACAGGCGAGTCTACGAAGAGGTTTGGAACAAATCAACTCTCTGGAATTTCTGCTGTTTACGCTGGTAGCTGTCAACAGTGGCCTGCATCCTTGAGTAAATCAAAACTGCGCGGTTCATGTCAGAGTTCAGCTCGAGGACCACGAGTTAGCAAGATTCATATTCATTTTCAAAGTGTAGGTCTGTGGTGGACAAACGTGTAAAATTTTCTCTGTCTCCTATGGCGAGCATATAAAACTCACCATTATCATTCTTGGTACAAGAAGACGGCAAATACTTCTTATTCGTCAGTGTTAGTTGTTACTGGAGGATCGGACTCGACGCCTTCCCGTGTCATTCACGAACGCAGGGTGAATTGTACCAGAAGCCAGTATCGGGTGACGTAGTAGATCTTAATAAAATGGGCTCGATAAATGTTGCGAGAGGGAAAAGAGGATTAGTAGTGGGGAGCACACAGGAAGCTGAACAATACATTCGATAAGGCTCCTCGTACCATTTGTTGTCTAGCAGGTAAAGTGGATAAGACCAACGGTGTGTGTCATACGTAGGCTGGGTCCAGGGTGAGCGAGTTGGTCAGAGATGTGGAAGATCGAGGACGACAGTCAAATTCAAAAACCAACCGCAACAAGGGACGAGGCATGTTATTTTTAGACATTTCAAATGCGTGATTACTTACCAGTACAACCAAAATACATTTAGATGTCTCTATAGCTCACCATCCGCCCTCGTCTTCATCAGTCTTTGTATCGTCCTCCTTCTCATCAGCTAAGCCTTCTACCTCCTCCTGCAAGCTTTCATCCTCAGAATCCTCAGACTCCAAGACCAAGTCGACACAGGACTTGTAATTCAACTGACGGAGACGCAACTCCTTCACAAGCCAATTACGAGTCAACGACGCGCACATGGGATCACAAACATCAGTGGGATCAGTGAACCTCTTGACCTCGTTCTAGCTCTAGACGCTCGTAGAGTCTAGTTGTTTGGTCTTCAAGAAATTGGCAAACAAACAGTACGTCGCGTCGCTTGAATCTTTGGCTATTTCTTTTCGAGATTCCTCGAGGCCGCCGCCTGCTCTCATATCAACAACACGTTCACAACGAGCTCACCTCGTTGTGTCACGCATCAATTCATCTGATTCGACCAAGCATCGTGTACAAATGAGTGGGAACCTGTGCTCGCCAGTATACGGAGTAAGTGTCTTTGCCATTTGACTTTGGCGCCAGTATTGGCTAAACCTGTCGCTCGCTCACCAAGCGTGCCTTACTGTCCGTTAATGTACATACATACCAGATGGTTCCAGAACTCATCTGACCTCGTCCCTCTATAGTTCCGTCGCATTGCAAATTCTCAGTGCCGATCGATTTATTACAATCACCACGAGGCGTGCTAGCAGCATTAATGACGCCCAACTACCTATCATGTCAACAGCCGAATGAATACAATAATTTGTTTATTGCTACTTTACGTGCAGTGTCCTTGAAATCGTTCGTGTTGAACGATATGAAAATCTCATCACGGTCGTAAATTCACATCAAAGGAAGAAAGAAAAATCAACGAGCTAGGGAGCTGTTGGCACGGATTCGTTCGCCAGCGTAATATATCCAGATGGGGAATGGTATACCGATGATGATGGCAAGACCTGCAAGAAGGGAGTTTCCCCCGCCATAATCGAGTACTGCGAACATCTGTTGGCCAAAGAGAGGGAATGCGAAACCAAATAGTGAACGTAACGTCTGATGATAGGTTCAAAGGGTGCCGACAAAATTCAAGGTACGGGCAACTCACAGAAGCCGCTGCAGTTGCACTTGCAGCATAGGTAAACGTATCTACGAGGTATAGTTGAATAGGGAGGCTTCAAAGAGGTTAGCCACGAACAATGGTTTGATGTGAGACCCACAAAGTTGTCATTAATCCGAACGAAAAGATACCGGTACCAATGATGGGCATGATGAAGTGGATCTTGGCTTGCGCAGACCAGCCATACCAACTAAACGTGGATTAGAGTTAGAACAGCAAAAGTAGAGCTGTATATCTCACAATAGTCCCACTGGGGCGAACAACGAACCAAATATTAGAGCGGGCACGCGCATCTCTGGCGTACCGATTCCTCCGTTTTTTGCAGCAAACTACGTCATGATAAAAAGTGCACTTCAGCTACTGCAGCCGAAGTAAAAACAGTCTTGACGTACGTGTATGTACATTTTGTTGGAAAGTTTGGCACCGAAAATGGTGGCGATTATGAATCCAACGCCAAGTCCAATGTATGTCAGACCTCCGATTCCGGTATTGAAGTGGTATACTTCCGAAAAGAGGTCTGGGTGCAAGGCTTTAATATCTGACCTCGTGTCATCGGGACAATATGATCTTACCTGGGAATGTGGAAAACATCAAGTAGTAGATACCTGACAGATAATCTTAGTCCACATCCAGCATAACTCGATGCAGGATGCAAAGTACTCACCATAAATCCTAAACGAATGATATTAGTTAGCTGCGTGATATAGAATACAACTTACAGAGCCACGTATAAGCTGAGGATGAAGCATAAAAAACTACGGGTCAAAAGTATGACGGGTCGTTTGAGGTTGATCCACAAGTAAACCCATTCATTCATGGGGTGTGTGGTGAGGGTGGAGTGTCCTCCAGGTGCCTTTTCGAGATCCGTGGCCATTTTTTCACGACGAAGCCTAATGATTGGTGCATAAGATTCTCTTAGAAAAGGAATGCCTATCACTGTTGCGACGCCACAGATCGCGACGACAACATAAAAGTCATATTGTATGCCGACCGACTCTGCGATGAAGCCTCCTATGACGGGCCCGACAACGGGACCTGGCAAGATGAGTGTGAAATTGCGTAAAGATGCAGATGTGAAATGTACCTATCAAGGGTCCGACATAGTATAGTGCCATAGCGGAGGCACGATCGCGTTCGGAGAAGAGGTCGCTAACGACGCCTCCGCCGCATGCAATGGGTGCACTCCCCGCGAAACCAGCTTTGCAAAAACATAAGCGAGCTTTCAATAGTGGGGGTTCCACGACGTACCTAGAAACCGAAAGACAAGGAAAGACGAAGTGTTGGGTGCAAAAGCACAGCCAAGATTAAACACAAGAAAGAAGAGGTTCGATAAGTGGAGGACCTTGAACTGATTCAGGCAGACAGTTCCACTGGTGTTAAATAAGAGGAGGACGCACCCACACGCGACCATATACTTCAGACAATGGTGCGGTAAATAAAGGACCGATAGCAAATGACAGAAGGAAGATGCTGAGAGTCAAGGCTGTGACTGTTGGATCAGTTATACCATATTTTACGGCCAGGTCAGGCAATCCAGGTGCCATGATAGAACTTGCTAACGGAGTCACAAATGTGTAGAGTGCAAGCTGACAGGAAGCTAAAATGTGATTAAGTATCTAGTTCTGATGGAAGGACTGACGATTGTAGTGGCTGTCCATTTTTTGGCCGGAGACCAATTCCTGGGGTTGACTGGGTCATGTTGCCATTCATCCTCTAACTGCTGGAGGTGGTCGAGAATTTTGTCCTCGAGGTTGTCGTCTATGATCGCGGAGGCGCCGTGAAGGTGAGAAAGATGTCGTTCGTCCACATTATCATTATCTTGACTTGGTACAAACGTATTGAAGTTCTCAACCGCTGCTGTTGGAGGAGAGGCCGACATAGACCAGCGCTGTAGACAGCTTGTACGAGAAAAAGATAAGACATGTCCTGCGACAGACTGATGATTAAATAGATAGAGGGTGACTGAGCAAGTATTACAATACTATGCAATTATACTTCAATGACAGGCCCGGTAATCGGATCAGGACATTCCCGTTCCAGTTGCATGTCATAACGCCAAGCAGTGTCATCACCTATACGCAGTTAGCCTCTACTGTTTGCAACGCCCATTACAATGAGGAGCTTACCATCGTGCCTCTCGCCCACTGCCCCGCCTCATCGACCTTTCTCGCTTGTCACTAACAGGTGCACTATACTATGATTAGTATCAGCGCCTGGGCAAACCTTCATAGACAAAGGAAGATAGTTGTTAAATACAAGTTCGAATCTGAACACTCCGTGACGCAGCCAAATAAAAGTCCGCGACAGATGGTGCTCAAATTGAGGCCTGTGGTTGAATTTCAAAATCAATACATGTCTCGGGATGATAGGCGTCATCTGTCTTCTAACCCACTAGGCTGCGCTCGGGGGGTACCAATGGCTTCAAACTCCGACATATTACCATATACAGACTTTGCCGTCTCACCTAATCACTGTTTGAGTGGACCCTAGATAAAGACTTGCAACACCCCAGGCCATCCAGAGACGTTCTAAATTGAGCGTGGTGAGGTCAGTACTCTGACTCTTGCGCTGCCGAGACTAGAGACGTTTTCACTCGTTACTATACAAAATGTACCAACGATGTCTCAGATTTAAGTCAAAGTTTCTACTAGAATCGTATAGTACGTACATGTGTTCTCAGTGCGTACTCTCTGCCTTGGGACTAGCATAGGAATGTCTTGCCTGTGACTCAGGCCAAATTGGAAGCAGTATGTATGTGGCCTGTATGCGGCTTGCTGATTGGATACGCCGATCTGTGTGACATCGGTCTGTTGTGACGTCATTTGTCTGGACTCGTGAAGCCGTTGCTACCTTTTATCCCTTACCGTCACATTGAATCTAACTCTCATCCACGTTCCGTCGAACCATCTAATTTTCTAGTGTTCTACCCTCTGGGTCGCTTCCACAAATGGTGCGCTTCTACTGTCCTGCTCAATGCAAACACAGGGCACTTGTCAGCGTCCCGGAATTAAACAGAGACGATGCTCCTCGTGGAGGCGGCGCTCACGCTGATTTCTCGCCACGCCTCAAACCCATGAGTCTGCCTGGGCGCTTCCTGTCAAATTTTCAACCTCCGAGTTGGGTTTGGTGAAAACAATGATGAACAAGTGATAACGATGCCCACACCTTTATTGTTGCAGGGAGTGCAACGTATTTGATCCAGCTGTTGTGTGAAATTCAGAGGAACAAACTGTCGCATGCTGAGAGATTCTGCGATAACAGTGGATGAAACGAGCTTATCCAATGCATTTCGAGCTGATACTAAACAGTCTCGAGGACAACCAGGAACATCAGCAAATGGAGGTACTCACTTTTCCTAGAACCTGACAGTAGATTGCATTGATCCTTGCTTATTCTGTCCACGATGCAAGGTTGTTGACAGTGTATCTGTATTATTCTGTCGGCTTATTCGTGCAGACAACATAGGCTCTCGTCATCGAAGAAGCAGAATTATTCATGAGGATGCCATACCTGGAACCAACAGCCCACGTCCCAAGCCATCACTAGGTCCGACCTGAATGACGGCCACCATCAATGCCCTGAAGAGGGCGCGATGTTAGCGGCAGGTCAAAAGATTTACCCTATCATCTCGCGCCCTAATACTACAAGAGTATTGAGTCGACGTGCCTAAGCCATGGTGCGGGCCGGTGCAACAGACCGAGGAGATACTGAGGAGGCGAGCAGGGTGGAGGAAAGTCGAACGCCCGGAAAAATGTGGCCAAGGAACGCGGTTTGAAGAGGGTTAGGAGGACCCAGATCCTGTCCACGCCACGAGCAACGTCTACAAAGGTCAGCAGCTGAATTGTACATTTTATTGCACATTCATGGCGTCCTTAAATCATTCATGGACCTTGGTGCACGTTGGATGCTTCCCTCGAAACCTGGGCGTGTCCAAGGTTGGTCAGGAGGTAAGTTAAGAAGACGGTGAGACAAATACATACATGTGAAGTCTGATGGGAGCTCGCTCTTGATAGACCTGGAGATCAAGGCAAAGTTAGTTGCCTAACGAATCGAGAGTATTGATCTTAGCTTGAAGAGCCAGAAACACCTGGTGTCGTCGGGCGGGCAAGATGAAAGTAGTGACAAAAAGATAAGTGTATCAGTAGGATGCCATGTAACTCCGAATCTGAGCTGCACACCACATACCTTGCCTGAACATTTGGAATAATGTAGTAATGAAAATTAAGCATTGTGAGTATGAATATGTATGATAGAGGAGAGAGAGCGTACCAAGGGCCGAAGGAGGACTGAGGTACGATAGCACGATGGGGTCGCAGTCGAGACACAAAGAGCTGTTTCAAAGGAAAGTAAGAGGCATCATATAACCGCGTCAGTGCTGGCGTCACCGAACAATCGCCATCACGATACTCGATATTTCTGAAACCGCAACATGGAACATCCACCACATAAAGTACTGGCAAGTACAACTCGACTCTGCCTGCAATATTTCATGATGTAGAACAAAAGCAAGTAGCTATCTAAGGCGTGTCCCTAAAGCCCATCAGATACTGCATAATCTGGAAGGCTGCCTGAAATCATCAGTTCCTGCGTTAGGGCACACTTGCACGTCAGCATCATCGACTTACCACTGGCGCAAACTGCGGAATCCTACAGAAATTAATCACTAGACCCTGCGTATTGTATTGAACTCACATATGTCCACTCAATGCTACTTCGTAATAAGTGAGTCCCCGCTCCGAATGCATGGTGCCATAGGCACCCACGCCATCGACGATGAAGCTGTCGTTAGCAATAGGTGTCTGGAATCCTTGCAAACCACTCCCTTTGAATACAATGAGTGATTAGTAGCGTGCATCAAAATTACTAGTCACGCACAGGTCATGCTACAGATGAATCCTGTCAATGACAGTGATACAGTCGCAGTCAAGGAAGCACTTACTTTTGAATGGCAATTCTGGTTCTAAATCATTGAACCGTGCGTCAGAATATACGAAGATTGAGGGTCGAAAACGAAGCCATACCCGTCAGCAATGAGTACGAAGTCGGCGAGACCGTGCACAATGACGGTCCGCTGGTTCTTCTCAATGACATTCGGTAATACAGTGAAGGCAGGAGGTAAGCTGCTGTCTTTGTTGGGGAAGACTTTGATATTGGAGCATTCCGACCACTGGGTGTCAATGGGTGCGTGGATGGCTTCCTTGACATCCATTCGATTAAAGTAGATAGGAGACTGCGTCTGTGGGAATGACCCTCTAGGTCTCCGTCAGCCGAGTTGCATTGAGTCAAGAATCGAATGGCCTACGGAAAACCTAAGACATCCCATAAAATTGGATACTTACGTAGAGAAGAAGTCAATATAGCACTCATTAAATCCTCTTTGACTCACAGTGTCCCAGATGCGATAGACATTGAAAGCGGGGTTGATAATCAATGAATTATTGAAAATGTCATGCCAGACGTCGCAACCTTGTGCAAACTTGATAGAGTCTCCTGGAAGGGGAAGAAGACCTGTTGGAGGGTACGTGACATACTTATCCATGTAGCCAGTGTAATTGCACGTCGCAGCCTTCTCGTTGAGGTAATCCATGTACGTTTGACTAAATATTAATCAGTGAGCGACCTACAAACTAGATCTTAGTGAAATGAACAGACTTAAAAGAGAAGAGACCAGCGTATTTGTTCACAAAGTCCACTGCAGGAATCTCCTCTTGCACCACGTCCCATGAGATTGAAGCTGAGCTTCATGTATAAACACTTGAGAAGAGACAAACCAAGTCAGAATGTTACTTACGGTCACTGATCCATATCCCCTGCAGCGAGAGGTCCAATTGAGTGGGATTCTCGTAGATATAATTTGCGATATCTTCATTGGTCTTTAAGTCACGTTCAGAGGAAATGACTTCTGACTCACAAGGTACATATGTTCCAGCGTACTGAATACAGTCAAAACGATGTTTTACCAGACTCTCTGAGAACTTACACTTTCGCCCGTTAAATACAACTTTTTACCTTTGAGTTCCGAGAAGACCTTAAGGAACTGCTGCATGAAGCCGACGAGTTGAGTAGCAACATCCTCTTCGTTCTGTGCGTCTGGGATGCCTTGGGAAAATCCCGTTCCGACAGGTTGCTCCACCCAAAGGACGGAGGAGAGGTTGGTCCAGCTCTGTTGATTCACCGTCGGTTTGGCCTGACCCCAGGACCAACTGAAAGGCTGTAAATATTTCAGTTATAAACAAGCCTTACAGTCAACAAGGGGGCTTGCTCCATTCTCTTGCAGCAAACCTTCAAGGGAGGAGCAACCAGGGCCACCGTTCGTCCTTCAGGTATGAAATGTCTTATCAGCAGCGAACGTCACATCACTTCTGATGACGCACCAAAAGATTAAATCATCAAGACTCCCTTCGGGGCCAGGAGGGAAAAACCAGAAATAAAGCTGATGTCCTTGACGTAAGAAAAGGACTAGTATAAACTACTGCCACGCATGTACACACCTGACGGGTCTCGTTAGGGCTATTGCTGATGGGCAGAAGACCTGCCCAGCTAGGACCAACGTCGAAGTCGACAAGAGGGAGGGATGTGCCATCGACGTAAAATTCTAGATGAAGATAGATCAGAGGTACTAGTAATAGATGTCTACTGATAGCACTTCATTCACCTGAGGCCTTTGGATTCGTGAATGTGATATTCTGAACGCCACTGTGCATTACGCCCCGACTTTGAGGGCCGCTGGTCTGCCAACGCTTTGCTGCCTCGAGTTGACGTTCACCGATCTCGTGCTTGGTCATTCTGCGAGCGCTAGCGACGCCCACCGCGAGCAAAGTTGCGAATGGGGCGAGAAGACGCATCACCGTCACTGTCGAGCAAGAGAGAGTCACCTTGAGTTTGTGAGGGGAAATGGGGAGTCACATCTGGTATCGTAGTAGATCAGGCCTTTTATTTAGAAGTTGATAAAAGCAGCTAATTGAGTGTACATGCATAGTACCACTGCAGTAAGTACGCCGAATCTGATCCAAGTTGCTTGCCTGCGTGGACCCGGATTTTTCCGTTGCATCGCGGTAAGCCGACTCCGCGTGCGTTAGTTTCAAACAAAGTTTGTTCAACCTCGTGATCAAGAGACAACTTATAGCAGTGTCTTTATGTGCTGTAAGTTGGCGCTTTGATAACTTCCGCTCAGATTTGGGTGGCATATAGCAACTGGTCGTCAGGAATCTACCTTTTTCCGTCGCTAAGACAAGATACGATTCGATCGATGCGCGTAGCCTTGTAGGGTCGATTTTTGTTGGCCATGGTAATAACAAACCTGTTAATACTAACTAGTTCGTGCGCGGCTCAAAAGTTGGTCAAAACAGGTTCTTCCGGTCGCGCAACTGGGTGGCCTGTTGGATTGAGTAACTTGGCTGATTAGTCACTTATCTGTTGGTTTTTCCACATCGCTCGGCGGCAGATCGATCTGTAAATTAGGTGAACTCGAATGGACAGCTTCGATTTATACCTCCTGACTTGTAAGCCTCATGACTGCCAGTATCGCCTGCGCAAGATCCGTGAGTATCATGAATAGCCCTCAAAACCATCACTGACCAGCAGGTTATCCAGGTTCGTTGCCATCAACAGCTTCTCCATCAATAGCCACTATCGCACATCATAGCATCTTGTCGGGACATTGAAGGATGGTCCATCGTGTCGAAGCTTCGTGAATTCTTTGCTTTGAGAAAGGCGTCCTCTTCTGGCGGCAACATGCAGAATTTGGGCCTTGTGATATCTTTCATCCCACGATGTCTCGCGGGAGATTGTGGGCGAAACTGGTGAGTTCCAATAGCTTTCTGTGCCTGACTCGTGTCCACTTGGTGGGCAGGCTTTGTTGTGACTGGCCATTGTCGCGTCTTCTTCCTTCAACCCCTTCGTGGTCTTATCACCCGAGCAAACAGCATCGGTCGTGTGGCCTTACGTCCTCGAACCACTCGCGCTACTTGCGTCCTGGATACTCACCATCGTCGGACATGGTCATCATCAACCATTCTCATACTATTTTGGTTTTGTTACACTGTCGGCCTCGTAATATCGACCAGATCCGAGTCGTTCGTGCAGGATGACATTTCGGAGGGACTCTTCGTGGTTTTTTCAACATGGGCTGTCGAACCTATCTCTCCCGGCACACACGCTAGAGTGCGTTTGCCCTGATGATTCAGTCAAGAATAAAGCGGAAAGTCAAATGGTCACAGCAAAGGTGGTTGACGCCATTGATGCAGAAGGTTCAAAGGAGGACGACTAGCCTGTTTTGCTTCCCCATGACAAGCCAGAGAATCTTAAAAACGACCTGGAGAGCGCTCTGGAGAAATAGTGAGTACAATGTTGATAAAAAGCTTCTCTTTATCCGACCAAGTCTTTTGCAGCGCGTCCGTATGGCCCGTATATGGGTGCTGCATTTTTAAAAAATCTTGCAGGATAGTCTTGCATTTCTGTAATCTCTACTTTGATAGCTCCTGGCATACATATCGAACTATCAGGGCGCCAAAGCGTGGCTACCTCCTTGTTGCTTCGAGCCCTCAAGTGTCATCGCTATCATCATTTGTATGACATCCATGTCGCAAAGTGTTGTTCTCCACCAGGTAATCTGGCTAATGTGATCGTGTTCATGGTACTCACCAATATCAACAGTACTTTCAAATATGTTTCGAGACATGCATGAGTATTCGCGCTGGCTTGGTAACTGTTATGTACGCAAAGTCTCTCGTGCTTTCTAGCGATGAGCTAGGGAGTCGGCCATCTGAAAATATCGTAAATTTGATGTCCGTCGATGCGACCAGGCTACAAGACCTATGCATCTATGGTCTGATCACAATCTCTGAACTATTCCAGGTGAGGCAGATCATTCTCTGTAATAATCAGTCTTACGCTATTGTCAGATTATATTGGCTTTTGTATCATTGTACAGCCTTCTCGGATGATGAGCTTCTGTCTGAGTTGCGACCAGCGAACGAGGCTAATGAACAAGCCTTTGGCCAATATTAAAAGGTATGTCAAGCTCGTACAACAGAGAATTTCATTGACGATCATTACTCGTGCAGTATTAAGTTTCATGCATGGGAATATGTATTCATCCGCCGCGTTCTGCATGTGCGCAATGGCTTAGAGCAAGATACAGAAGAAAATTTGCATTTTAACTGTACACGTCAGTTTTGAGAGAGTAACTCGTATTCATCCTTGCGCGTCAGGCTCTCAATACAACGCTTTGGGAAGTATCCCTTGCGTGTTCCCTACCTTTGACTCGTTGCTCACGACTAACAAACAAGTAATTCTGGCGTTTAGTTCTTTTGCCGCCGCATCTGTGTTTTCGTCGTGACCACTCACAGCCGATGCTCTCTTCCCTGCGATCTCATGGTTCATGCTTCTCCGGTTCCCACTTGCTATGGTGAGTAGTAACTGCATCGCAACCTTAATAATCGTTGACTATGTCTCAGTTTAGTCGAACATCATCGAGGGACTTGTGTTCGTCAAACATCTATCAGGCTTACTACGCGCTGAGGAGCTGCAAAAACGCCCACCTGAATACTGAGCAGACGAATGCAATCTATTGCAAACCTCGCTGACTATCGCCTTCAGGACAGCACCTGCGATTGATCAAACAGTTCCATCCATTGTGAGAATCCTGTCAGGTCAGAGCATTAACCATTCGCTTCAAGTTCGAAACTCAATTTGAAATTTTTGAATGAGAGAGCGGTGGAAACTAAGAGCCAGATATGTGAGCTCTAGAATAGCACTCAGTGAATCTGTAGAACAACGCTCATATTGAACTGATCTATATCTTTGGGTGCATGCAGAGATCAGATATAGATCAACATACTATTGGGATCGTTGGATAACTAAAGTCGAGACAAGGGAGCTAGGACGTGCAGACCTTCAGCTGGAGAAGAGAATCACAGTCATATCATGATGCAGTTGATCGGGTAAAAGAGCGTGCGAGACAGGAGAACGCGGAACTCAGTCGATTGTGAATAAAGGCTCTGAAGCAAAGTTAAATGGCCAGCAGAAGTCACGTTGACAATCGAAGGTTGCTGTATCCCGGGGCATATTCATGTGTGTTATAAGGACGTGTTTGCTTAGCCTATGATACCATGCAGTTGGGATTGAGGAAAAGATCATGGACATCGTGGTAAAATGGTATATGTCACGGTTATACTAGCGCTGGAGTCGTGGAACCCATGCTTTGTGGACCACCGCACCTCCCAGCTGGTTGGAGTTACTATACCGGCGGCTGAGTTAAATATAGCCTTCCAAGTTGGATCAACGTGAAGGCTATGTTTGTCAAGACTGCTTATCCCTTCGGCAATGGACCTACTTATGAAAGTAAAGATCCTGGCAAGTCAGAACGCTAAGCGCTTACTTGTGAAATGCGATTTGAAAATGTGAACGGCAGAGTGCTGCATACAATACTACAGCTATACGAGTTCTACAGAGGAATTCAGCGTTGCATACTACGGACATCAGAAAAGATCGACATATCGTTGGGGTTGTTAAACAATCGAAGTCAAGGCAAGACACAGTGACAAAGCTGACATGCATGTGCAGAACCTCGACAGAAGAGAACAATAGTCATATTATGCAGCTGATTTTAAAGAGCGCACAGGATCAAGAGAACACCGAACCCAGTCGATTGGAAATGAAGGCTCTCAAGCAAAGTTCAAATGACAAATGAACGGCAGAAGCCATGTTGGCAGCTGAAAGTCACTGCGTCTGTATCCATATGTGTTATGAGATGTTCGCTATAACAACATGATTGGGATTGAGCAAATAATCGTATGAACGTAGTGTACATCGTGGCAGAATGGAACCTCTTACAATTAAAATACTAGCGCTGCCTCGTGGAATCCATGCTTGCAGTGCATGCAAGACCCGCCTTGCTGTTGGCTGGCTACCATTAAGGAACCAGCAGAACAACTGGTGAGTACTATGCAACTGTTCCCGCTATTTTCAATCATGAACAGTGTCAGAGCCAGAACGAACATACAGACGACTTACAGTAACGAACTATGCCACCACTTGTGATGCCGACTATCGAGGAAAATACGTCTTTTGTGTCTGAACCCCCTGCAATGCTGACCACCGAGGAGAATCAACCCCCGATGCAACACGAAAACCCAACTCCAAGGCAACGATTCAAGGGCCACGAAAATCAAATTTTGGATTTCGTCTTCCTGCATGACAATGTCCACATCGTGAGTGGATCGTTGGACGGCAGGATGCACAAGTGGAACTGTGACACAGGACGTCTTGTTGGGAACCCATGGTCAAGTGAGGGCGGAGTAATACATGCGCTGGCACTTTCACCGGACGGGAGGACGATTGCATGCGGGAGGGACGACGGAAGCGTTCAACGCTGGAACACTGAGGGAGAGATGATTGAAGGCATTTGGACAGGTCACAAGGAGCTGGTACGGTCACTGTCGTGGTCTCCCAACGGAGACCATATTGCAAGCGGATCCGAGGACGGAACAATCCTTATTCGAAAAGCACTTGAAAGTGGAGAAATCGAGGTGGGCCCGATCGAAACAAAGCAGGATGGTGTACTTGCACTTGCATATTCACCTTCAGGCGACAAAATCGTATCAGGCGGGAAGAATCAGACGATTTGCATTAGGGACTCAAAGACAGGCGAGCTCGTCGTCGAGCCCATCAGAGACCTTGGGCACTATGTGTGGTCTGTGGTATGGTCGTTAGACGGGATCAAGCTGTATGCCGCCTTGGGTCATTTCGCACGCGTCTTCGACAGTAGCTCAGGCACAGAACTTTATAGCTTCCAGCACACTCATCCGCTAATTTCCGTTGCGCTTTCACCCAAACACAATGTACTGGCATGCGTGGGCATAGGAGGCATTGCACGACTATGGGATACAAAGTCTCGTCAGCTACTCGGTCAGCCATTTAATCAAGAAGACGGGATCCCTTTGTGTGTGGCATTCTCTCCGGATGGCAAATACGTAGCATATGGAGGAACGAACAACACAGTCACTTTGTGGGTGGTAAAAGAGATAGCTCCAGAACTTCCAGTACGTGCTTTCACAACCATAATTTTGAGTGACAAGCTACACAGCAGGAAACTTGTCCTTAGTCGCCACCGTCATCTTGTCTCGAAGTTAGTGCTCTTGCATCTGACTATCTTGGTTCTCATGCTCATGGAAATATTACAGGTCGATGCTACAATTCCTTTTACACAGTCAGAGAGTGATAATTTTCTTCAGGTAAGCCTCGTATTTCCCAAGTAGACGGTACAAGTATTGACGACGATGATTCAAAGTCACATCATCCTTCGGCACCACCTGGCTCACCTCGTCGTTCCCAGAATGCTCACATATGTTCCGCTCGCCACCTCTGGAATATTCTCATCCCTTCTCGACGTCGTCCGACAGAAAGTGGGTCCATTGAGCTGCATCAACGCCCCAAACGCAGTTACTTTGGGCGCCACTCGGGATCACAGTCTGTAACAGTCACTGCCACACATAAAATAAAGGTAAACAATTTATTAGCTGTCCTTCGTACTGCTGCACTTATACATAACTGATTCTTCAGAGGCGCTGGATAAAGCGACCCTCTGTGAACACTAATGCTCTGGCTGGTCGGTCATCCTCAACGATAACACAGCCTGTAGCGCTGCCACACTCGATGCCTCGGCCTCAGGCACAGGCAGCGATACAACAGCCTGCTCAAGAAGATCATGGTTGTTGGAGCAACTTTTGCCTCGCATTTGGACGGATCTCGCGCCGCTCTCTTCCCATCATCTCCGCTGCTCAGCCTGCTACCTCGTAATATTGCGTTACCAAGTATGTTTCATTTTCTCAGTCTCGTTAGCTCCACTCTTCCTTGTTCGTGTTTAATCACCTTTCATTCTCTGCATACATCAGATCTCTTGCCATCGCTTGCATTGCCTGGCTGATGATCCCCCATCGCCATATTTGTGGAGACTGTTGTGATGATCATTGATATATAGTTAACTATGATATTTTTATATGTTCATTGGTTCACTGATGCCTTTTAAGAGAGGAGAGGAATGAATAGAATTGCGCTCTCAACCGAACCATGGCCCTCCTACCCAAGTTAACTTCCGCTGCTATCCTCTTACTGTTATACATTCCATTTGTTTATGCATTACCGCCTTTCAATTGTACTAGTACCCCTACACTCGATGTAACGGACTCTCCACACAGCCGTGACACCAGAACCTTGTGGGACATCATTTGGAACTGCGCTGCAACTCTATTCGCATGCACTTGGACCGCGATTCACCCAAACATCCCAGGTATGGACGAGGAAAGGATAAGTATTTTCTTTCGTCGCCTATTCATCATGGTTCTGGCGCTGATCGCCCCAGAACTCACGGTCACCTGGGCCACAATACAGTTTCTAAGTGCTCGTGATACTGCAAAGACCTTCCAAGAAAGTGATGTCTTTGGCGTACAACTTTACCAGGCCCACAGCAAGCATCCAGATATGGGAAAGAGCACAACTACGCTGCTGCTTAGCGAAATCTTAACATCACATTCAGATGGGAGGAACAGTCCACATCCGAATGTTCCGCATCTTGCAGGCCGCGATTTTAGAAGTTGGTACTTGTTTGGCATTTCAGTGCGATGACTAACTTGGTTCAACGGATGTCTCACAGAGTGGACGGTGACGCATGGGTTTTTCTCGTGGATGGGTGGATTCATACTTTGCTGCGATAACAAGCCACGAGCTACTCTCACACCCAAGGAACTTGAGTACTTCGTTCGCGAGGGACACGTGGATATACCTGACATCGTGTAGGCAGACATAGAAGGTCGCAGTAAAGGTGACGCATTATCCAAAGGAATTGCTATTCTGCAGCTGGGGTGGTTCGTCCTCCAGCTTGTCGCTCGTTACATCCAGCACCTTCCCATAACCCTTCTCGAGATCGACACTCTGGCTATAGTTTCTCTCGCCTGCATGGTCTTTTGCCTATGGTGGAAGAAGCCTAAGGACGTACGGCGTCCTTCTTTCATCCATTGGAAAAATAAAACAAAAGCGCCTCCGACAGTATTAACCTATGAGTACGTGGTCGATATTCTCCTCTGAAGTCATTCTTATTCTCTCACATTCTAGAAACATAAATCCAGCTTTCTCCTTGGATGCCTGGCATGATTACCTTATCCTTCTCATCTATCCCTTGAGGAGTCTTATGGGCACTGCTGTCATCATTTCTCCCTGGGCTGTCCGAGCACGTCGGATCCCGTCTTTAGGTGGCTATGCTGATGATAATCGTCATGATCGTAATCATGTCATTACACTTTTCCTTGGGTGCTTCAGTGCCATTATATACGGCGGACTGCATTGTCTGGGCTGGCATTATTTGTTTTGGGGGCACACAGAGCAGGTGCTATGGCGTGTGGCTTCCATCGTGATAGCGTCCGCATCAGTACCTCTTCTTCTGACATTTGGTGCGGTCATATTGTTTGAATTCGCCCATGATGTTTGGGTTGTGAGATTAGCTGTAGTGATCACCGCTTTCTTATACATTGCTACACGCATTACAATAATCGTACTTGTAATGTCAAGCTTACGATCACTGCCCCCTAGCGCATACGATACAGTGGCGTGGACCAATTCCACCAAGTCTCGTGACTTTTAGCAGATACGCTCACCGAGGTACCCGTCTTCGAACCGAAGACGCCTTCATGTAATGCCAGGATAGGAATTCTAATTTGAAATTTTGATACCACATGGGTATCTACAACATGTGAGCACCTTCTTGCGCAATTCTTGCGCCCTTTTATCTCTCTGATATCATGTATTTCATAGCCAACTCCATCCACAGGAATGTCCACTACTTGGTGGTCGCAATTAAGCAAGCAGCAGGAAGAGGACCAGGATGACCGTGCTTCCAAGTCACAGCTCGGCGAAAATGATCAGGACATTCAGAAACTACCCAACGACGATCCTGACCTGAGTCCTGGAGAACTCACCTTTGAAGAAGGTGCAGTTGCTCACTATTCCTTCAACCTGCGCGTCTGACATGATTCAGATGCTGCCGGAGGCATGGGTCGTCATCTTGGTATAACATCTTGCACTCTCCTTATCGTTGGAAAGATCATCGGCACCGGTATATTCTCAACTCCATCCTCCATCCTCTCCAGCGTGGGTTCGGTCGGCGCTTCCCTCATGCTTTGGGTCCTCGGTTTCTTGCTTAGCTTCTGTGGACTCTTTATATGGCTCGAGTTTGGCACCATGTTCCCTCGAAGTGGCGGAGAGAAGGTATACCTCGAGGCCGTCTACAAAAAACCCAAGTACCTCGCCACAATAATATTTGCTGCCAACGCTATATTACTCGGATTTAGTGCGAGCAATTGTATTGTCAGTCTCTTGTTTGGTGTATGTATTCAGTATTGGAACTTAACTGCTTCGTCAAGGTTTTCGCTAGCAAGTGCGTATCTTGGATCTCGATGAATCGACTTGACTGATATTGTGTAGTATCTTGGTTGCCGCTGGTCAATCTGCAGGTCGTTGGAATGAGCGTGGAATTGCACTTGGAGGTGTGTCTACCACCCCACTGACATACTACGGTCGTTTCATGGCTTCTAGTCATATTCTTCGTAACCCTTCTACATGGATTGACCCCTAAGACCGGCGTACTGGTAATGAACGTATGCAAACTTTTATTTCTGCGCCATCATGATAATCCACACCTTCCTTTCAGTTCCTCTCGATATTCAAGATCGTAATTCTGGTATTCGTTGTGGTCACAGGCTGGGTAGTTCTCTCTGGTAAAACCCGCGTCGCGGATCCATACTATAATTTCAGAAACGCGTTCGCGGGTAGCTCCACGAGTAGCAACGACGTATGTTCAATGATATTCCTAAACGCATATGTGCTGACTATGGTCTTGACAGTATGCAACCGCTACCTTTAAAGTTCTGTATGCATATGAAGGATGGTCAAACGTGAACTACGTGATGAACGACGTCCGTAAACCAGTGAGGACGCTCAAGATCGCGGGTCCGCTCGGTCTTGGTATATGCACCATTTTGTACTTGCTTGCAAATGTGGCTTATTTCTCGGCTGCGACCAAGGTGAGAACTTCTTTTTATTTCCATCATGAACGAAATACTGAATAGTATCGATAGACTGAGATTGATGAGTCTGGCGTTACTGTCGCTGCTTTGTTTTTCGGGAATGTCTTTGGTTCCGTTGCGGAGCGCGCACTATCGGTTTTCATTGCCCTCAGGTGAGCTCGACAGTCGTGAGTTCGAGGGTTTTCTGACTCGATGTCTTCATGACAGCGCTATTGGAGTGAGTCCTATACATTTCGTATCATGATCCCTGTTTGATAATGGGCCATAGAATGTCATCACTTCGGTAAGTTGTGGGATGCTATGGAAATATGTGGCTCAAGGACTTGTCATGTAGACTTTTGCGGCAGCACGAGTAAACCAAGGTTCGTCTTACCAGGCATCGTAATTCTACCTAGCTCATGCCCCCATCGCAGAGCTCGCAAAGGAAGGGATACCCTTACCATTCGGAAACAAATTCTGGGCTTCAAATTGGCCCACCGGGAAGTCCCCACTTCCGGGATTGATAATCCACTTGATACCCTCTGTAAGTGCTACCCTAGAACTGTAATATCAATCTGAGATTGGTTTTGTAGGTTATCGTCATCATCGCGCCTCCCCCGAACATTGCTTACCCCTTCATTTTGGACGTCGAAGGGTACCCACAGCAGATTATCAATTTCTTTATTGTCATCGTAACTCTTTCATCTCTTTCTCGAGTGTTTCCTTCCAATTGATGCTACCAGGCTTTGTTCTATCTGAGATGGAAGAAACCGGATGCTGTTCGACCATCCAAAGGTGAGCAAATATGTCGCTCTTTCTGTGTGATACGTTAATGCGTATGATGTAGTATGGTGGCCTCTCGCTGTATTCTTCTTGGCTGCTGCTTCCTTCCGTGAGTTATTCATCTACAACTCCAACACTTTCTTTCCCTGACCAAATTTCCACGCAGTCCTCGTTGCTCCCTTCCAGGAACCAGCCAATGGCGTCGGTGACACCCCACCGCTACCATATTACCTGTATGCTTCTTCCACCAGCACTTATCCACTCGTCACTTATTCTTATTCCTCGCTTGTCATACAGGTACTGCCTTGTCGGAATTGCTGTCATGTTCGTAGGCGTGCTGTACTGGGCTGCATGGCGAATCATACTGCCCAAAGTATTTGGCTATGAGCTTGTACCGAGGAAGGAACGATTGGACGATGGAACTTTTGTCACTGTAGTGAGTGTTGTCTTTTTATTCTATATTTGCTTGTTTTCATTCAGTGTCTCCTGGTTTTGCTCACGGATCTTATTTCAAGTTTTCGAATAAGAAAACTCAGTGATTTGGGGATTGATTGGAAGTGCTGATAAGCTGGTATTAATATTTGCATTAGTTTAGTGCGATGTTGTTGTAGCGGTGTTATTGAGGTGGTATTCGTGTAACATGAGTTTTTCTGCTTGAATCGACGAACGCAATCATGATAGTGTTGTTAGTGGTGAAACTGAATGGATAATATGTGTAAGTCTACGTGGTATGGTACGTGTCCGAATCATAATATGCCAGCGCACCACATCACCTGCATACGAAGGAAAGACGCATATGACGAAACATATCCAACATGGGGTCACTGGCCCCAAGGACTCGACCCGATGCAAAAGAGTCTACGCGGTCTTGAGATGCTTAACACCCCCAAGCTCTCTACTAAATGCATAGCACCAGCGCACGATGCCAAGTACCGCCAACAAGCACAGCAACGCAACAAGAGCGATGCAGCCTTGCAGCAGGTAATGCATGTCCAGCGCCAGAGCATTCGTCGTCGCAATCAGGTTTTCTGCAAGCAGCATCAAAGATGCACCAACATCGGAGGAGAGAGCGTCGGTTTTCTCCGTGAGGCGCTCGATGGTGGTGGTCAGGTTTTGTACGAGCAGGGTAGTAGATGTGATGGTTGTACTAGCGTCTGAGGAGAGGTTGTCCGTCGTCTGCGCGAGACGCTCGATGGTGGTGATCAGAGAGTCTACGAGCTGCTTCCCGCCCAAGCTGTGTATCACTTGTTGGGCGATTTCGGCGTTGAAGAGATCGATGATTGCCATTGATCGAAAGGCGTTTGTGAACTATAGCTGGTGGGGGCTAGGACGTCAGCATGAATTGTGAGTGAATGATTGTATCACTTGCAGTGTGCGGTCCAATTTTTAAGTAATTAAAGTAACTCGGACTCGGCGAATGGCATGTATTGGGAGTCAGGGACGTCCGGTTCCTACAGGTTGAAACGTTGAAGCCACGTACTTGCATTCGTGGCCCACGCATCATGCATTAAGATTTGGGTGCAACAATTGTCCGCAACTGTTTTCGTGCTGTCGACAACACACGTGCCAGGGGCCTTGCAGCATGCCCTGAACTAGTATCTTCTTTTTCTCGCCTCAACTTCATCCACAATATTTTCCCGTGGAATTTGCACATCGGTTTAATCCACATACGTGGGTGCAACGATGACACTTGAAGTGAGTACTGCATTCAAACAGGTTCATCGGATAGTAGGAGTGGTGGACGTCAGGAAGGGTCACTTCTTTGTCATGGCTTCAGCCTGCAATCGAGTCTGTTCTTGCTCTTTCTATTCGAGCTGCTTGCCTAGGAGAACACCAGCTTGCACTTCTGACAGCAAAGAATTGATCGTCTCATCACACTTGTCCTGGCCACAAGCATGCACCTTTACCGCCACCGCCATCCTGCTCAACTTAGCGTTCCGAAACAACGAGGTCGATGCTCTTCGTGGAAGTGGAATCATAAGCCCCACGCGTTTTCTGCATGCAGATTCGCTGCTGCTTCCCTTCGCAATGCCTTTGTTTTGGTGATCACAGCGTGCTCTGTAGTTGCGGTAGCTGCAAGTCTTGGAACACTCCAAAGGAACAAACCGTCGAGCGTCAGATAAACTCATCGAGGCTCTATGTGATATCATCGAATGATGAGCGCATTCAAAACAGCGACGCATGGCGTCTCGAGCTGATGCTAACACTCTTGGGGGCAACCATAGGTGTGAAGAAATGGAATTTCTCAGATTTTCCCATGAGCTGGGTCGTGACAGTTCTTTCCCTTGTCACGAATGCATTTTCGTCGCCACTGTATTAGGTTTGTTTTGTTAAACTAGGGCGGACTTACTGGGGCGGACTTACTCGTGCTCGCGACCCCGGCTCTTTGAGCCTCTTGGTCGAGGAAGCTGACCGTTTTGTGACGATACCACTCCGGACCCGGCGAGCATTGAGGAACGAAAAGGATGGAACGCTAGCAAGGCCTGAAAAACAGGGCCAATGTTCCATGTCCCGAGCCACCACGAGGTCCCGACCTGGACGACAGCGACCACCAATGTCCTGAAGAAGGCGCAATGTCTGTATGTGTGGAACGTGCCTCTCAATTCGTGCCTGAACCTACGGGCCACGAGTGACGTGGGCCGGGGTCCTGTGTTACCAGTGGGTATATGGACCTTAGCGGGAGATGGTTCCAAGTCCAACGACTTATATGGTGTACTACTACTGTAAATCCTAATACCTGTCTTGACCTTCCGGAAGAGAAAAAATGACCGGGGTAGTCTTCGTGTATGTAGCCTTTGTCAGACATGTGTGAGGCAAGGTCCGCCGCAAGGAAGATGTTCCCTGGATAAATCAAAATTAGGTGTGAGCGGCTAAAAATGGTAGTAATATTGTTGGCAGCTACCTAATTACTTTCATGAAGGTGGTCCCACTCGCGAACTGAGTTCGACGACGCCGACAGCTGCGACGAACTGCTAGTAGTAGTTCTCATCAATCGTTTGAAGACGACGCTCAACAAGGTTCCGAAGAGTGGTGGACTCGGACGTCAAGAAGATTCATTCATTTCAGGTGATCCGTCATGGCCGAGGATCAACTTGGAATCGAGTCTGCACCTACTCCCTCCATCAAGAGCTTAAAGAGCAGATTCGAACAGCTTGCTCAGGATAACACAGCTAGCAAGCCACTCAAATTAAACAACCCAATTATTACTACATCCCCTCGCCGGCAGTGTAGGGATTCGGACTCTCGCGTACAACAACGTGAGCTGCGCAACGTTTTGCCCAACTCTGATGTGAGTCCAGGCCAAAAGCGTGCACCACCACCGCCTCCCCCTTCCCGCTCAGCCAAAAAACCACTTCAATCACCTGCTGCGTCCCCATTGTTGAGACCTGTACCTGTACCACCTGCTCTCAGATCACCACGCGCAAGTCCAGAACACTTGTTAGTGTCTGGCCAGGACAACACGTACGATGACGATACTCCTCGTGGCGGTGGAGTGGCATCATTGAGAGAACGTTTCACGTAAGTGCTTCAGTCATGTCATCGCCCGCCAATCCCATAAATCTTTCCCTATGCTACCCTTGTTAGGACCGCAGCTGCTACTCCACATCGAGCTACAATAAAACCGGCTCCACGGCTTTCCCTTTTACTGACTCAAAGCGAACCAAACGTCCTCGACTCCACCCCTCCACTCCTGCACCGACCTGCTTTATTATCCCCTCAGTCAGTCTTAAGCCCGGAAGACACTCCGTCTGACGAATATTTTGACGCGCCCGAATCACCCCGCATGACTGGTGTCGCCTCTCTTAGAAATCGTTTCTCGTGAGTATTGCCAGCTTCGCATTCGAAACGGAAGCGCTAACATTATTGAAGCACATTAATTTCCCATACACCTCACTCCGCACCTAAACCCCTTCCGCATAATGACAATCTTGCATCCCATTCAGAACCTAACATTCTTGCACCTAGTCCACCAACGACTGGGACCCTCCGCCGTCCTCCACCACCACCGCCCCATCGCTCTGCTCTCTTTGACAACGGCGATGATTTATTTGATAATACCAGCTCCAACTCATCAAGACACAGTCCCTTCTCTGATGACGAATGCGACACTTCTGAGATATCACTGCCACCGGCAATAACCTTTCGTGGAAGCCGTTCCCGCGGACACTCAGACAGCATCAGCAGTTCAAGTGACAGTGTAGCAAGCATCTCTCCCCCACACAAACCTCTTTCACGGCCAAGTCTGACCGTCCCCCCTCCTCCCCCTCCACGACGGGCCGGAAACGAGAACAGTCGCAACTCCTCGGCTAGCTCAACTCCTACCCCCAGTAGTCCCCCTCCCCTCCCCTCACGTCGACCCACCCCTGAAGATATCCCAGACGTCACATTACCCCCTCCTTCCCTCCCCGCACGCCATAGCATGAACATAGGCACACCCTCACCTACCGACTTCATCTCCGACCGCAAACCCCTCGGAAGCAGCAAAGCCCTCGGAAGCAGTAAGCTCCCACCCCCACCAACGCGTACGATCGCACCAGGCGATAAACTCCCTCCCGCACGACGCACACACGCCCCTTCATCAGACGAAGAATCTGGTGCAGAAGAGGGAGGCGATGACCCACGCATGCTTCTTCCAGACGCGAGTCGTGCATCCCGTCGTCCACCCACCCTGCGCACGCCCAAGATGCACGTTCCTGCATACGCAGCCCAAGTGCTAGTAGCCGGTACGCGCGTGCTCGTCGCTACTCACCACCACTTGCGCTGCTTCGATCTTGCACGGCACGCTGATATACCGATATGGGTAGGGGACACGAAGGACATGGGAGTGCGCGATGCGAAAGTGACTGCGCTTGAGTTTCGGGCTGGGAGTGCGGGTAGTGTGGTATGGGCTGGGACGAAGGAAGGGCATCTCATCGAGCTGAGTATGGATTCAGGAGAAGTGACAGGCTCGAAGTTCGGTGTCCATGCGGGTGTTGTGACGCATATATTCCGACACTGCAACGCGATGGTCAGCGTCGATGAAAGCGGGAAAGTGCTCGTATTCGAACCGACAGCTGCATCCGGCTCCGAAGTCCCAAGTCTCACATATACCGCCCCACGGGTGTACCGCATCGCAGAAAAACAAGAATTCGTAAAGTTGCTTGGGGGTCTTCTCTGGACGAGCGTACGCAGTGACGTCAACGGCTCTGGACCCACTTCAGTACCCATAGTCAGGATCTACGATGTTTTCACCCCAGGCAGCATCGCACGTCCCGCGAGCGTCCTCCCGAACACTACCCATCACGTCGGCGCAGTAACAAGCGGCACGCTCCTCCAATCACATCCGGGGTTCGCCTATCTCGGGCACGAGGGTGGATTTATCAGTATCTGGAGTTTACCCGCAGGACCCGAGTGCACGGACGTAGTAAAAGTGAGCTCATCGGACGTTCTGAGTCTCGAAGGCGTCGGGATGCGTTTGTGGGCTGGTGGACGCACAGGTGTCATATGCGCGTATGACGTGTCGTCCCGCCCTTGGGTCGTGACAAACGCATGGAACGCGCACTCTGGATTACCAGTTATGCGCATATTTGTAGATCCGTGGTCGATTGAGAAAGAAGAGAAGTTGAGTGTGGTGAGTGTTGGTAGGGATGAGCAGGTGAGATTTTGGGATGGGTTGTTGGGAGTTGATTGGATTGGTGCGTGCTGTGTTCTTTTTACGGATGTGGGCTGACGATTCGGGGCAGGTAACGAGCTCTTGAAGCGCGAGCGCGAATTTAGCTCTTTCCGCACCATCAACGTCCTCGTCGTTTCCTGGAATGTAGACGCCGCCAAACCCGATGCACTCACCGACGATGCAGCAAACCTTACCTTCCTAAACGACGCTCTCACATCCGTCTCACCCGCACCTGACATCATCTCTTTTGGATTCCAGGAGCTAATCGACCTCGAAAGCCGCAAGATGGCTGCAAAGACTGTATTACTAGGTGGAAAGAAAAAAGGTGAGGAGGGCAAGATATCCGAGAAAGTGACTTCAAGTTATAAGCGATGGCATGATCGGCTTGTGAAAGAGGTTCGCGCGCTTGCGGAGGGCTATACGGTAATACATACCGAGAGTCTTGTCGGGCTTTTTACGTGCATGTTCGTGAAGAACTCGGAGAAGACTGCGCTCAAGAATGTAGCGATAACGACGATCAAGCGGGGGATGGGTGGGAGGTATGGCAATAAGGTATGCTTGTTTTTGTCTTTGTCGAAGTGCGCATGCTGATGATATGTATCCAGGGAGGTATTGTTGCGCGATTCGTGATCGGTGATTCGTCGATTTGTTTCATCAATTGTCATCTTGCTGCTGGGCAGCATCACGTACGACAGCGCAATGCAGATGTAGCCGCGATGTTGGAAGAAAAGTCAGTGTTTCCGTCGTCAGATGCTATCGAGGAGTCTCTTGCGTACGTCGGTGGGGGAGATGGGTCTATGGTTCTAGATCACGAGATCGTTTTCGTGCGTTTAATTCATTTTTTTTCTTTGAATCCGTACCCTGATCGATCTTGTCCTAGCTCAACGGCGACCTAAACTATCGTATCGACCAACGTCGTGACGCCGTCATCTCCTCGATCCAATCCGGCGACCTCGAAGCCCTGCACACGCACGACCAACTCCTCAAAGAAATGAAGCACAACCGCGGATTCCGGCTTCGCTCCTTCCACGAAGGACCTCTCACCTTTCCCCCCACTTATAAATATGACCGCCGCTCGAACGAATTTGACACGAGCGAGAAGAAACGGGTGCCAGCGTGGTGCGATCGTGTTCTTTGGCGTTCAAGAGACCCGGAACGTGTGAAGCAGCTGCATTATAAACGATACGAGGCGAATGTGAGCGATCACCGACCTGTGAGCGCTGCGTTTGCCATGACTGTTAAGAGCGTGAGGTTGGATGCGTGGGCGAAGGAGAAGTTGGCTGTGGAAGAACTTTGGTTGGGGACGTTGGTTGAGCTGTTGGCTGATGCGAGGGAGTTCTATGTCGAGCAGGCTTTGATGTAGAATGGAGTGGGTGGTTGGAAAGTCGGGTTTGTGGCATGGCTATATGATTTTTGTATGACTTCACACATGGACTTGGACTATCGTACATGCCATCATTTCGAGATGTAATTTGTAATGGTACTGTTAGGGAGGAGTTGTCTACTTAATTAGAGTTGATCTCCAGCACATGTACCGTTGTGGAAGCTAGTTGATCGTAAATATCCTGCAGTGAACAGAAAGATTTTGGATACAGTAATTCAAAGAAGGATACAACAAATAAATTATGAACGAATTTGTGTCGAAATTCATCAATGCCAAAGGCCGCTCCATCGGTTCCCCGCCTGAGTATGGGTAGATCCCATACTAGTAAATGCCCATGTACCCGACCCTCCAGCCATAGAAGCAGGCCGCAGGCCCACTCCCACAAGCAAAGATTGTCTTGATCTCCTACTTGAATGCACGCCGACGTTCACGTGCAATACGCGCTTCATGAGCTGCTTGACGCGGCTACTGACACCAAAACGTTTCGGCAGCTCGGGTTCGCCGCGCGGGGCGTACGACAGCGTGCTGAAGTCAGGAAAACTATCATGCGAGCTCGAGCTGTATTTTCCGTTTGAGGTGCTAGGTTTTGAAAGAGGTGTGGAAATGAGTTGGAGTGGGTGAATGCGGGGACGGTGTGATTTGGATGAAGGATGGAGGTGGGACGGCGGTGATGGCGGATGTGGAGGGAAGAACTGGGGAGAGAACGGCTGGAGGGGTTTTGGGGGGAGAGATAGGTCCAGATGTGTGCGTCATTGAGCTTGATAGTCCCATGTTGACGATAGACCATTGGTCACTAAAGGAAGATGAACAAGTGAGGCCTGGAATATTTTTTATGTACGTACGGTCGTTCAAACCAGCCGGTCTTTTTGAGTTCGGCACGGGCAAGGTTGTTGAGTCTGTCAAGTGGACTACTGTTGGAGAAAAACTACTAGGCGTTGGTTAAATATTGAGACGCTGAACAAATTTCACAGACCATCTTGGTCATTTCGCCGCATGATGATTCATCCTATTGGTATCTGTTAAACTCGATTTATGCCGAATAGATATGGACATACCAAGGAAGCCGTATCATCGCAGGTATAGAACGCATCGTCATATGAGGCAATTCTGCTGAGCCTCTTGATTGTCTCGGATGAAGTGCATGAAGGGTCTCCGATCATCGATGAGGCATCGGCGAGTTCGTCATCATCGTAGATGTAGCTGACGTCGAATAAAGAGGGCTCGCGGCGGGCATAGCGAGCATGCTGAACTTGACTTTCCTGACTTGAGCGACTCTGATGAGTAGGTATGATGTTAGCCCCCGAGGCGCATGGTGAGACTGCATACTGTCTGGGGCTTGTGTATCTCGATGGTGTTTACGCGCAAGTCTTTTCGTGACTCCCGGGAGGAAGGATTGTCAAAAGCATCAGCAACTCTACCAAGGAGTTTGAATGCATCTTCAGCGACAGCCATTTGTCTCGTCGTTCGAGGAATTCAGGAGGGGCCACTGATAAGAGGAACTTATATGTGGCTAGGGCCGTCAGCCTCAACCATGTCAGTGGTTCTAGGAAGTCAGCCGCCAAGAAGTCGGCTGACGCCCCAGGCCTGTTGCCCAACCATTGATAGAATAGGGATGCTCACACCTGGGAGCTTAATAGCCCTTAGTACTCCCTTATGGTTTATCTTTGACAGCGGATTATATAATACATTGTTCTCCCGGCTCCGTACCCAGTATCCTCGAAACCAAAAGAGGTTGCTGTGCTCCTCAATTGTGATAAACTCCTGTATTATCATGATTCGATAAATACACTATTTACTAGACGAATACCGGTGCTCAAAAGTTAGCAGTCTGCATCTTTTTTCCCCAAGTCCATCAAGTCTTCTTGTCACGCGGACCCGTGGTGATGGCAATGGAAGTTAAATTTAGACAAGACGGAAAGAACGCGACAACCCCATCGACTTGAAGAATCAATTCCAAAATAAAAAAATACTGTAAAAGAAAGCATTCCCAAGATACTTTGAGCGCTTCAGCAGAAATACAACATTTTTATCACCGGATGTAGCATGGTCAGAAATGAACACGGATCGTACTTACTTCAATTGTCCCACTCCTTGAGTAAAACAGGCCTATTCTCGTCTTTCTTAACGAGTCTGACAGCAAAGTCCATGTCATATCCAGGGACCAGTGGACATCAGAAATGGGAGGGGGCGGCAGATACTTCTCTCTCACAGAATTAATGAGACTCGGAATGATCAATGGTCTACTGGCAGAGGGATAATAATATTGGGTGTAAGCATGAGCACAGATAAGCATAAATTGTAAGCTCCCAAGTATGAGCGTCCCCGATAATGCATCATCGATATCGCAAATCCTATTTGTGAGATTGCGAAGGTTCCATGTTATGACGATGTGTTTTTAAGAAGCTGGTTTTTGAATAGCACCCCCCTTCAGCCATCTATCGGGCGACCTGCACTTTGTCAGGAGCTTTGTCACGAAGAGACCCAGGCGAGGACCTCTATGAATGATTCAGTGTTGTGATGATAAAAGTGCTTGAATTTGCTTTCGATGACTGTCTTCAAGTTCCTGGATGCCACTGAGAGGACCAATCGCGTCCCTGTACACTCCTGGTTTTTGGAAGTATCTCGAGTCGATGATAAGCCAAAGTCGTTGAAGACATCAGTCCCTCAACCGTCTGAGGTCCGATGTACTGTTGATCGTTAAGGTTAACATTGCTGTCATGGACATCGTTTTTCCAGAGGGTACGATAGCCTATTGTCATAATGATAATGATACACAGTAAAGAGCGCAAGGAAGAACGACATACAGACGACATTTTGGCATCATGCGCCGAGAAACTCGTCCAATTCAGCTTTATAATTGGAAGAGGATTTACGGATACGATAGAGTATGTGACGCGGCTGACTCGGGCCCATTGAGCGTCCTCCATGTCTAGCACCGTGCTGTTTTCGACGTAAATGGATTTTTGCAACGAAGGATTATTGCTGAAACATTACTTCACCAGGGCATCTCCGGCCTGAGTGAGTATCGGTCACGATGAGGTATGAATTAGTGTTCCCCGACTCTGCGAAATAAAGAAGGTTTTTCTTACCTTGCCTGCCTAGCTTATACATGTTCGGCCCGTAATGTGAGTGTGACTCCTTTCGATGTGATTCTATCAGTATAAACCTCCGCAATGGCCTGACGTATTCGGCTTTTCTTGCTGCATATGAGGATCTATCAGATAGGGCAGATGATTTATTCTAGAGGACTGTAAGCGTTCTATCCATAAAGGCATTTGAACTCCGCTTAATTTTGCGTGCAGGTCATGTGATCGCGCAATACACGCTTCCTGTTCTCGAGGCGGATCGGTCACATCTAACTATCAGCTCCGCGAGAGACACCTCAGAAGTGCCGGCGAAGCTGAGTATACGGAATCCATGAACCACTGTGACATCAATACGACTCCTCCTTTTCATACCTCCTTTTCATACCTCTCACCATTAACTCGTTCTCCAAGGAGAGGTTCTGCATTCGAATTTCGAACCTGGCCCGGGTACAAACGTGAAATGGACAACCTCGAACGCGTTCGACTACATTCAGTGGTGATGTCGCCCTATTGCAGTCAGGACTTTTTGGCTTTGTGGAATTGGGCCTGCTGATTATAACGTATCAAGACGTACCAACTTTTTGCGACGAGGAGGATTGTGTAAAGTAGTGAACACAAGTACCAAGAGGATGGCACGAGCTGTGATGTATAACATGAAAAATAACGCATATATCGTGTCGAACACCGCATCTAGTGTGTCCAAGACGCTCAAGAACAATACCGTGACGATGCTAAGCTAGAATGTGTGATGGCACTGATGCGCCATAGCGCCTGTTCCTTGTATGTGAGAAAGATCAAAAATGCCAAAGATGGCGGCTATAGGCAATTCAGCAAGCCGAAAATATGTCCGTCGCTTCGAGTTTGAATGTAGGAACTCGGAGCTTTCGAAATGTGCGATTTTCAGCCCAGCCTATCAGCTCTATAGTTGAGCAGAAGACTCGATGCAAGATCTGAAGCCGAGCAAATTCGTCTCTGTCATTGACAGTGGACACTAAGGCCAACAGAATCAGCAATGGTATAGTTGTTGAGGCACATACATACTTGATGTGATCGTCTGGCCTCTCGGACTCGTTTGACTTCCAGTACACTGGATGTGGGCATTGCACATTAAGAAGCTTGTCCTATTAGGTAGAACCACCAAAGCGGGTGTTCCCACTTCGAGCTGCGTGGTTTCGAGGCGATAGATGACACGGGTGATGAGCTGCATAACAAACCAGGCCACCTGAAGCATGACCAATCCTTTTGATATCGCATTGCCTTTGCTCTTGTCCTTTCTAAGGATCAATATAGTGAGTTGTGAGACGCAAAGTTTCCAAAAGCACGACTTACCTCCAGGCAAACATGGCATACCCCAATTTCTCGAATCTTGTAACTTGGCGAGCGCTAAGCCGCTGGCGCATAGCCCATGTGATGATTTCAGGAGCGATTAGTGCCATTATCATCATGCCAAGTCGCCGCAGTAGGATACGAAGGGGGCTATGCTTGAGACTCGGGATATTGGGGTGAATGGTTGAAACTATATATGCACGCAAATAGAGCTAGAGATGACGGTCCGTATGGCTCTGGCCGTGAATGATGGGGCTTTAGAACTGTGGTTAGTAGTAACATTTGTTGTATCTGTGATAGGTGCAGCTTGAATCACTCCAATGACGGAGAGGAAGACGCAGGAAAGTACCAAGCACGACATTTTGGGGGTGTGTCGTATATATCCTATTCGCTATTTGCATTTTGAGGTAGACTGGTCTTGAGCGTTCCGAAGTTGACGAAAACAAGATACCCTCGGATCATTCGGCTACCATGTGATATGTCCCAAGGGCCGCGCGGGCCATGGCCTCCGAGTCTGCCCATCCAGCCCTGCTGATGGCAAAACCTGACTCTTCACGCAACTTGAACATTGATATTGCAAATGGCAAATATTATATCAAACGTCACAGAACTCTTGACACAATAATTAGACACGCTGAATGACCGAAGCCCATACCATCGCGTCCGCTGATTTGGTATGCAGTAGAAGAGAGTACTTGATCGATTACCTTTTCTCTAGCCGTTTCACAATCAGACCACGAATGCGATAAACTCTCGATCCTTTGGTTACTCGGCAGTTCGCCAACTGTCCACAATGTCTGTATGAATGTGAGACCGTTTCGAAATACTGCAAGGGAAGATCTCAGGACAGCTGGAGCAACGAAACTGTTAGTGACAAGATAGAATGTCACAAGGAAGTCAGTACCGAATCACTCCCGCTATGAATGTGGGAGCAAAGCTGATTGCTTTGCCCTGATCATCTTTGGCCGAAGAAATATCCAATGTGGCCAACATAGTGACAATAGCAGACCACGTGGAGGAATCAGCGGTATACCGTCCTGATTAAAGCCTACTTGTCAGTGAATCTTCTATAGTATTGAAATGACTTAACGAACCTGGACATCTACGCCGGCCAAGGCCAAAAATGTATTGTGCAGGGTCATCATCTGTCAACCCGCCATCGTTGTTGATGAACCTCTCTGGGATGAAACGAGATGCATCGGAGTACCGCTTTTCATCCCGTGTAATGCCCCTACAACTTTCATGTCAGCGTTACGAAAACTGGGAGATACATATCGAACCATGTGTTGTATGTGATGATTGTGCCTGATGAACGATATAGTGAACAATCATTGTGTTGACGGGACAAAAAAAACAGCGAACCTTTTGGAATAAAATAGCCATTGTATACATCATCACTCGAAGCGGCGTGCGGAACGCCTATGAGATCATCTTCAGCACAGGTAAGATCACTTGACGAGGAAGAATACCGAGGGGTACAACGGGCTCCCATCGTAAAGTCTCTCGCACAATTGCTTCAATGTAGGGTAGTGATGCCTTGTCCTCGAACGTCGGCAGTCGTTCTCTTCCGACCACTGAGTCGATTTCTGCTTGTGCGCGTTTCTGAACATCTGGATATAATACCATGGCCAAAACAAAAACCATCAAAGTCGCCGCAGTCTGTAACGGGGATAAACAGCGGACGACATGATGGGGTTATCTACTCACTGTCTCGTATGAAGCTGTGTGATATTAGTGTATGTCGAGAGCACAGCGTTGCCTGTAGAAAAACTTACTTACCTATAATAGCAGTAGTAGCTGCTTTCTTTAAGGCATTCGAGAATGCAGGTTTGAATGCCTCTTCTTGCGTCTCCATCCGTCGCAAATTTTCAGCGACCATTGAAGATTGAGCGAGGAATGAGCTGTCGGCCTTGGAAAGGATCGAATCAGTGTCTGGGACTAGGTGAAAATAAATACCCACCATGTGCTGTTGCACGTATCGAAATGGCACGTTGGCCATTTCATTCATGCGCTCGGTCGAGGCTCGAGCACCACGCTTGATCGAGGATCCCCAGCACCAGTCAGGTAACTTTAGTACTACATTTCACAAAAGTGCGTGTCGTGTTAATGCTGTCACATCTAAGAAAGTTGAGCTCACAGAAGGGGAATGTCTTGAGCATCAATACTCTCTCCGAGGTGATCAAGGTCAAGCCTGGAATCAGCGCCTTTATCACAATCTGCACCATAGGATCATCACGAGCACTAATATTGTAGTCATATACAGTCGACATCACAACAGACAACGAGAATCTGTGAACGAATCAATGATCATCCAATTTGTAAAAAATAATTTGCTGACGTTGCGAAGTGGTCATGATAATGTTGAGGGTCATCGATTAGGTTGACGACAATCTCAAGAGCCCGCCTGATCTGCATTGGGCGAAATTTTACTGCAGACTCGGGACGGAAAGTTTGATGGAAGAGCCGTCGGCAGAGACGCCATTCATCGCCGTAACCTATAAATGCAAAATTGACCGACAAGCCATATCTAGTACAAGAACCTCAGAGCACTTAAACAGAAGAATACTGAAAGAACGCACGGCTTGACTGTGGCTACGTATGGTCGATCGGAGTAGATACGAGAACGCTTGTCCAATAAGGCTTCTGCGATGTCCTGAGAATTGACCACGACCATTTCCTCGTCTAAACTTCGCACGAAGACCAAATCTCCTGATACAATAGTTTGCATCATGTACGCCCACTACTGACTGTTCACGTACCATACACAGCGCTCCATTCTGTATAAGTCAGCCAAGGCTCCTTAGCGTCGATAGATAAGACGTTCCCTAATAGTGGGAGTGGTACTGGGCCAGGAGGAAGAGGAGGGTTATCCTGTCGTTTCTTGTTGAAGCGCCTAAATGCCTTGACGGCGACAAAGGAAAAAGAAATGCCAGCGAGGAGAATAAGGCGACGATCGACTGCAGAGGCTATGATTCGAGCAGTGGGTTAGCCAATTGCATATTACACAATTGTCCTTTTACTATCCACGCGTACGGAGTAGTATAATCGACGGCGATTATGCAACTTGGCAACGTCCTATCGCCACCATACATACATATTACTTCTGGCGCGAATCTCATCGACTTCTGCAGGGGCGGCAGTCATCAGGAAAACCCTCCGCTACAAATTTAGATTAAGTATATCAAACTTCTCCAATCTGTGATAAAATAGACAACTTAGCGGTTTGGAGAGACTTTTTTTTACTGCCACACGAGGAATTGTTTGTGCATGCTAAATGTGTGATAATTATCTTCAACTTCAGACAAACTTACAACCAAGAATGTTTAGATACAGTCTGAACGCTTATGCCGGGGTTCGAGTTGTTTACATGAACGAATTAGAGTTGATTACAAAAATAGGGTATACATTGACAACCATCACGTGATAAAGTATCACATTGAGTGACTGTAACGGAGCGGATGTGACCTTCACGCGACTTGAACATTAATATTGCAAATGGCTAATATTACCAGATGTTATGGAACTCTTAATACAATAGCTATACACGCGAAGCCCATACCGTTTATCTCTTCTGCCGACCTGGTGTACACTAGCAGGAAGTACTTGGTCAATTACATCACCTTTAGCTGTATCCTAAACCGTTGAGTCACTGATGTGACAAACTGTCAATCATTCTCTCAAAACTCGGCAGTTCGCCAACTGTCCACAAGGTCTGGATGAATGTGAGAACGTCTCGAAATGCTGCAAGGGAACATCTCAGGGGAGCTGAAGTGGCGAAACTGTTAGTGACGAGAGGATAGAATGATACGAGGAAAGTTAAGTACTGAACCATTCCCGTGATGAATTTGGGAGTAAAGCTGATCACTTTGCCCTGGTCATCCTTTGCAGGAGAAATATCCAACGTGGCCAACATGGTCGCAATGGCAGCCCACGCGGAGGAATCAGCAGTATACCGCCCTGATTAAAGCCTACTCGTCAGCGAATCTTTTATAGTATTAAAATAACTTGACGAACCTGGACATATGCGCCGGCCAAAGCCAAAAATGTATTGTGCAGGGTCATCATTTGTTAATGTGCCATCATTGTCGATGAACCTCTCTGGGATGAAACGAGATGCATCGGGGTACCGCTTTTCATCCCGTGTAATGCCCCTACAACTTTCATGTCAGTGTCACAAAAACTGGGAGAAACATATCGAACCATGTGTTATATGTGATGATTGTGCCTGATGGGCGATAAATTGAACAATCATTGTGTTGGATGGACAAAAACAGCGAACCTTTTGGGATAAAATAGCCGTCATATACGTCATCACTCGAAGTGGCATGTGGTACGCCTATGAGATCATCTTCAGCACAGGTCAGATCACTTGGCGGGGAAGAATACCAAGGGGTACAATGGGCTCCCATCGCAAAGTCTCTCGCACAACTGCTTCAATGTAGGGTAGTGATGCCTTGTCCTCGAACGTCGGCAGTCGTTCTCTTCCAACTACTGAGTTGATCTCCGCTTGTGCGCGTTTCTGAACGTCTGGATATAATACCATGGCCAAAACGAAAACCATTAAAGTCGCCGCAGTCTGTAGCGGGGATAAGCAGCGGACAACATGATGGTGTTTTCCACTCACTGTCTGATATGAAGCTGTGTGATATTGGTGTATGTCGAGAGCACAACGTTGCCTGTAGAAAAAATTACTTACCCATAACAGCAGTAGTAGCCGCTTTCTTTAAGGCATTCTCAAATGCAGATTTGAATGACTCTTCTTGCGTCTCCATCCGTCGCAAATTTTCTGTGATCATTGAAGATTGAGCAAGGAACGAGCTGTAGGCCTTGGGAAGGATCGAATCAATGTCTGGGACTAGGTGAAAATAAATCAATACCCACCATGTGCTTTTGCGCATATTGAAGCGGCACGTCGGCCATTTCATTCATGCGCTCGGTCGAGGATCGAGCACTACGCTTGATCGAGGATCCCCAGCACCAGTCAGGTAACTTTAGTACTACATTCCACAAAAGTGCGCGTCGTGTTAATGCTATCACATCTAAGAAAGTTGAGCTTACAGAAGGGGAATGTCTTGAGCATTAATGCTCTCTCTGAGGAAATCAAGCCCGGAATCAGTGCCCTCATCACAATCTGCACCATAGGGTCATCACGAGCACTGATATCGTAGCCATATATAGTTGACATCACAACAGATAACGAGAATCTGTGAACGAGTCAATGATTGTTTAATTTGTAAAAAATAATTTGTTGACGTTGCGAGGTGATCATGATAATGTTGAGGGTCATCGATTAGGTTGACGACAATCTCAAGAGCCCGCCTGATCTGCATTGGGCGGAATTTTACTGCAGATCCAGGACGGAAAGTTTGATGGAAGAGTCGTCGGCAGAGGCGCCATTCATCGCCGTAACCTATGAATGAAAAATTGACCGACAAGCCATATCTACAAGAACCTCAGAGTTCGTAAACAGAAGGATACTGAAAGGACGCACGGCTTGACTGTGGCTACGTATGGTCGATCGGAGTAAATACGAGAACGCTTGTCCAATAAGGCTTCTGCGATGTGCTGAGAATTGACCACAACCATTTCCCCGTCTAGACTTCGCACAAAAACCAAATCTCCTGATACAATAGTTTGCATCATGTACGCCCTCCACTAACTGTTCACGTACCATACACAGCGCTCCATTCTGTATAAGTCAGCCAAGGCTCCTTAGCGTCGATAGATAAGATGTTCCCTAATAGTGGGAGCGGTACTGGGCCAGGAGGAAGAGGAGGGTTATCCTGCCGCTCCTTGATGAAGCGCTTAAATGCTTTGACGGCGACAAAGGAAACAGCAATGCCAGCGAGGAGAATAAGGCGATGATCGACTGTATGGGCCATGATTCGAGCAGTGTGTTAGCCAACTGCATATAACGCAACCGTCCTTTTATCCACACGTACAGAGAAGTAGAATAATCGACGGCGATTATGCAACTCGGCGATGTCCTATCGCCACCATACATACGTATTACTTCTGGCGCAAATCTCATCGACTTCTGCAGGGGCGGCAGTCATCAGGAAAACTCTCTGCTACAAATTTAGATTAAGTATATCAAACTTCTCCAATCTGTGATAAAATAGACAACTTAGCGGTTTGGAGAGACTTTTTTTTACTGCCACACGAGGAATTGTTTGTGCATGCTAAATGAGTGATAATTATCTTCAACTTCAGGCAAACTTACAACCAAGAATGCTTGAATATATAGATACAGTTTGAAGTTTGAACGCCTATGCCGGGGTTCGAGTTGTTTACAAGAACAAATTGGAGTTGATTACAGAAATGGGGTATACAAACATAGCTTACAGGTATTTAGAGCGAAAGACGTTCTACAAACATCACGTGATATCGGTAAAGTGTTGTAAGGTTAAGCATTACGACTCTACGAGTTCCCGGCACTCTAACTTGAACATGACTCGGACTCACATGAGCGATCCGGAATGCCCGTAACAAATCAATGAGGAAACAGGGACAAAATCCGTGGTGAGTGCACTAGTGTCACCACACCTGCCTAGTATGGAGGTGCTCACACCATGTAACGGAGCGGATGTCCTGTCCATTCCATAGCATGTCCTAGGCTGCGGATGCATCCAGCCCTAATGATCGCAAAACTTGACCTTCACGCGACTTGAGCTTGAACATTAATATTGCAAATGGCAAATATTACCAGACGTTACGGAGCTCTTGACACAATAGCTATCCACTCGAAGCCCATACCGTTTATCTTTTGTACACTAGCAAGAAGTACTTGGTCGATTACATCCCCTTTAGCTGTATCCTCGGATGTGACAAACTGTCATTCATTCTTTCCGAACTCGGTAGTTCGCCAACTGTCCACAAGGTCTGGATGAATGTGAGAACGTCTCGAAATGCTGCAAGGGAATATCTCAGGGCAGCTGAAGTGACGAAACTGTTAGTGACGAGAGGATAGAATGACATGAGGAAAGTCAAGTACCGAACCACTCCCGTGATGAATTCGGGAGTAAAGCTGATCACTTTGCCCTGGTCATCCTTTGCAGGAGAAATATCCAACGTGGCCAACATGGTCGCAATGGCAGCCCACGCGGAGGAATCAGCAGTATACCGTCCTGATTAAAGCCTACCTGTCAGCGAATCTTCTAGTATTAAAATAACTTGACGAACCTGGACATATGCGCCGGCCAAGGCCAAAAATGTATTGTGCAGGGTCATCATCTGTCAATGCGCCATCATTGCCGATGAACCTCTCTGGGATGAAACGAGATGCATCGGGGTACCGCTTTTCATCCCGTGTGATGCCCCTACAATCAAGTCAGCGTCACGAAAACTGGGAGAAACATATCGAACCATGTGTTGTATGTGATGATTGTGCCTGATGGACGATACGTTGAATAATCATTGTGCTGAATGGACAAAAACAGCGAACCTTTTGGAATAAAATAACCATCATATACGTCATCACTCGAAGCGGCATGTGGTACGCCTATGATATCATCTTTAGCACAGGCCATATCACTTGGCATGGAAGAATACCAAGGGGTACAACGGGCTCCCATCGCCAAGTCTCTCGCACAACTGCTTCAATGTAGGGTAGGGATGCTCTGTCCTCGAACGTCGGCAGCCGTTCTCTTCCAACCACAGAGTCGATTTCCGCTTGTGCACGTTTCTGAACGTCTGGATATAACACCATGGCCAAAGCGAAAACCATCAAAGTTGCTGCAGACTGTAACGGGGATAAGCAGCGGACAACATGATGGCGTTATCCACTCACCGTTTCATATGAAGCTGTGTGATATTGGTATATGTCGAGAGCACGACGTTGCTTGTGAATAGCTTACTTACCTATAATAGCAGTACTGGCTGCCTTTTTCAAGGCATTCTCAAATGCAGGTTTGAATACGTCCTCTTGCATCTCCATCCGTCGTAAATTTTCTGCAACCATTGAAGATCGAGCGGAAAATGAGCTGTCGGCCTTGACAAAGTCGAATTAATGTCGAGAACTAAGAGAAAACGAATGCCCACCATGTGTTGTTGCACATATCGAAATGGCACGTTGACCATTTCATTAACGCGCTCAGTTGAAGCTCGAGCATCACGCTTGATCGAGGATCCCCAGCACCAGTCAGGTATCTTTAGTACTACATTCCACAAAAGTGCGTGTCATATTAACGCTATCTCATCGAGGAGGATTGAGCTCACAGAAGGGGAACGTCTTGAGCATTAATGCTCTCTCTGGGGTTATCAAAGTCAAGCCCGGAATCAGCGCCTTTATCACAATCTGCACCATAGGATCATCACGGGCACTGATATTGTAGTCATATACTGTTGACATCACAACAGATAACGAGAATCTGTGAACAGGTAAATAGTCGTTCAGTTTGTAAAAATCCTTTGCTAACGTTGCGAAGTGGTCATAGTAATTTTGAGGGTCATCGACTAGGTTGATGACAATCTCAAGAGCCCGCCTGATCTGCATTGAACGAAATTTCGCTGCAGACTCAGAACGGAAGGTTTGGTGGAAGAGTCGTCGGCAGAGACGCCATTCATCGCCGTAACCTATGAATGCAAAGTTGACCGATAATCCATATCTGCAAGAACCTCAGACTGCTAAGTAGAAGAATATTGAAAGAACGCACGGCTCGAGTGTGGCCAGGTATGGTCGATCGGAATAAATCCGAGAACGCTTGTCCAATAAGGCTTCTGCGATTTTCTGAGAATTGACGACGATCATTTCCTCATCTAGGCTTCGCAGGAAGACCAGGTCGCCTGATATAATGATTGCACCACGGATGTCATATACTATCTGTTCACATACCATACGCAGCACTCCATTCGGTGTAAGTCAGCCAAGGTTCCTTAGCGTCAATAGATAGGACGCTCCCTAACAGTGGGAGTGGCACTGGACCAGGAGGAAGAGGAGAGTTATGCCGTCGCTTCTTGATGAACCACCCAAGTGCCTTGACGGCGACAAAGGAAAGAGAAATGCTAGCGAGGATCGCAAGGCGACGATCAACTGCAGGGGCCATGATTCAAGCAGTGGGTTAGCAAGCTGCATATAACGCAACCATCCTTATAACCATAGGGAAGTAGTATAATGGACAGCGATTATGCAACTCGGTAATGTCCTATCGCTATATATAAATGTTGCTTCTTGCACAAATCACATCGACTTCTGCGTGGGCAGCGGATGATCTGGCAAGATCCGATAATCATAGAGGATGTGTGAAAAGGAGAAGACATGCACAAAATCTGAAAAGGGTGTAAGATCGGTGCAATGCATCGCGGGGCATCGTGTTCGAATGAGTTCGCATTTCAGATTTTGCTACGTCCACAAAGTGTCCGCCCATCGCAAATTTGATGTTGTCGGATGAATAGATTACCGCCCATGCAGACATCTTTAGGGTCATCTCTTTACATCCCACATTCCGGAAGAAATCATTTTATGCGCCGTCCACCTAGGCAGGTGGATGATACCGACCCTTGCTCCTTACTGGTCAGGGAGGACATGATTGGCGTTCGATGACTACAGTAGATCTTGACCACGTATGCGAACGAAACCCACAAAAATAGTTGAATGAGAGTTCCTCTGGCGGGGATTGCTATTGAATCTACACGCCTATCTTTTGAGATAGTCACAAAAACTGGTCAAAAAAATGCAGACGACTCATCTTACCGACCTTGCAGTACTCGACAGCTATCCTTGAGCTTGGCTCAACCGTGTAGCGTCACTCTAGAATGTCGGTGTTAAAGCGGTTGAAAACATCAAGGAAAATCATCACACATTCATCGATGGCCTTTCAGTTAATGGAAACCTGCAATTTGAAGGGGTTAGTTTATGATATTCGGGATCGTATTAGTCACCGGGGCATGTTATGCTTCTTTCCGTCCGTTGTCCATGCCAAGCAGGCTTCCCAGCTCGATCATCTTCGCATCCCTTTACCCTAGCGCTTCTTCCATCCTCTTCTCGCAATCTTTGTCTTGTCAAGCAAGGCAAGTTCTCTCTTCCGTGCTCTGAATCACGAAGTTTTTTCCGTCTTCTACCTTTCACCTCAATCGATTGGCGTCTGGATAAAGTACAGACTGTTTATTGAGACGCGAATATGTTAGCATTATCATCGAGACAGGCGCAAATAAAGGCGCAAGTAGGCGACAGGAAAAATACAACAATGACTACTTACCACCAGTAAAACAGCCGGTGACGCGAATGCAGACATCTTGCGTCTCAAAGATGGTTAGCGTTTGGTGATGCAGTCAAGGTCGGACTCCGAGAGATAGCAGAGGCAGGTCGCAGACGGGCTACACGAAAGTTGCGGGAAGCCATACATCATGTATTGGAATGGGGTTCCAGCGCCAGCGCAAAGTTATGAGGTGTGAGTGCAGTTGGAGGTTGGGTACGTGGGCTGCAGGATACTGTAGGGCTGAGATTATTGTTGGGTGTCAGGCGGATGTCACGCATGAGCAAGGTTGAATAAGGGGTCGAACAATACCAGAGCAAAAGACACATTCAACTTCTCTTCCTTTTCGCCCTTTGCAAACTCATACACTTTCCGAGGTATTGCAGTCTCACCCTCGCGCACTTCTTCTGGCCAGACAGCGGTAGAGCTGACTGCAAGCGGGGTGGAGTTGAGCTCGGGCCCAGTATCAACATCGTGGAGTGGCGTCTTTGGCGCAATGACACTAGTAGTTAGGCTCGTGACCAGCCTGGCGTCTAATACCGAGTCCAAGTAGTAGTAGCATTGGACATGATGAAGATAAAAAAAGTGAACTGAACTGAAATGACAAGACTCCAGCTCCTGCATTATTGAACATAGGCTGGAAGATGTCGATGAGTAAGTACTATTCGGAGCTAATGCTGAGCGCCGAACGCCGACTCGGAACTGACCGGTCAAGTTGACAGTCAACAACTACTAGTTTTGTTATTAAACGCACAATGCCACTGCCAGTCATGACAATGTCATCCATGGCCAAGACCTCTCCAGATTCATCATACAGCTCACGATCTTGCTTTGTCGTTCAGTACGTAGACACAACTGTGGACTGCGATAACGGTCTGTCAAATTTGAAACATCGAAAGTTCAAAATAACCCCCATGATGATGATGCCGCATCATACATCAAGCCAAGTTTTAATGTTGCCCCCGCCGTCGTTTCCCCAACGAGTTGGCGAGTCAGATCCATTAATCCAAAGTCCCTTATTGCGATTCGTTAACCCATACTTTGATTATCATGTACTATCGCCCAATCAAATATTTACAATCAACAAGGTAGCTACCGCAAATGATTAGTATGACCACCCTGGTCCATGTTGATCAACTCCAGGTAGCTGTCATGGTCGTATCGCACTGATATAACTTTATGTTTTCGACTCACGTGTGCTCCATTGGCTCAGACAGGTCATGGCACATCTGACCTGCGTCAGTTAGTATGTTCGCCCAAGCCAACTGCCATTTCATAATGCTTATCATCGGTGCTGCTATCTTTGGGTTCGGTTTGATGTCAACTTTGTGAGTTCCCTTAGCAGCGTACAAGACTAACCTCCTTCAAGCCTTCCCATTCAATTATACCTCATATACACATTTACCCATGCTGCAAGCGCAGCTGCTTCTTTGACCTAGCCCTACCCTTGATATTATCGGCGTTCTCTGAACACACCGTGACTATCAGATGTCCCGTTCAATTTTTCGCATTTGTATTCCCTCCCTTTGGACAAAAATGTTGGCTCTACTTGCTTACGGTCGAGGCAGTTCCTCCTTACGGGTCTTGTCATTGTCATCGGGATACCGTTTCCTATCTCGTTGGCGAACGCATACATGCGAACAGTGCTTTCACCCATTGATTTTATTATTTCTATATCTTTCGATGATCACGACAGGCTGATGGATCCCTTCAATACCTGGACCTGACATCATTGCCACACCTCCGTGTATGTTACTATCAAATGGTTGTTCATCACTGACTCGTAAAGATGTACTTTTTCCGACAGGACGTTTGAGAACAAGCGAGGTTCAGGCCAGATCATATGATTATTCCAAAGACCGCATTACTGATGTTAGACGTTCTATAATTTATTCGCAACGAAGCTCGCAAAGTCTAAATCCAGAAAGGTGTCAAACGGATTCAGAGGTAACACTTTTCCGCGATATCAGTGAAACCTTCCCTGCTGCAACCAGGCCACGCCGGTCAACCCCGTCATGCTACTACTGGCAAGTAAAAAATCTATTCGCGGCCATAAGCTTAAATTTGAACCCAAGTTTGAGCTAGTGTGAAACTCAGAATTATGCTACCCTGGCACCTCGGGCATGACATTGACATTTAATGTGATGGGCCACTGATTGATCAATATTAATCTTGTTCGGAGATGATATCATTAATTCCTATGTATATATCTTGTTCGGATGTATAACAATCCAATCGGACGAGGTGGTTGTTAACTTTGCAACTGTGGTAGCGGTGTACCACGCACAATTCACCCTGTGGCACGTGCAACATAATAACGTAATGACAAGACCTCGTCACTCAACATGATGAACAGCGGAGTCAAAAACTTCTTGGTCCTCGCCAATGCCAACGTGAACGCCAACGACGATTTGTCTGCACAAAAGTTAGCGCCTCCGATATCTCTTTGCTTGTCAGGAATACCTGCCATCCGCGCTCATCAAACTCCGAAGTCGAGTTTCATCAGCGCACTGCGGCACGCGCCCTCCGCCACACCAGGCTCCGCTCATCCATCACTTCGCTGCCCTCGTCCTTTTCCGGCGGTTGAAGGTACGCTTTTGGCACACGCGCCTTCATATGACCATTGTCCTTTGCCAAAACCCGCCCAAAGCCCGCCTTCACTCCGCCACTGCCTTCCCTCTGCTTAAGCCCGCCCAGCCTCCGCCAAAGCCCGCCTTCCCTTCGCCAAACTCATTCCGCTGACACGCCGTCACTGTGTTATTTAACATCGACATCTCTATTAACGCAGGTGCGCTCTTCTTTGTGTTCTTTTTTCTTAGAAACAAAAAAGAAAGAAATGCGGCCTAAATCGCATCTCTATGTCACTTCTAGCACGATCGAAACATACGCGGAGAAGTGAAGCCAGTGTCATGATAATCTCTTCTGTCCTTCGCGTACGACCGCGGCTGAAGGTCGCTATTGTCTGCTGCGATCCCCGCCCTTACCACACCACAATAATGAGCAGTTCCTCTTTGAGCGGTCAGCACTATGGTTTAAGTTACTTTCTCTCAAGGCGCACAGCACAACTTGCTCTTCAAGACACAACGTGGCCTCAATAAGTGCTTTGCACACAACCTCGACCGTACCTTCACGTGATGTCCGCCTTCCCATACCATACTACATACACCATTTTGGCCCTTCCGGAGTTCTCCACAACCTCCAACACCTCTCACTGCAGGGTATAGCACGGGTATATCCGTATTCACCCACGGTATAGCAACTTACCCGCAGTATCGCATTTACCTTCCGGTACACATAAGTTACAACAAATAGCAACAATATGTAGGTCTGATAACCCTTGGTCCTGGAAGCGGCGGACACCTCCAGAAGTGAGTTCACATTTATGTGCCCTGCAAGGGAGCAAGTGGACCAGACGACCATTGTTATACTCAACAGTTACAGCGTCAAGTTTAAAAACTGAATAGATTGCTGAATGCCAAGTTTTCTTCTGTGAGTGAAAATCAATCAAGGTCCACGCAAACGCGAGCAATAAGTTCACACACTTAGATGAGCTTTATCATCCTGTTCGGCATGATGCTACAAAGCGAACTTTAATAATTGCCTGGAAGAACCTAAGAGACATGTGCGTTATCAGAAAGGACACCAGCTCGTCCAACTTAGTGCCGAGAAAGTTTACCCTGCGGGACTTGCCAGGACTAATCCCAATCTCCAAAAGCGTTCAAGCTAAATTTAGCTTAGGCTTCGTTGGAAAATTTAGTGTAGAGCCCGAAATCACTCATTCCACTTTCAAAAGCTGTGACCGGGCCATTGTGGAGTCTGATTTATGACCACTGTGTTCTCGAGATGGAAGAATATGAACTGGTAAGCGAACAATAGGATCGAAGCAATGGGTCACCGTTGCAGTCAATGACCTCCGAAAAATAAGGATCGTGGATCCTTGTCACGTCCAACCGGACTCCAACGTATAACACCGCGGAGACGATTCGGGGATGGTGCAGTTACCCGTGAACATGCCCGTGGCCCCCATACCCGTGCTATACCCTACCTCTCAGCACCTCGCCACCTTCTAAATCCGACATGCGTACATTGCTAGGTTCTAACAGCCGATTTTTTTTTTTTACTAACGCTTCATTCTCATGTCTGCCGTGCGTACTTCCATGCGCGGCATCCATATCTTAATTTGGTCGTATCTCGTGGGACGTAAGCATGTGCTAACCAACAATCTTTCTCGCTCTCCGCACGAAGTTTGCTCGATGTTGGGTGGTGTGCGGATAATACTTTTTCATTGCTTTAATTTTATTCTATCTGCGCATCCGTGGGTAGTTCATACGTTTGATTGTAGACCTTCTACATAATGAATGAGAACGCGTGACAGTGTTGGTGAATACAACTAATGTAAAGTATAAGGGGGACAACACGCATTTAACATGCTTCTAATTCGTAACATTCAAAATACTTTATTTAGCGAGCAACATGCAACTGGGCCTAGCGCGTGATGCAGGAGGACGCAGGTTGGAGGTTAGGTGTGGTCAGACGCACGATGACAAGTCACTTGCTTCACCTTCAAGCAGGAAATACCGCGTGGTGTTGGAGGTCTTCATCTCTGCCGTAAGTGACGTCACACACACCTCATTCATTTAACAGTGGAAAATACCTCACCGGACGCCGTTGGAAGTTTTGACTTTTGTTTCAAGTGACGTAACGCACATACCTCATTTTTGTCATTTTGGAGCCGAAGTATTTCGGAAAGGTAAGAGCGCACCTGCAACTCGCCGTGCGCAGCTTCCTCCACATTCTGAGATGGTTGCCATCCAACGAGACGTACAAACACAGAAGACAGGGCTGGAAAATGGAAGTTGTTCGAGAGAACTTTCGCATCAAACGTCAGTTGTTCGTCGTACGTTGATGTTGAAACATAGGGAGGCACCTATTTCCTGTGGCGAGTGTCAAGCTCAGATATTCGGCTTATCACAAAGCGTCCAAACCAGTGCCTGTATGAGCAGGGTAACGATGCGATAAAACAGCAAACCTTCCTGCATTATGTTTCGAACCTCTGACCAAACAGCGGCCCCATTAACGAAATCTTGTATCTAGAAGTTCGGTCGAGTCCGATGTCAATATGAACGGCAGAAGCACTAATAATGGCTGCCTCAATTTTGAGCCTAGTGATATCAAGGATGATGTCATTCAAAGTTTGTTCGACGTTCCACTCACTTTACTAAACCTAGTGCCCGATTCAGTGTAGCCTCCATGGTGACTCGGAAAGGACGCTTTCCGATAGAGTTAAAAGGCTGCTAATCTGCACATGGAACAGCACTTGCCTAGACCTCGATACACATCGACATGATCGCTCGAGTCTTCACGATTTTCGTTATCTCCCTTCTCCTTTCACAAGCTGGCTATGTTATGGCTGCTGCCATTGCTGCTGCTAACACGACCTCATCTAATTCAAATACTTGTGGTGATGGCAAGCTTCTTTGCTGCATGGAGGTAAGAGAGATTCATAAACGTAGAAAGACACCTGTGCTTACCTGTGTTGCAAAAGGATGCTTCGCAACCGGGGAATGTTAATGATGAGCAGTGCGACAGCTGCTCAGGGGATTGCTCAAGTGGCTATTTACCATCTTGTTGCTACGTCGTAAACACGGTGGTGAGCATCACCACTCAACTCAACAGCTCGGTCAATCTCGATCTTTAACAGGACTATTATTACTGCAACGCGACTGCGTCAGGTTAGCAGTATGGTTGTTAAGTGATTTGAAGCACGGTACCTGAAGGACATTGACTGGGTTAGATTTTCGAACGGATTATACCATAGATTTGTATTGAATGTATAACATGCCACCGCGCAAATAATGTATCAAATCTTGTCACCATTCAATACTCAATTTGAGGTCTTGAAACGTTCCACCGATAAGCACGCCGTGATATAACATGATGAGGACTCACGATATGGGTCATTGAAACTATGCCTTGTGTGGCGCAGGGCGGCCGCAGGCTACGTGGAATCTCGTTATATTTCATCCACTAGTCTCAATGAGTGAAAGGCGCATCAGGTGGAATGGTGGAATGGAACACAAGTCAGGCCACCAGATAATGAACGAATGAGAAGATTATTAGAGTAATATATACTAGTAGAGCATCACAACGATGGATGTCGATGACTAGTCGACTTCCGTAGGCAATAATGCGGCCTGTATGCGGGTTTCGGCACCGAACTCTGCTCGAAAAGGCAACTGCTCGTCACGAAGGCCTCCCGCTTACTTAAGTCAATGACGAATACATGCCGACGCAGACACACTACTGCTGGCGAGTGTCAGTAATACCGCAAAGGGGGCGGGACATCTGGCAAGCTGCAGTTGCTCCTTGATGCATGTTTCTTCTATTACTCTTCCTTAACACATAAGGATCGCATATCCTCTACGCCCCGATCACAACTTCAAAACGAAACGCACGGATCTAGCGCCGACGTCCACGCGACTCCATCATCGTTTTCAACTCTCAAACCGTTACAATCGCTACTTACACCAAACCCTCGCCATTATCGATCCTTAGACCCTATCATTTCGCACTAGCCCACCCTGTCAGGTTCAAAGCCACTCACTTTCTGCCTCCGTTTCACCTAATTTTCGGCCTGACCGCACCTGAGGACCCTTACCGTTTCTCATTTGTATACAGCACATGCACTCTGATATCGACAGCGAATGTACTCAGTTTTCCCCGCACAAAAGTACTACTCAGAGTTTTTTTTTGTAGATCCATGCTACTACAGCCATCGGGAGGACAGTAGACCAGTGAAGGTATGGTGTCATGGTCTCTTCAGCGTCCTCAGTTGCTAATTTAAATCTAAATTGTGCTTGCTCGTGCTGACGAGCCTGGGTGCCAAGCTTGCAGCATGTGTCAATCACTCTCCGAATTCAAGTTTTTCCCTCCCTGCCATCGTCCGAGCTCTACCCTTAAGCTTCAACACCGGTTCAACACTATCCTCTCGCTTTGCAGATGACTTTCCTCCTTTTTGCACGTATACGACTTTTCCGGGGCTTTGCCTTCTCCGTTTCGCAAACTAAACATATACGAAGAATTATATTCAGCATTATAAAATATTGTTATTGTGCTGTAGTTGTTCTCGAACTGAAGGTTGCCAGCATTCTCAGACCTTACTGAAGTCATGTTTTTTTGTTGAATCCAATAGATCTGCTTGACAAAAATCGTGATACTGCAATATGTGCTCATCACAGAGCAGACTACGAAAAAAAATACACCAGCATGACTGTTAAAATAGAAGAAATTGAGCTTGTGAGCACTGAGTCCGAGCATGAGGGCTATCGCCGGCAAAATTATGAGATCATCTAACCGGCTACACTTTAAAAGTTAAGTCTTGATGAATTCTGACATAGCAGAACGTTTTTCCGACCAACACATTAGTAGTAATACGCGAAGCGAGTAGCTTCCGAGCCGATTTGGCGTCCGGTTGCTAGCCACAATAATGCTGAAGCGAGCATCTCCCGGTCGGGATTACAGTTCGATGACCCGATAGCGAACGGGATCGCATGTCAGTGCTTCACTTTATGATCCGAGTGGTACATCAATTCGCGACCGAAATTCAGCCACGTCGATAGAGTTCAAACTTAGTACTCACGACGAAGGCCGTCCCTGTGATTGATTAGCCTAGGATCTGTGACTAGTATGCGATACGGACTCGATGCTAGGCTCTGGATCGATGTCCACCAGCGGAGGGGGTGACAAGCCACTTTCTCTTATTCAGCAAAGCTCATCGCTGACACGGATCGAGGGATGATCATGGGTGTGTTCATTCGCCGGTTGGTTGATGCAAAAATCAGGTAGTAAACATGCATTAAAGGAATATCTAAAAGGTCGATGCGCATGTATGGCAGAGCGGCCTGATAGAATTGGACGCCTCCACATGAAGCTCAGAAGGGTATTTCTCTTCAGGAAAACCTGCAGCGTCAATCTTTCATTATCAACCTCCCTGGGGTTACGACACATACCCATCATGACCATGATTCCACAGATGAGACGGGGGCGTTCCAAGAGCCCAAGACCACTCGTGACCAACTAGCCAACAACGTTAAGTGCATGAATGCAAATCAGGTCGCTGACTTACCAAGTTGATGATGTGAAGCTTCATGAAAACGTCCCCGGGGCACTTGCCTAAGTTGTTTTCCAGTACCTTCAAAATCGCTAGCATACCATGTGAAACCACCACATGCACGAGCAAATCTGTGTTCTGTCACGATATCGATCTACAGATGCATCAAACTATACAACATGGAGTTTAATTGAACCGACCAGTTGATCGCAAGCATCAAGTTTGAAGACAGGCACCGATGGTGTCAGTTCATCGAAGAGTTGGTGCAATTGCACAACCGGGCATTCTTGTCACGTTGAAGATCGGTATCAAGGCCATCTTCAACAAAACCCTCGTCGATCTGAGGGATTTAGTCAGCCAGTATCATGGATGATTTTTTTCGGTCGTGTTCAATGGCTCCTTTGAACAAGCAGCAATGATTCAAAAATGTAAGTACTTGCGAGTGATCGGTGCACATGAACCAATGAAAAAAAAATACCTAGGTCACGGTTGCACAAGTTTGCAAGCTGGGCGATGAGAAAACGAGCACTAACATTGGATACTAGTGGCTTGGTCGAGACCGTGAGCATGTTCAGGGGAAACACGCGAGTATGGTGACACCATAGTTTAATGCTAAGGTTTTATTCCTTGGACATCCTGGATCTTGAAGGGAGCGAAACCAAAAAAGTACACCAAGAGAAAATATGATGCCCTGAGCAAGGTTCGAACTTGCGACCTCAGGATTACCCGGTAGCGATGCCGGTCACACGAACAGTATGAGACCTGCGCTCTAACCAACTGAGCCATCAGGGCTTATGATGAGCCGGCGTGATAACACTACTGAGGTTGGGGCTGAAAATATTCTCTAGCACGTGACGAAAACGCGTTGAGCGCGTGACGTCACATATACTGTGTCACCTCCCACCAGCTGCAATCCTCCGATCTCAAATCATGCGTATCCTCGCACTCTCTGACTGCAAACTAGAAAGGAACATGCCTCCTGAAGAAATCGGAGATATTCATACGAATATCCTGCTTGCTCCAATGCCTGCTCCTCCTACGAAGATTCCATTCATCACACTCGACGCCGACCTTGTGACGGATTCTATGGCCGCCAGGTTGTGCATTAGCCTGGTTGGTCATGTTCTGTTTCTGAAGAGTCAGGTTCCTTTGTAAGCTTAAGCACTGGCAATCAAATCGTCTGCTGATTTTTATATAGTCCTGTTATACAGATGGCACGGATGCCTGGTGGCGATGTAGGTGCCCTGCCAATTTATCTGACTTTAGCGCTGACGAACCAAAGACAACGTCTAGAGCTGCGAAGAAGCGTCAGGAGCTTCTCAATTCATTTGATACCCTCGCGTCACACCTCAATACGACATTTACAGCACTCTCTACGGCGTTTGCTTCCCACAGCGGGACGAAAGATGCTCGAAGTTCTGGTCGTGCCTACCTTGCAGTTGTTCTCGGTTCTACACCTGGATCTGCCAAATGCAGGGTAATGGTTGGTGTGGATGCTCTGGAAGCAAAGGTCTGGGGAAAACGAGATGATTGCTTGAATGTCCCATCTGGACATGAGGGTGAGGGAGCGGAGGATGACAACGACAAAAGTGACATTGAAGACGAGTCTGACTCGGACAATGACAGTGATGGCGATGCTGCCTCACTCGAATGCAATGACGGCGATAGCAGTGATAGTTTGGGCGATGAAGAAGCAATTTCGGAAACGGAAACCGAAGGATCTTCTCAAGCACCTTCCCCACCGCTATCTAGGACACCTTCGCCCTCCTCTTCTCCCCCTCCTCCACCACCCCTACCACCTCCGACTTATGCTCAAGAACTCGAAGCCCTCCGCGCCGCTGAACGCCTGCTCTCTCGCACACTAGCAAGCGCGTGCGGAGAAAATGACGGACAGGGAATGGCTAGCGAAATGTGTCAGTAGTAACCATCTTAAAGCTTCATCTACGCCCTAACGCTGGTCCGGGAATAGCTCCGACTCAGACACACATAGTGCTGCGTGCTCCGCGAAAATTTATGCACCCAGCGTGGGTGCCTAGGCAAACACTCAGCGGTGCTTTTGACGCGCTGCTAGATCAGTTTCTTGAGGAATCTGGGGAACGTCAAACGAGAGATGATGTTAAGAAAAGAAAGAAAGGTGGAAAAGTCGAAGGTGTATGGATTCGCAGCCGACAGCGATTAACCGAAGATTCCGAAATAATATCGAGCCAAGAAATTTCAGAGGAGGATGAGATGATTTGGTGGACATGGGACGGGAGGCTTGTTGGATTTTCGGATTGGTGACATTCGAACATAATCTTCAGACGATTTGATCAGATGGTACTGGTTGCGACGCTTGTGGCCTGCAGGATAATTATCTGCTAGTGAATTGTACTGCCGTGCTATGAAGCTAATCCTTGGCCGGTCGACAATCTATGTAAAACGTTCGAATCATATCCATTGGGCCAAATCCCAAATCCAATTTCTCGAAGGTGTACTAGTACATATGGAGTTGGAGTTTGTTTGGTAACAGCTTTAGAAATAAACAACCTTCTGCTGACATAATATCGTGACAGTCACGATTGTCGCGTTTCAACGCGTTCTAGGGAAAAGCCATCATGAAAGCAACAAGCGCAACACCATCTACATCAGCACCTGTCGCTCACAACGCTCTACCACCACCATCCGCAACATCTAATGCTCGCTCTTCTAGAATCGCTCCTCACTCGCACATAAAAGGATTGGGGCTCACGGCAGATGGTCTCGCAGCACCTGATGGTGCAGGATTCATAGGCCAAACTAATGCTCGAGAGGTCATTATAACGTCTCTATATATTTGTCCTGGAAGTGACCAAGCTCATAGGCATGTGGAGTGGTGGTGGATCTCGTAAAATCCCGCAAATTTTCGGGACGCGCGCTCCTTCTCGTAGGCGCGCCGGGGACAGGAAAAACAGCCCTTGCTCTAGCAGTATCGCACGAGCTTGGTACCAAGGTACCATTTTGCCCGATGGTTGGATCTGAGGTGTACAGCACAGAGGTGAAGAAGACGGAGGTACTTGCAGAATCGTTCAGGAGAGCAATTGGTGAGTACCTTAGATGTTTGGAGTTCTTTATCGGGTTTCTTGTGAATACGCATTTTATGTTGTGCTGTAGATGGCATTGCCTGTGTCTGGGCTCGGATCTACGAATTCGCACTCAATGCATTCTTTTCCGACAGGTCTGCGGATAAAAGAAACCAAGGAGGTTTACGAAGGAGAGGTTACCGAACTTACGCCTGCAGAATCTGAGAACCCATTGAGCGGATACGGAAAGACAGTTTCGCATGTTATCGTTGGTCTCAAAACTGTCAAAGGTACCAAGCAGTTGCGACTAGATCCCACCATCTATGAAGCAATCCTAAAGGAAAAAATCGTGGTCGGTGATGTTATTTATGTAGAAGCCAACACCGGTGCAGTCAAGGTGCGTTGATATTGTTTGATCCAGCGTACACAGTTAATTTCTTTTCATGCAGAGAGTTGGACGATCTGATGCATATGCCTCCTCCTACGACCTCGAATCTGAGACATACGTGCCATTACCGAAGGGCGACGTTCATAAGCGCAAAGAGCTTGTCCAAGACGTTACTCTCGGTGATCTCGATGCCGCCAATGCGCGTCCGCAAGGTGGCCAAGACATCATGAGCGTCATGGGTAGCCTCGTGAAAAGCGGAAGGACGGAGGTGACAGACAAACTTCGAAGAGAAGTCAACAAGGTGGTCAAAGGCTACGTAGACCAGGGCGTTGCGGAGGTTGTTCCGGGCGTAGTTTTCATTGATGAGGTATCTATCTTCTCACGTTTCTGTAGGAGTGAGGCTGACCATTCCCCTTAGGTGCATATGTTAGATATCGAGTGCTTCACCTATCTGAATGCCCTCCTCGAATCACCCATGGCGCCTACTGTAATACTCGCTACCAATCGTGGAAATGCACTAGTACGAGGGACAACCGATGTCGTTTCACCTCATGGTATCCCTGTGGATCTGTTGGATAGGTTGGTCTGCAAACCTCATAGCAGACTTTTGACTGATTTGTCTCGTCAAGGTGTCTTATTGTGAAGACTGATGGATATAATCGCGAGCAGATTGGCAAGGTAGTACAGTTACGTGCGAATGTGGAAGGTCTCAAATTGGGTTCTGGGGTTCTGGAGCGAATAGCTGAGGAGGGTGAACGGGGATCGATGCGGTATGAGACATCTCAGTTAACAGTGAACCTCTCGTGACCGCCTTTACAGATATGCACTCCAGCTTCTTACGCCAGCTTCCATTCTCGCCGGTCTTTCTGGAAGAAACCAGATAGAAGTTGAGGATATTGGGGAGATGAATGAGTTGTTCTTAGATGCGAAAACTTCTGCAACTAATATTGGCGCGGACGGTGGTTTTGATGGGGGAAAGATGTGGTGAATATCGTTCCGTACTGACGGCTTCTCTCGTACGCTTTATATTATCTCGTTCATCTTGTTCATGGTTTTGGTGTGCTCAGATTACCTAAGCTGCCTCTCGTCTGAGAATGCCTTTTCTGGTGCTTATCATTTTGTCTCGAGTGGCCAAGAGTATGTACCTTAAGGAAGTCAGTAATTCAGCCCTGCGCTAAAACTGTGAGTCTCGAACAACTATAATCTGCTTCTGTTTCATCGTTTTTTTGGGGCATCCAGTGGGGAAATCAATGGGGAAACCCATCGATGCCCTGGACTCTTTTTTCACACTTGAGGCATCGCCTTCTTGCTTGAAATTCTTCCGACGGCAGTCCCTTGTGCTCCATAACCGTAGGGCGTATTTACCATAACGTGCTCGGTTTTTGACTGATGACCTGCACTTCCACGTTTAAAATACTTCTCCGGGAAGAACAAATACTCTGTCACCAAACTATGTTTACGGTTGATCATATTTTTAGAGGGAAGCCTTGTATTTCTCACGACTTCATCGACTCTCTATCCTCGTGCTCGACATTCCCGTAAGTGATGCATTTAAGCTCGTCACTTTTTTGGGCACGTTTCCCATGCAGCTGCGTTAATCGAACTTAACGAACGTGGTGATCAAGTGCAAGAGCTTGGACAGTCTGGCGCCCGGATCCGGTGTTCTCACAGACCGCAGCCACAGGTGCCACTGCGCTGGTTTTCCAGTCCTGCCTTTTACCAGGCACAAGTCATGTCAGCATGAGCTCGTGATATGTCTTATGCATCACATGTCGAACAGGTTTCGCACGTCGGGAGTGGAGCAAGAGCACAGGTGGGACGTCTCACACACCCAATTGGCTGAATACTACAATTGACTTTGCGGTCTTCCATTTCTCGCGTTACCATCCAGGGCAATCACGTAAGGATTGGCATTGGGCTCAACTTTGTACACAGTAAAGGTTTAGATCCCATGCTTAAGCTTCATTTTTCGGCTCGGTAGCCCCATGTTCAAATCGTTGTATTCGATATTTCATTATCCGCTGAGGACGGGGCTCGTGCCTCGCGAACTGGGGATTTTGTTTCCGAGTCAATGACGCGACCAGCACTCCAAGGCAGGTGCCCTTTTCTGTTCTCCAGATAACCCAGTGCTACTTTGCCAGGGAAAATTGCAACCCCGCGAAGACCAGAATACCCCATGCGCGTCAACTTACGACGCAACCTATCCGGAGTTTAACTTGGCTCCCTTTTTGGACCTTATTAACCCGAGGAAGCAACCGCACAGGTCATGAAACGCGCGGAACTGTATATAAGAGGTTTCGGTCAAGACAACTTTTTTAGCCTCGCATTTGCATCCCGACCACTGTATCATTTGGCACCTCGACGATCATCATGCCAAGACCTCTGCAAATGCCCTACATTTTCGAGGATCGGACAGCCCGTGTAACTGGCTCGGATTATGATGACATCTACGACCGCATGTTCATACGTGTCGTGCCTCATCCACGTTCTCCTGCCAGAGACGACGCCGTTTTGGCTATCTATAACATGGGACGCCGTTCAACCCGACACGGAGACACGCGGCATCTGGAGAGACAGCCTTCAGTGGTACTTGAGTTTGCAGAGGGTGCTGCAGGAGGACTAGGAAATATTTCCTTTTTCTACCCTCCTGCGCCCAGCATGACGATTCCGATGAACAGATACCTACGAAGAACGGCCTTTTTCGGAGGGTATGCTGTTCTCCTGTATTGCCGCAGCCAAACCTAATCTACCACAGATCTCTCTCCAGAAAATTCCGGGCGGGTGACGGCCGGGAATACAGATGGGAACACCAAAGCGCAGATGGCCACGAGTGGTCGGTACGTTGAACATGCTTTGTCCACCAACAAACCTAGATCCGTCTTTTCTATAGTGCATTTCAGAAGAAAATTACCTTGTCGCTCATTATGATCTTCGTCAACCGCACATGCCAGCTTATGGCGTCTCCGGAAACACTCTGACCGTTCACGAATCATGTTGTCACCTTTCCATAGGTAGGTTGTTATTGTCTAGCCTTGCCCAGTGACTGACTCTACCATCAGACATTATGGCTTCGCTCCTCATCATGCGCTACATTGCAGAGCACAACCTGTAGATACACAGACCGTACCACATTTCATACTTACCTCAAAATTGCCCACCTCCAAGGCAAACTTCGCAGTCATGCTAATTACTTCATGCTGTAACATATCCCATTGTCATGGACAACGAATACTCAATGATCAGGCAGGATCTTCTTTACACCCTTTTCTTTCTTGCAATGAACAAGATTTGATGACCCCCCGTCCCCTTATTTCCGTCCTGCCTAATTGATCTGTTATCCTTACATTCGCGTAATACCGAGGGGAGTGAACTCGGCGGAACAAACCATTTAAAATGACAAAGAGCTTTTCCCACAAACCAGATTGCCAGGCGGTGAAATGATTGATTTTTAAGGGAAGTTACATATGGTATCGACTAGAACCCAGATCGTAGGTGAACCTACACACCTGGGCCACTCTAGATCAACACTAACCTGAAGATGACAGCATCTAGTTAGCGACATTGCCTGGTGTAAAGTATTCAGGTAATATGAAGGCCAGCTTCTTGATATCCTCTTGGTCCTGTTCGCCAGTTCTCGGCATGATAGAGAAACGCATGCTGCCCTTTTCTTCAGTCAGAATATCCCCATCTAACGCGGCAGCGTGAAGATCTTCGAGAACGGTAGCCGCAACATGCCTCGATGTGTTAGCGTTATCCTGCAGGGTCTTGAATACTTCTGCGGCAGTGACTGCCTCCGAATGGGGGCGCCACGAATCATAGTCTGTGGCAGTTGCTATCAACGCATAGCTAGATAGTTCCTCAGTCAAGTCGAAGCAAATCGAGCGGTCAAGTCACCTTAGTTCCGCCTCACGAGCTAACTTGGCCTCAGGCAAAGCGCTCATGTTGATGAGATCCCCACCCCACGCTCGATACATGACGCTCTCCGCCCTGGTAGAGAACTGGGGACCTTCCATGCAAACGATGCACTTGTTCTTGTGGAGAACCACTCCCCTGCCTTCGTCTGCAAGAGCCTTCTCTACTCTTACCTCCAGCCAGCGAATCAACTTCACGCTATAGGGATCACCAAATGCAGCATGAGCGACTATCTTCGTGCCCTCGAAGAAGCTGGCTGGACGTATGCCCTTTGTGCGATCGATGATCTGAGTAGGAATAGCAAAAGATCCTGGGGCGATCTCTTCGCGGAGCGAGCCAACAGCACTGAATGCAAGAATAACTCGAACTCCCAAGGACTTCAACGCTGCGATGTTGGCGCGAGAAGGGACTGCTGACGGTGCAATCGAATGGTGATGCCCGTGACGGGCCAGGAAGGCGATCTTTGAGCCTGAAGGTAGTGAACAAATGGTGATGGGCGAAGATGGGTGTCCCCAAGGCTGAAAAGACAGCAATGCAGATCGGTCAGGATCATGAAGATTCTTAGAGGATGAAAACGAACAGTCTCTGGGTTAACTTTCTCCCTGAGGTGTTTGTCATAAGCTACAGAACATAGCTTTCATGTTGCAACTCACACGAAAGTCAGGTTATCAAGGTGGTATAGTCCACTACCACCGATAACACCGACGAGCACTGTGAAGTTATCATGAGGAGTTGAATATGCGGTGGAAGACAATAATGCTAACCATCCTTGGAAGTCATGGTATCAGAAAAAGCACGGAAATTTCAATCTGCGATATTGGAGACATTTTTTTTGGCAAGTGAAAACGTTCGAACAATCGTAGTGAGATAAGGACAAGTACCAAATTATGTAACTTCGAATTATTACACGCGTAAGTATAGTAGAGAGTCAAGCTCCCATGACAGTTTCTGCATATTATTCTCAACTTTCAAGCCAAATACGACGTGATCCTCTAGCGCAAATCCCATACTAGAACACACACCGCGTAGTGATGGAGGACAGTATCAAGGCAAGATTGCACAACTTTCCAGCTACCACTCATGATGACTCGTGAGGGTTCCACCTTACGACCCGTTCCTCTTCCTTCCTGCACTGGATAGCATCCACTCTCAGTCATTAATAGAGCGGCCTGCCCTTGCGCAGCAGGTGGTCCTCGTGACAAGAAGAGAGATCCAAGCCCGGGTGAGGTTTACTTCCCCGAGTCGCATTCCCTCCTACTAATGTTAGAATCGCAGCTCATCTTGACTCACTTTTGTACAGGTAGGGGTCACTATCGGGGTCAGGTTGCCCCTCCAGAACTTCCACCCAAAAGTATTCACTTGCATCAGAGCAGACATTTTTCTCATTCTCATGACTTACACAATTACACAAGAACGCCCACAAAGTTCTGTTCTTCGACGCAATACCAGCTGTGACATAGCCCAGATCTTTCCAGATTCCATCAGGCCATCATTCATCTGACAGCCGTCGGCGTCGTTCACCATAGCCAGTCGCGATTCTTTTCTCCATCGAGCATAATCACGACCTTATTTTTCCCTTCAGCCCATGGAACCAACTGTGAATTGGGACAACCAAGGGACAACAGAGTCGAATCTAAATACCATCAGATTCACTACCATGATGCCATCATAGCATCAAGCTTTGAGTCCCGCCCATCATAATTTCACAAACGAGTGGGTGTATCGGTTCGTCTACTACTCTAAGACTCCGATTATGGCTGTTTTTATATCTACATATCACCCAATCAATACCCATAATCACCAAATTATTTTTTCCACTCCGCAGTCGACGAAGGACTCGGACGAACGAACGAAAGAAGGATTTGGATTTGCTTAGAAATACGTTGCAACATCGTCGTCAGTAGTGGTTCGAATCTTATGCTAGATGTAGCGTGAAAGATATCATTCGTTGTTAGTTCACTATGATCTACATCGATAGAGTGAATACGGTCGTCCTATTTACACGACAATCATAGCCCGTGCTTCCATAATCGTAACAATGTCTGTGGCAGACGGCCGAGACGCTGCATGTGGTAACCAGCATTTCTGCATAAAGTCCCAGTCCTCGTCGATGATAACGGGTACAACCGGCCTTCGAGGCGTGATCCCTTGTAATACTTGACCAACTAGAGCAGCAGTATGGGGGATGTAGTGGTATGGGATCTTTCCTTCCAGTACCTGAAACAGTGAATGAGCACATTGGGCATTAGTATGTTTGTGCCATCGAACATTGGGAGCGTGGATTCAAACACGCACATACCTGAAGCATGATTCCTCCGAAAGAGTATACATCGCTTGCCTGAGAGAGCATGGATGGCACGTCGCTGGCATCCGCCCTCAGGTATTCGGGTGCTATCCAGTGCAGAGTGCCTCCAGGAGCGGTAGGTAATAAGGCTTGGCTTATTCTCGCTGGAACGAGAGCAGATAAACCAAAATCGGTGATGCGTGCTTTTCCATCGTCATCGACAAGGACGTTGAACTAAAGGGTTTAAGTTGAGCAGTCACAAACTCGGTGAAGGCGTACGTACGCCACTCAAGTCTCCATGGACAATCAGCTGCGAATGGACTACCGGATCTGCGTCAGCTATGTTTCATGTGAATTGCAAACATTGGACCAACGATATTCAAGGCCGCGAGCTACATCCCTAAGCTAAAGCGTCTTTGGTACCGTAGCCGTTATGAGGCAACGACTTCAACGCACCAGTGCATACTGTTGGCCACGAGGAAGTTCCTTGTGTCGATTCTGCAGATATTCTGTCAGGGTGCCATTCTTTAGCCACGGCGAAACCAGGGCGGGAAGAACCCCGAATTGACATGCAACTCCCCAGAGAGGTACAATATTCTCATGATTGAGTGTCGACGATATCTTGATTTCCCGAAAAAAGCGCTGGCAAGTAACTAGTCAGTGGAATGAGGATACAAGACATTTCTACCAACATTGGTCAATCTAGGTATCTCGATCCCTCCCATTGGCCTAGACACCTTGACTGCGACCTAGACACTGTTGGAAAAGTGACAGGAATCGCCTATTTAACACTCACATCAACGCATCCACGAGGGACCTGGTAATGGGAAACAGCTTGCTGTACGAGCACGGTCGTCGAGTCCAAGACAAGCTGGCATCTGTGGACATCCGCATATCCACCAGAGTTCGTGGGGTATTTATTGATCCGACGGATAGAATTTGTTAAATCAGCCGCACTATGGTCGGTAAGTACGGAGACAGGCGTGCACGAGCGAGAATCTACCCAATGCTTTGGACTACAAAAAAGCAAAAAACATCCTCGATCGCCGGACGGGCCTCGCTTTCAACTGACAGACATTGTTGCCCAAAGGTCAAATACATTTCATTGACCTCCGATTTATCAGTAATTTCAACCCTCCAGCTCTGAGCACGTGGCTTAAACATACCTGTTCCATGTGGAAGGGCAGTACACCTTTGACTCTTTCTGGAAAAACTTTGCTGGCATCGCGAATCCACGAATAAGGTATCTTTCCTAACAGCACCTAGAGAATATTAGGTGATATGGGTGCTTAGAGTAGTTCGAGAACACACCTGGATCATGAGACAGCCAAACGAGTAAATATCTCCAGCCTTGCTCGATTTCAAGGCTCCTGCATCTACGATATGAGTGAGGAATTCAGGCGCAATGTACCTCAGTTCAAATGTATTTGCTAAACCAGACATAGAGGTTTGTCCTCGTGCAAAAATCTGGGAGAGACGACCAAAGTGAGCAAGGTAGACCTTGCCAGAGCCGTCAAGGAACACGTTATCCTGGGAATGTCGTCAGCGCATGATAATTGGCGTCCACACAATTTACACTTGTCAAAGAACCATGAGCGATGCCATAATCGTGCACTTGAAACTAGCCGTAAGTCCATGGCTGACATTCAAGAATGACACTAACAGTGCTTAAGCGCAGAAACCACTTGGTTTAACTGTCATCCAGCTCAGACACAATCATGCTGCTCGAGTAATGGGCTTACAATGTCAGTTTTCCTGGTTGCTGACAAACAGGAGAATTCCCGTTGTAGATAGTCCGTCAGCGAGCCGTTGGCCATCCATGGAGACATAAAAGCAGGAAGAGGGTTGAAGTAAGGGATTGTGCCATACAGGGGCAGGATGTTATGGTGTGACGACTTGGCCCAGGCAGCAGCCTCCTGATTAATCATCTATTAGATAGGAGGCATGGTAAATTCTGTCACACTAGCGCAACACGCCAAAACTTGACACTAACCTCGATTATTTGTTTGACTTCATCTTTATTGCCCGTAAGAGGAACCCTAACTGATTTGACCGCAACCTGAAACAAATAAATTATGGCTTTGTACACACAAGAATACACTGACTTCAGTTTCCTGCGAGTTCTTGCGCCAACTGCATTTCCAGATATCGCCCAGACCCCCTGTCACGGTGCCGCGATGCTCGTATGTTGTGATAACCTGATTAGGTAGTTCTCGGAGGTTGTAGAACAAAGGCCAGTCATGAACAAGTGGAAACATCCCAGCAATGAACTCTAGAGTCTCCTCTACTGATGGGCGAGATTCGGGATCGATTAACCAACACCGCCGCATGTAAGCAAGATGATGTGCTTGAATTTGCAAGGTGTTGTTAATGGGCTCTTGGTATTTGAACTTGCATGCAATAACTTGCAGGGCAGTTTTGATCCACCAGTAAGGTAGTTTCCCGTATAACACCTGCATTGCCATATCAGTAACACAGACAAGCGAAATAAGAGACTTACCTGAAGCATGAGACACCCAAGAGAATATATATCACTCGACTTGGCGGCGCACGGCACGGTGCCATGTATGAGCTCTGGAGCAGCCCAGCGAACTGAACCGGTATGATAGGAGAATGCCGGGTTAGACTCCAACATGATATTCGAGATACCGAAGTCTGCAATGCGCGGGGATCCATCGACAGCAACTAGGATATTATTCTACAATCATGATAAGACGATCAGGGATACATAGAAGAGTAAACTTACACTAGTTAAGTCACCATGAATCACGTCATGGTCGTGAACTGGTCCACAATCAGTTACGTCGTTTACCTCCACGGTTAATTCATTCCTGCTCACGATACTTGAGACCTTCCACAATTTGCTTGAGCTGTTAAGAAGAGCGATAAATTATTATCACAGGCCTTGAAAACAAGCTCACCAGGGTAAGGTTATCCATTGCCGTTAGATCAGCATGATCAAGGTAGGATATCAAAGCCCCGTTTGACATCCAGGGGGTGACGACAGCACGGAATGAACCGAAATCTTTTACAGTGCCATACAGGGGTATTACATACCGGTGCTTTAATATGGTCCAGATCCTGAGTTCCCGGTCAAGTTTCTGCGTTCGAAGAACATTAAATCCAGATACGTGGCAATTTCAGAAGCTACCCAAACATACACGGTTGATCCTGTCGACTTCAGCGTCAGTTAAACTTGTGAACCGTAGAGATTTGACTGCAACCTAAACATTATACATTGAGTATATCTATAGAGAAGGCGGATGAGTATGAAGTACTTCTTCCTGGCTTGCGCCCCTATTCAAAATACATTTCCAAACTTCTCCAAGACCACCCGAAGCGGTCGGGTAATTGCTTCCCCTGATGATCATGCTTGGGTCGATTTCGAAAAGACCGTCGATTGGTGGCTTAAGAGACATCTCCTGAACCTCAATTGCGGAGGGTTGCTCGACTGGAGCACCAGCAGCAAACGGTTGGCCACGGCGCCGTAGGCGCCGAATCTGTTATTAGTAATGGTGAGTTGATTCAACGAACGTATATTGAATTAGACTCGAAGTACAAGCTCAGGAAACTTCCAGTTTACAAGACTTGGCATACTGATATAAAAAATGCAGAACTGATTGCAAAGATGATGGGTTGTAGCTGGTTTGGAAGGTGTGTGAACAGTGGTGAAGGACCGCATCCAGCCCAACTTTGTATTTGTGTGATGGGAACGCGGATGCGGCGTGGCTATTTTTAACCTTACTCGGGTATAACCTATCAGTTCGCACAAACAGACATATACAACCCCTGTCTAGTCATCACCTTGCTTGCAAGGTCATATGGTACTAGCACACACCCGTTGTGCCTTCGGCACAGGAAGCAAAAAGAGCGCTTCGCGCTCTTTGTTGGCTTCCTGGCCTTCGGCTTCATCCTACTTTGGGTATTTTAATAATTATTTTAGGTCTTGAAATAAATTATATTGTATTCATCAAGTTGAGCATGATATATTACATTCAGATATATTGAACCCTCCTGTTCTCAGCAGGACATACTGCGCTACAGTGCTACAAAGCACTTTGTAGCAAATTATGTTCCCCTCATAAGTTCTCTGATTTTCCCATTCTCCTGTTTCCCTGTTCTCTGTGCAAATGAGAAAAGTAAAAGTAAAATTGAATGTGTTGATCCCATCTCACTTGTCCTCCTGTCCTGTTGTCCCCCCGTCCTGTTGTCCTCCTCCCGTCCTGTTGTCCTCCTCCCGTCCTGTTGGTCCTCCTCCCGTCCTGTTGTCCTCCTCCCGTCCTGTTGTCCTCCTCCCGTCCTGTTGTCCTCCTCCCGTCTGTTGTCCTCCTCCCGTCCTGTTGTCCTCCTCCCGTCCTGTTGTCCTCCTCCTTCCTGTTGTCCTCCTCCCGTCCTGTTGTCCTCCTCCCGTCCTGTTGTCCTCCTCCCGTCCTGTTGTCCTCCTCCCGTCCTGTTGTCCTCCCGTCCTGTTGTCCTCCTCCCGTCCTGTTGTCCTCCTCCCGTCCTGTTGTCCTCCTCCCGTCCGTTGTCCTCCCCCGTCCTGTTGTCCTCCTCCCGTCCTGTTGTCCTCCTCCGTCCTGTTGTCCTCCTCCCGTCCTGTTGTCCTGTTCTCCCATTTTTCCCATTCTTCCATTTTCTGTTTCTCCTGTTTTCTTGTTCTCTGTTCTCTTGTTCTCCAATTTCCTCTCTTTTCTTGTTCTCCCATCTCCCCCATTCTCCTATTCTCATTTCCCATTTCTCAATTTTCTTTTCTTATAGTAGTCAAATTATTGTATATAATTTGAATTTCATGAATAATAAATGTTTTTAAATGCGTGCTGCCCTAATGGGCAGCGGACGCTCGAAATCACGTGACAACCACGCAAGTTTCCAAATCGAGCTTTAAGCGAGGTAAGCGAAAACCACATGGCGTTTAGCGAATCTAAGTGTATCTTAGCGGCCCAAGCGACCCAAGCGAAAACCACGCGAGCGACTGTTCTCTCCCGCCACCGTTCTCCCTTACTTTATAGACTAGCACACACCCGTTGTGCCTTCGGCTTCATCCTACTTTGGGTGTCTTAAGTCTTGACCTTGAATACTTGCTGTGCCAATTGGCACAGCAAGGCAAAGGAGTGCTTCGCGCTCCTTTGCGAGGTGCCTGCGGCACTTTGCCTTACTAATGATCATAGTGCATTTTGAAAACAATTACATTTTTGAGCAGCATTTCGACACAACTAAAACTACATGATACATCACATCCAAGTCGGTTCTCTATATAAAAGTACATCATATGTACATCAATCATCCAACAGGAATCGTAATTCTTCTAAGCACTTCTGTATACACTACATTCATCGTCTTTGAGCCCTCTTTATTCTCAGGAAAGATAGCAAACACTCTATCTGGGTGAGTGCAGCGAGATAATGCAACATAGAGCTGTCCATGGCTGTCCATGGGAGTCCGCAAATTAAGCCCAACCCACTTGACGCTTTGACCTTGCGCCTTGTTGATGGTCATAGCAAATGCGACACGAACGGGGAATTGGCGACGCTTGAGAGGAATAGGGTTATCTTCAGATGTGGCATCCAGGGTCATGCAAGGGATTAGGACCAGTGTCCTGATCATCTTGGCAAGCTTCATTGACTCCATCTCTAAGAATGCGACACTTGAGGACACGAACAGTCCAAGACAGCAGGATCATGCGAGTTCCATTATAGAGGCCCTCGGAGGGGTTCAAGTTGCGCAACAGCATCAGGGGAACACCTTTTTTGACCTCCAATTTGTGCAAAGGGAAGCCTGATGGGGTGAGGGTATGAAGGAACTCTGTGGGGATGTAATCGTATTCCCTCTCGCTGACTGAGTCTGCACTGGTGAAGACCGCTTTATCTCCAGGGAATGATTCAAGAATGGTGGTGTTGATCTCATCCACATCAGTGTTCTTTGCGGAGAGGATGGTGCGTTCCAGGAAGAAGGAATCATCCACTGCAGGCTGCCCAGGGAGCAGAACTGGAGAGTATAGGGCGTTGATGAGAGACTGGACATCATTGTTGGGGCAGCGCATATAAATAGGGAAGGTCACAGTTCCGTCTTCATTTGTGCCCTTGCCAGCTCCAATCTCAAGGAGCCACCTTGCAAATTCATCAGAGGCGGGGTCTTGACCAAGCCGCATATTTCTCTTGAGGTGGAAGATACGAAGCTTTCGCCAGAGTTGAGATCTGCAAAGGGTAGCGCTCACTATCTGCTCCCTGGATCCATGGGTCACCACCGGCAGGGTCTGTCTAAAGTACCTGCCGAAGAGCATGGTTATTCCCCCAAAATCAGCCTCTTTGTTTAGAAGATCACGCAACGTGCGGTCAAGGCACTCCAGAATATGACGATGGAGCATCGGAATTTCATCGCAGATGATGAGGGAGGTCTCCTTGAGAAGCTTGTGGACGACATCTCCTTTTTTGATGTTGCACGTGCTGTCCTCGTTAATGGGAATGGGGATTTTGAATCATGAATGAGCCGTACGTCCGCCTGGTAGGAGGAGGGAAGCAATTCCAGAGGAGGCCACACAGAGGACAATCTTTCCTTCAGCACAGAGTTTTGAAGCGATGAGTTTGCAGAGATACGTCTTGCCGCATCCCCCTGCGCTATGGACAAAGTATGCGCGTCCGGGTCTTTGCTGATTACGATTCATGGCATCCTCGACCACAGCATTATAGACCACCCTCTGCTCGACATTAAGCAAAGGGACTCCTTCATCCACTATCTGCTGAAGCTCCTGCGGGTCATACTGACACTGCTCAGTGATGAGCTGGTTGCCCTCCATGGCCCCCCATCTTTCTGCCATTCGAGCTACTGGCATTTGAGAAATTGCTTCCAAAGACTTGCTATTTTTGCAGAGCACGCCATCAATGAGATGAAGACCATAGTCGTGTACCTGTTCCTCCGTGGGGTCAGGCATGTTGAACGGTGCATGAGTGAGGCGGTGACGCAGATCATCACAGAGATTTTCCTTGAAGCAGTTCCAAAGATCATCAGGGCTGGTAGGGTTGCAGTGCAGCAGGATGATGGCAAAGAGATTGCGCATGCAATTTCCTGTGTACATATGAGAGGCATCCCGCAAGCACTGGATCCATTCATAATCGTCATCAAGCAGACCCCTGTGCCGACATGCTTCCTTGAAAGTCTCATAGAGAGTCCCATCATGTGTCCGAAGGTGTTCAAAGGAGGTAGCCCCTTGAAATTATGGTGAGCTTGATTGATAAAAATTGTCTTAGACATCATACCTTTCACTACAGTCAAAAGCAATCTCATATAGAAGCGCTCTCCGGAGCTGGGCGCAGCAGTGTACATTCTTCCAATCACCATTCCTCGCTCCCGTATCTTCCATGCACCTTTGCTCCAAATGAATTTTGAGGGGAAATCCTGATAGAGGCTGTCGTGGGCTCCAGCTGCCACCAAGTTCTCATTGGCATTGGCTTTGAACCATCCAGTGAGGCAAGTATCTTTCACTTCTGTGCGCTCAAGGACTTCCTCAGCATCATCCTCGGGGTCATAGAACACCATCTGTTCATTTTTGAGATGGACCAGCAAATGGTAGACAGAGGGCCATTCGAGATGCATAGAAAATTTGAAGATGCGCCATGCAGCCTCGGTAGAGCTGATATATCTCGAGTCCAGATATGATTTGACCTCATCCACCGCTCCTCTCATCTCCAACGTAGCACGGTCATTTCCCTTATAAATGTATTTGTGGATGTATTTGACAGATTTGATAGAGGCGCAGACCTCGAGGTTGATGTGGCAGTTGAATTCCACCAGCAGTTCGGGGGGATGTGGAACAACATCCTTGTTGGTGAAGATGATGTCGTTCTTTTGGATGGTGCGACCATTGTCAGGTCTCGCATACTCGGGATAGCCATCATCCTTCATCAGGGTCTGGGGACAGAATGATTTTGGAAAGTGCTTTTTGCACCATGAATTCTCTATGCAACGCTGCGGACTGCAAGGGCCATGCAGCATGTATTTTTCCACAACCTGATAGAGCTGAGGATGGATGTTCCTGTCAGGAATCTGAGCGGAGATGAAGGAGTCGATTTGCTCAGTGGTACGGATCTTATAATCTGGCTCCAGGAAGATGAGAAGGTGCATGTGTCACAACCCAATAACAAATTAACGCTGGGCGGAGACTAGGACTCAGACTAAGGTTATCACAACAAGAAAAGGATTGAGCAAGTACGTCTTGGATTGCTACGGTGTAGATACAAGAGGTTTGAACTAAAGAACTATCGACCAAGACCTGCTACCTATATACAACTATTGAGACGGAGATTGAAACTGAGTTACAACTACTAGCCAATCATAAAATAGAAAAGGGAATCGTACCATAGAACGTCATAGAATATTAAAGAAGTATCATGTGACCATATCTTATCTTATCGTATTTAATCTAATCTATTCACAATCAAAGAACTTGTCTTCTTCATCAGTCACATCGAAGACACATGTTGTGGGTGCTAATGGAATCTCTGAACTGGTAGACATTTTCGGGGTAGGGTTAGGGTTTGACTTAAGCACTGTGTATTGGCGCTTAGGAAGATTCAAGAAAGAATAGTGGTTTGTTAAAGGTACTCGTGACAGCATGTGAGGCAGGCCCCGCTTTTGATATTCGATGGTGTACACCAATCCAGCAACCTTCCCATAGTAGCCCTTGCGAACCTTCTTCAGCAGCGCTTGCTGCTTCTGGTAGAAAACCCGAGCCACCAAGTCTGGGCAGTCCACAGCGCTCTGACCTATATAAGAAATTGTCAGCACAAAGTCATACACAACAGCATCAAATAAGAATCATTACCAGGAAGGAGATTCTCTGTGATTTCAGGCCAACTTCCATTGGCGGTCATCGTCAGGAAGAGATCCGGCTTTTTGCAGGCACTGGCAAATGGCTAAAGAATCTTGAAGCAGCTGGTGCATATATCGAGGGCTCCCTGTGTGAGAGGAGGGAAGAATAATGGAGCGACCTGTCTGAGCCAGATCATCTATGCCCTCAGTTGCAAACATTATCTGCTAAGCCTTGATAGCAGTCCGCCCTGCAGCTGCTCTTGGTTGCTTCTGATCCAGTTCAAATTGCTCTGTTCGATGGAGGCCCAAGCGTCGACGATATACTGCTGGAACAATCTTCCACCACGAAAGATGTTGTTGTGATAGATGGGAAACAGGGCGTGGATGAAGTCGATAGGCATAGTACAACAGCTGAGTGACATTCTTTGCGACCTGTGCTGGGTATTTGGGGGGAGAATCAGAGGTATTCCAAGGTGCCAGCCCTCCTCTCCAGATGGAAAGAGAAGGACATAGTGAAGTGGGGAGTATGCATGGCTGAGCTGACTTATATGCTGGAGTCGACCTCCTTGAAGCTGCAAGACGATGTCCTGTTTTTCAGGATACCTGCTCAGATCCATCTCCAGGAATGATCACAGCAATTTCATCAGGCAGTGGGAACATTATATCTTCGACCATCTGTGCCTTGCTGGAAGTGAATGCATGCACGAACATCCGTGTGCTGCTCTGGAGGCTTCTCTCGCATGACCTGATAGGCCTGCTTGTAAAGAGCTGGCATAGGGATTGATTCAATACAGCATGTCATGGAGCTCCCTGAGAATGCCGCGATCAAGACCTTCATTTCCAGGTCGGGTGGCACAAATGTTGGTGGCTTCCTCGGGATTGTAGATATAAAGTTGCACATATGAAGGCTGAATGCCTTCTGGAGGTATGAGACTACCCATGAGGTGATGCAGAGATCCATGAATATGAAAAGCATTGGGGCCAGAGCCTTGGAGGGCTCTATCCTCGATATCGACACCGACCGACGTGAATGCAAGAGCGCTGTTGTACTGCCGAATCTTGGAGACAAATGTCCTGTCAGTATAAGCGCGCTGCAGTTCTGGCGGCCATGGTGGAAAGGGCGGGAGGACAACTTTACCCTCCAAGCAGCATGTACCGAATTTTGGATTCCGTAGGGAGGATTTGAGAGTCTTTCGGATGCAAAGTGCAATGCATGGCACTTGGTGCACTCTACATTAAGAGGACCAAGACTATGAATGTTTATAGGCTCCCTGTATGGTTGAGCTCCATCAGGGATAGGAACAATGCGGTTGATAAGTACTTGGTCCTCTGCCTCACGCTCCTCATGCTGCTGAATCTCTTGAGCTCTTCTCCTTTCTTCATCAGCAGCATGATTTTCTTGAGAAGCAGGATCATTATATTCATGCAGCACCTCTTCTAAGTGCTCTGCCTGCTCATGAATCCTTTGTTGCCTCTGGTGTTGGATCTCCTCTTCCTCTTGACCTGCTCGCATATGATCCTGAGTTCATCTATTGTGCTGCTTCTCTTCCTGTCAACCTGCTTGCACATGATCCTGAGTTAGCCTATTCTGCTGCCCCTCTTCCTGCTCCTGCAAATGAGCCTGTCTCTGGATCCTCTTAGCTTCTTCTTGCTGCAAACGAAGATCCTTCTGCTGCTGCAATTGAGCCTGTCTTTGAAACCTTTTAGCTTCTTGCTGCTGCAGGTGAAGAGCCTCTTGATACTGCAATTGAGCCTGTCTTTGGATCCTCTCAGCTTCTTGCTGCAAGTGAAGAGCCTCCTCATGCTGCCATTGAGCCTCTCTATTGATCCTCTCAGCTTCTTGTTGTTGCAATTGTAACTGAATTTGACGTCGTCAAAATTTCTCCTGTGCTTGCCTTTGAAGCAAGTCATTTCTAATGTGCTCATTGTCCATTTGCTCTGCCTGTAAATGGTGTTAAAACTAAATATTAAATTGATCATAATCGGGTTCAGGTGGCCCATGCAAAGGTGGAGCAGGATTAGGTGCAAAGTAATGAAGAGGATTGTCAAAGTTGCGAGGACCAACTGCACCCTCATAATGAATAGCACCATATACAGGAGGAGCAGGAGCAGGTTGAGCAGGTTGATTATGGACCTGAGGTACCTGCATGGGCTGCATCCCAGCTGCCATTAGCTCTGCCTGTGCCTGCTCTCTTATCTCCTCTCTGTCCTGTTGCCTACGATGGTTGCGCTGGCGGCGTCTATCATTATGAGCTGCATTCATCTGCTCATTCAGGCGTGCATTATAATCAACAGGAGGGTGCTGATGAGCACGTTGCACATGTGCAATGGCATTACATGGCAAGCCAGGATATTGCCCAACTGGTAGCGGTTCATATGGAAAGTGAGGAGGAGGCTGCCATGCAAAAGGTCGTGGAACAGGCCCTGCTTGAGGTTCATTAGCTGGCATAAAATTTGGCTGTGGTACATGAGGGGCAGGCCTATCATGAGCAGCATGTCAACGATTGCGCCTGGTAGGGGACATCATCTGGAGTCGATTGACTCTATCGTGTTCACGTTGGGAGTGACGCTCGCGCTCCGGGGTAATATGTTCATGATATCTAAATAGCATGTGCAGACATTAGCATCATGCACCTTGCATGTAGCAATATATAGTCAGCAACTCACGGAATGGGCATATTTCCGTCCATGTTTGATATTTAAATGGTTGTTTAGCAAGTGTAAAATTTGAGTAGCCTGAGCCCATCAATAAGTCATTTATATCTTTGTTGATAATAATCAAAACCCACAAAAAGTGTATCACACTTTGTTACACTTGGCTGCGGGGGAGGGCAATTTAATTCAAGAATTCTATACAAAAGCAGCAGCCAATTGTGTAATGATTTGTGTCACCAAATTATGTAACAAATTGTGTAACAAATTGTGTAACCCAAATCCGTTATGCTTTTGCTATTCTCGATGCTCGCTCCCTTATAGTAGGAAAAGTGAGTTGTTTGTCCGTATTATGGGCTCGGCGCAGTAGGCGTGCAGAACACTGTCCACTATATCATGTTTGGCAGCATTTTTGGACACCGTGGAAATTTACCTCTCGAAATTCTGAATTAAGATTTTTTCGTAGTCACCATTAGCAAACTCAAGCGAGAAAACCACATGAGATTTCCAAAGTAAGGATTAAGCGAGGTAAGCGAAACCACATGGCGTTTAGTGAATCTAAGCATATCTAAGTGTATCTATGTGGTGCAAGCGGAAACCACGCGAGCATCCGTCCCTTCCCGCAACCGTTCTCCCTTACTTTATAGACTAGCACACACCCGTTGTGCCTTCGGCACAGGAAGCAAAGAGAGTGCTTCGCGCTCTTTGTTGGCTTCCTGGCCTTTGGCTTCATCCTACTTTGGGTGACTTAATAATTATTGCAGGTTTTGAAATAAATTATATTTTATTCACTGAGTTGTGATCAAAATTTCAAAATAAGTTACATACTTTGAGCAGTATTTTGACAAAAGTAAAAGTACAATTGAATATATGTATTTTCTCATTTACTGTTGTGTCTGGTGTTCTGTCCCCCCTCCTCCCATCCTGTTGTCCTCCTCCCGTCCTGTTGTCCTCCTCCCGTCCTGTTGTCCTCCTCCCGTCCTGTTGTCCTCCTCCCGTCCTGTTGTCCTCCTCCCGTCCTGTTGTCCTCCTCCCGTTCTGTTGTCCTCCTCCCGTCCTGTTGTCCTCCTCCCCTTTCCTGTTGTCCTCCCCCTTCCCCCTTCTCTCATTCTCCCATTCTCCTGTTTTTCCCATTTTCTCTGTTTTCCCATTTCCCTCATTCTCCTATTCTCCTTTCCCATTTCCCATTTCTCAATTGTCTTTTCTTAATATGTAGTTGAATTTATGTTGAATTTCATAAATAATAAATGCTTTTACATGCGTGCTGCCCTAACGGGCAGCGGACCCTCGAAAGCACGTGATAGCCACGCGAGATTTCCAAAAGTAAGATTAAGCGAGGTAAGTGAAACCATGTGCTTCGCACATGGCGTTTAGCGAAAAACGCATGACCTTTAGCGAAACGCACATGGCCCTACGTGAAAACCACGCGAGCGTCCAGTACTTCCCTCCCCCATCCTCCCTTACTTTATAGACTAGCACACACCCATTGTGCCTTCGGCACAGGAAGCAAAAAAGAGCGCTTCACGCTCTTTTTTGGCTTCCTGGCCTTTGGCTACATCCTACCTTTGGGTGTTTCAATAATAATTATTATAGGTTTTGAAATAAATTATATATATTGTATTTGTTGAGTCAAGGTTAAGTCCAAATTTAATTACACTTGGCATTTCATAAATTAAGACTAACTATAAAACAAATGTGAATGTGAATGTCAAGAAGGCTTCCAGCCAGGGGGAGGACCCTCCTTGAGTACCTGGTCCAAATGACGCCACTCCTCCCAAGTTTTCCCCTTCCTCTCCTCAAAGATGTGTTCATGCCAAGCATCTGCAACCTTGCGCTGCTTTCTATGTTCAATTGCCTCATCCAAGCATGCACAATTAACATCCCAGTCCATGTCATCGCACTTGCGGACATGCTTGAATTCCTCATCTGCCCTGATCATTCTCTTGGCCATCTTTGGGTTTTCTTGTCGAAGGTCATGAAATCGCTGCTGTGCTGCATGGAGACCCTCTTGCCGAGTGGAGATCTTGCTGTATGGGTTAGTGAGCTGTCTTCGTTCAAGACGCCTCAAGTGACTCTCTGAAAAGCGGAGATGGAGTTCAGATGCCCAGTCAGTCGTACCTGAGGGTACTGATGGAGCAGTGGATGCAGCAACAGGCGGGGTGGGTGTCGCAACAGGTGGAATAACTACATGGCATTGAGCATGCCGCTGCAGTCAGGCAGCATAACTTGTGTCCAGACCCTGCAGAACCCTGGTATTCCAGTCAACAGCAGGGGTCGGCTCGAGAAAGCTGGTGTACCTCGTAGCCACCATAAATGACAAATCAGACAGACAGAAACAACAGAACTCACCTGGCAACATGGCCTGGCACGATGGGGAGTGCAACATTGGAGTCACCACAGGCCACAGCAAAAGATGCTGCTGAAGGTGCTGGGGAAGCACTGGGGATAGCAGCTGCTGTAAATTTTCCAAATCAGATGAAGACAAAGGAAAAGAACTCACCTGGAGGCGGCTGGCTCCGTGTCACGTGACACAGTAAAAAATGCGCCCATGTCGACAGTACTGGCAGGGGCAGGCTGAGTGCTAGTAGGAATTGTCATGTGAGGGCAGCAGGACACAACTGGAGGTATTTGAAAGCGATGGGAAATTTCGGCAGGTGAAGGGCGAGGTTGTGGCAGCGCTGGTGCATTGGTGTTTGCAGCGTTGGGTTGCGGTGTCGAGCGCGGGCAGCACTCAAAAAAGCCACGCAAGTTGCCAAAAAGAGAACTAAGCGAGGTAAGCAAAAACCACATGGCATCCATGTGAGCATGCATGGCACCCACGCGAGCAAATGTGGCCTCCATGCGAGCTTCATGCAAGCACTCGGTGCTTCCCACAACTGTTCTCCCTTACACCGCCAACTGCTGTTTTCAGTCAAACTAAGCTTGTGAGAAAATGATTTAAAACACCTGGCAACCAGCATGATACGAGAATGAATACAGACTTGGCCTATAAATGATAAATTTATAGTGTAAAGCCCACACATCTGGTCCTTATTGAAGATTTTGTCCCGATCCTTGGCAACACCTTCGTTATTGCTATATTTTTGCCCAGACTGGGCCTTAGCCCAGGCCTGGGAATGAACATGTCAGGCATATCGGAAGAAGTCCTGTAGCCCAGGTCGAGCAGCAGACCTGTGGCAGACCTGAGATAGAGCTTATATCAACATCTGAGTGGCCTAGAATAACATTACATTTGCGCACCGCTACTACAACACCAAATTTTAACATTAAATTATTACACTCTTTGAAGCATACTGGCAATGAGATCAAGCTATTAATCAAAATGGTACAACATTTATATGAATCACAGATAGTACAGTTATACTGGTATACACCAGTAGGCAAATTTAAACAGACAAAATATTTGCTAATGCAGAAGGTACATCATAGACTCAGTCTGAAACAACAAGAGAATGAGGAAAGAACAGGGCAGCATGTTTGCAAAACTCGGCCCAGATGTCCACCCTGATAGAGTCTTGTTCCTGTGCGATCACGGTAGGATCACCCGACTGTTCTAGCCACCGCTCGATGAATGGACCTTCCAAAGGGATACAGGAATCCCACTTTGGCCATGAGCCCCTTGGAAACAATGGATAAGCCGCAATGAAGGCAAGCTAGAATGTGTCGCACCCCCACGTCCACAGTTGTGTCTCAGAACCAACGTCAACCAACCAACTTTCGATATTCTTCAATAGCATTGCCCATGTGTTTCAGTCAGAATTGTCGAAGTGTCGAAGTGGCAGGAACGGGATTTGGATGTCATCTGATACATCTTGGTGTGCAGGGGAATTAGTGTCACCCTGACTGCAAAGAGACTGTACTGCGTAAGTTTGGAAAAAAATCGTGAAATATAAGGACTCACAGCGCCATCTGGATGCATTGATTCTCCAGAACTGGAGCATAGATCCATTGATACCGCTTCTACAGCTGGTGAGGTAAAGGACACATATTCTTCTCCAAAAGAAATTGAAATCTGAACAGGCTGTCATGCAAACCAATAGTGAGGAACCAGTTCTGATGTTTGATTGGTTGCAACTACTCACGGCATTCCTTTTGATAACTTGTGTTGGAAGTTTGCCTGAAAAATAGATTGTGAGGAGCACCGACTGTACTGGGCCTTGGTTGATGCCCTGAAATTCGATATCGGGATAAACAATTATATTGGAAAGTAGTCCAGTTGCCATTGATTGGGAGTTGGGAGCTTGAAGTGTTGAACGAGGCAGACAATGTGAGAGAGTATTGGACTTGTTGATTTCGACCATCAAGAATCATGTGACAATGCTTCGCTCCAGCATGACTTGCAACACTGATATCGTTGATGGTGTCGGTGTGTATTTTCCTCATGTATTTGAAGTTTCTATATGTACTGACCTGGTAGTTGCAGTTCTGCAGTTATGTGATAACAATCAAGGTCAGGTCCTATGCAAGGCATGCCCAAAGAAAAATGGCCATTATCATGTAATGGAGCTGTGTCATGCCAAGAAGCACATTATGCAGGCAATCCACATCCATCATGCTAATTATCTCAAGCAGCGACTAATGAGGCTTCAGCGTCCAGTCCAAGTTGAGCCTGAGGCCTCGCTGGATGATAAGGACACTGACACGACAACCATGGAGCCCACTACTGCCACTGATATCGGATTCTCCTTGAGGCTGATGACTCCTTCATGGAGGTTACTGTATGTGACTCGGACCCGCCGCTTGTTGACATGCAGCCTGGTGTACCACTTCCTGCAGCACCCGTGCCGGAGGGCGGCGACCTCGACCTCAGGTTATCGGAGCTCGTGAAAGGCATAATAGGCCATCGGACTCTTGAGCTCGACAAAAAGTGTCCAGACTTATTTGCTGAGCTTCAAACAAGCCTCGCTATGGGCGAAATACCATTCTCGACACGACTTTTCTGATCTTCCGCCAATGAGGAGCATCAGCTCATCGACGAAGCCGAACCTGATTTTGGGGTTGAGCTTCCTGGTAAGTGCCTCGTCATTCCTTCTATGGGGCTATGTATCTCACAATGCTACCAGATGGAATCCTTGACAAGGTGTCCACGAACTTCGAGAGTGTCTCAGTAGATAACCCAACTTATCCATGGCCGTCAAAAGCAGTAAGTCTCTCATCTTGTCAGAAAATTAATTCTTACCTTTCATCAAGCATTTTATAACATCGCTTCTTTTCAGCTCTCCATGCATCCTGTTTTCTGACTCCCAGAAGAGAGCTGTGCTCAACTGGGCCAAAGGGCTCGGCACCACCAATGTCCCGTCACTCGGTGCGATGAAGAAGTGCCATAATTACCTGGATGAGCTTGTCAGCAATCCAACTCAGAAGATGACATCGTGTGCTGGTGATGTATTCTATATCAATAACGTTGCGGAAGCAATCGCAAAGGTACGTCTAGCATGTCTTTCGTGTCCATTCAACAGTGACATTACATTCAGGATTATGCGAATCCACTTACACGTTTTGTGATGCGCGATTATCCCGAGGACGGTGGCGAGGGGATGTCGCAGGTCTTTAATGGCCAGAAGATGTTATTCGATCTTCTGTCACCACCGGCAGCTCGAGTGGACGGAACCGTGTACTTCACACATGAACTGTTACAAGATACTCCTGGAGATTACTTCATCCCAGAACATTTTTTCTATGCCTCTCCGCCTGTAGACTCAGATGATGACAATGGCGAATCCCACGAGAATTCAGTCACAAAGCCCTTATATGCGCTTGGTCGTGCGGTCAAACGAACAGAGGTACATCGTCATTGTGCACCTACTATGATGTATATGTTCTAACTGCACTACTAGGCTGGATTTATTGTTAACGAGGAACAGGAGATCATACCCGCATCTGCCTTCATGCGGTCCTTTGAAGACATTGCTGTGACTCAGGGTGAACTTGATTGTGGCCTTACTGGTACGTTTTACATTTACTTGTCTCGGTAACTGCAAGATTAACATGAGATAAACAGCCTCGTCAACTAAATATGCAATGCTTTCACTAAATCCACTGCATGCAAAGGCAAACGGTCGCATGGTATATACGGTCCCCCTCATCATCTTCATGGACGACGTTTCCGGCAACATATCAAAACAATGGAACAAGCACCACGCAATCTACATGTCAAACGCGAACCTCCCACATGAAATGCTGGAGAAAGAATTCTTTGTGCGCTTCATTACGTCCTCACCGCATGCCGCTCCCATGGAACTTATGCGGGCAATGAAACAGTCCATTTGGTTCATTGTTTTATTCACTCGCTCAGATTGATGCCCTAACTAGATTTACAGTGATGCAGCTACATCTGGGGTCGCTGCATTGGATTGCAAAGACAACGAAGAAGTGTTATTGACCCCATGCGGGCTTTTCATTGCTGGCGACAACCCGATGCAAGCAGAAGAATGTAGTCATGCAGGATTGAACTGCAACTACTTCTGCCGGACATGCGACATTGGTGGAACAAAGGAGTACAAAGCTTCTAAGGATGGCTATAACAGCCTGTTTGCGGTAAGAACATAGTTTGATTGTATTTCAACTACTGATGATGTGATTCAGTCAGGCAATCTTCGAACACCAGAAGGCACTGCTGCAAACATCCAGGAACAGTTTGAGATGGCGCTGAAGCCTGGCGCTACTGAGAAAATCAAGAATTTGGTATCGACGACAGGCGTTCGTGATACAGCCTCGAATTCCATCATTAACACTCTTGTAGAACTTGGAAAGAAGCTTCGAAAATGTACAGTTGGCACTCAAGCAAAGTCCGAGGCTGAAGTCACAGCTGCGCTGGAGAGAGAATTTGAAGAGCTTCTACAAGGTGACAAGCTCGAAGACACCCTCAACCCGTTATTGGGAATGAACGCTCCATGCTTGAATGCAGGATATATCTGCCATTACAAGGGTAGTCTGATTGGAAAGCACTTCAAGAGCCTGTCGCAGGTGATGCCATTCATAATCTACGACCTCGTCCCTTCAACAGTCCTCAATGCCTGGACAATAATGGGCAAACTCGTTGTACTCATCTGGCGCACGAAGATTCTAAATACTGAAGCCTATCTTGTAGGTTAATTCACATATATTCGAAGTTGTAGTTCTTATCCTCTGCGTCTTCTAGGCAAACCTATCTCGGACGATCGAAGACTTTCTTAATGTCACAGCACAGTGTTCCCCCAGCATCATCATCAGCAAACCGAAATTCCACTTCTTGATCCACCTCCCAGCATACATCCGTCGTTTTGGACCTGCGATTATATTTCCAACCGAACGCTATGAATCATTCAATCACGTTTTCCATTTGACGTGTATATACAGCAACTGTCAAGCTTCGAGCTGTGACAGCTGCAGGATATTTGCTCATCAAGATATTGTCAAACATATCGCTACAGGTGGATTTTGGTATGACTCCAAGACCTCAAAATGGGTTCAAGGAAGTCAAGAGGTTCTTGGATATATATACGATCACCCAGAACAGGCGCAATTGCTTGGATTGTCGCACCTTGTTTGTAACCCTCCTGTACCTGGTAAATCAAGTGTATCACGCCTTGCTTTATTTTCGCTAATGATTTACATAGGTTCCGGAAAGGCTGAATCTACTATTGGCACCAACAGAAAAACAACCAGAAAGGGTGCAGTGGCCTGGAAGAACACTCGTTGTGCGAAGATCTTGAAGACTGCGAAGCCCAGCACTAGTTATTTTCACGGAAAATCGCTTGTAGCAAGCAAGGGAGATGTTGCGCATTTAAACAGTCATGTTGGCTTCCGTCAAATGACAAATGGGCAGGTGAGTGGTTTCTGATCATGTTCACGACTGTTAGTTCACAAGATATCACTAGATGGCAATTGGACGAATTCTGGAGATTCTGATGTCATCCGGTGATCCTGACAACGTGTCACACATTGCGCTGCAGCTTTTTGCATTTGCCGATACGCTACATCCCTCCGTCCATCTCCCATGTCTCAACCTTTTGGATGACGAAGTGGTCATTACAGCAGCAGTGAGTCATTCTACAAATGCATGAGCTATACTGACTACTGTCACACAGGATATCAAATGTGTGATCAATCTCCAGCATAATTGTATCGATTCGCAGTGCACAGACACCCTCCAGATGGCCATGCATCAAGAACAGATCGAAACTTTGCGAACGATACCTACCATCCACCATAAGTCCACTCCAAACTATTTTCTCAATGCCTACTCCATTCATAACTACAGTTATATCCATCTTATCATTCCGGAGACGCTTCGTGAAACACCGCTAAGAGTTACTAACATCGCAGAAGTTCGGGCAACCGCTGTACAGCACATGAAGGAGAAGAAGGCTTTGAAGAAAGCTGGCGACACGTTGCAAGAAGCTGAAAGAACAGAAAACGATATCCAGGGCCCCTTGATGCCAGCACCTGCATTTGATAAACCTCCTGCCAGACCAAAGACTGCTGCAAAGTCAAAAGCAAAGGCAGGTGCTGGCTCCAGCACACGAGGAAGGAGGGCTACGGCGTCATCTCATGCTGGCCAAGTTGTTGCTGGATCCTCTGGACTTGAGGCACCATCCACTCAGCAAAATCCCCTGGTTCAATCCACTTCTTTGGTCCAACATGCTCAGGGCCAATTTACGCTGCCAACAAATGCATTCCCTCCACTGCAATCCTTCCACCCCCCTATACCCCATTTGCACCATCCGCTACAATCACACTTTCCTCCGGTGCAGCCATACCTTTCTGCACCTCAACCATACCCTCAAATGCACTACCCTCATCCACCACCACCAGCTCCATATATTCACTCAAGTTATCGCCAAAGTACAGACACTCACCCTGCCAATGCACGGTCGGTTCCTACAGCCTCAGGATCAAACTTTCATATGACACCGCCTCACGAACTGCAGTTCCAAGGTCTTCCAAACCCCTACTTTCAGCCGCCTGGCTATGGTTAGAGATGATGAGGACCGAAGAATAAGGATAAGTCATTGTCTTGAAAGTCAAGCTCCCCATTTCATTGCCTATGTCCTTCACCGCACAAAACTTCATTCCATATACCACAAAGCTCCCCCATTCCATTACCTATGCCCTTCACCACACAAAACTTCATTATCTATACCACAAAGCTCCCCCATTTCATTGCCTATGCCCTTCACCGCACAAAACTTCATTCTTCCATGACCCATACCGCCCTTCTAGCAAAGCTTCCCCATTTCATTGCCTATGCCCTTCACCGCACAAAACTTCATTCTATATACCGCAAAGCTCCCCCATTCCATTACCCATGCCCTTCACCGCACAAAACTTCATTATCTATACCGCAAAGCTCCCCCATTTCATTGCCTATGCTCTTCACCGCACGAAACTTCAATCTTCCATACTCATATTCTAACTCATGGACAAAGTGTGCTGTCGAGAAAAGTACTACTTGTATACTCAATTCACGCTCTCCTTTGTTTCCAAGTGCTCTGCTTTTGTTGTGCTCGGCTCCCTGGATTTCAACCCTCCCTTGTGCGCCCTCAAAGTTACGAAGTTATGTTATGATTAATTTGAACCAAATTTTCAGGGTGCTTTGATGTTCATTCACCATCACTCGTGCAGCACCAGGCAGAATCCACTGCATTTTCCTCATCAATGATCTCTCGCTATCCTGTGCATCCTCGCGGTTCCAAACCTTTGGCTGGTACACAGAACAGAGGTTTGGTGGGTGGTGTTACGACTGGGATAGTTCTGCTGTTGCCGGTCAAGATAGACCTGTCGGGCGAACAGTTCGTCGGCCTTCCTAATACAAGGAAGGTTTCTGGTGGTTCCTACTGCACGAGCCGCGGCTTCTATGCAGGATCAGCGGCGAGTGGTTTTAGCACTTCTGCCTAGGCGGTGAGTGGTTTTAGCACTTCTACCGCAATCAAGGGTTTCAGGCTAAGACAGTGAGTGACTGCCTTAGAATCAGAGTTCAGGCTACTAAGGGTGGAGACCTTAGTAGATCAGGTTTCAAGGGGAAAACCCAGTAGATTAAGTTAAGGAATACATCTATGGTACATGAGGGTTTATATAGGTAAAAGGAAGCGGCGTAGCCGCGACAAGAAAGGTAACAGAGATAGGAAAAAGAGTACAACCTATCAAGATAGCAAAGATAGGTGAAACCGCCATGCGGCGCAAGATAGTATCTATGTTACAATCAGAAAGAAGAGAAGTGCGGACAGCCCGCTTGATAAGAGAATAGCCGAGTCTAGATGAGTCTAGAGTCGGCGGCATGGTTACAAGAAAAGAAAAATGAAATAGGAGTAAATGTTATTGTAACATTACCCCGGTGTAACCGTTGAAGTCTCCGACTTCAATCCATCCTAGCGTCGTCATAGTAGACGGGGTCTGCTTCGGCGTTGTTAAAGTCATCAAGGTCCGTAGAGGAGCTTGGCTGGTTGCGATAGTCTTCATCGGCTTGTTCGCATTCTTGCTCATAGAATGCTTTCTGGTCTGCCTCCCAATTGCGGAGGGCTTCATAGAATCCGTCATCTGTATAGACGATCGGAAGTGGGTAGGTTCCTCTAAGGTCTTTACAATAGACCGAGAGGTGTCCGGGGGCGATGGCATGGCATACCACGCAGGAGTACTGAGGGCAGTTCTTGTGACGATGCCCGTATTCTTTACATATGCGGCATTTGACGTTGTCAAAGCCTGGCTTCTTTGCGGAGATGCGAGGAGGTGGGGAGGGGGATGTAAGGTCGATGACCTCTCTTTCTTTCTTCTTATCTTCTCTCATACAGCGCCTTCGAGCGATCTGGTATCCGGTAGGTCTTCTTCCTCTGGAAGCAACCTGTGGTTGCGGTGCTCTGACCGGAAGTGGAGAGCGAGTTACGATCTGGTGACTGATGACGGGAGAGAGGACGAGGAGGAGAAGGCGGACGAGCGACTTCAGTCGCGGTTCGGTTGGCAATGAGGTGTACAACTGATAGCAAGTCAGGCTTAAGGCTATCAGGGAGAAGCTGAAGCGCAATCGATCTGATGCGCCTCTGGCACTGGATGACTTCATGTGCTTCTTGTGCAGAAGCGAGGGGAATTCGGTTTGCGGATAGTTCAATCAGGCGGGTGGTCCTGATGATGTTAATGATGGCAGCAATTATTGCTGCGCTTCTTGCTGGGCGTTCGGCGAGCTTTCTCTCCAGCTCGAGTGCGTGTTGCTCTGATAGAATCGTTGCTTCAAAGAGGGCGTCTCCCTCAATACGATCAATGACGGTGAAATAAAGAGAGGACGAAAGTGATACGTCGGTATCCTCTGACGATGAGGGGTCGGAGACGGAGGATGCAAGGGAGGAGTGCTTCATCTAAGCACGAATCGTTCAGGTCTGGGAGATAGGGACGAAATTGGTTCCTGGAGTTCGGCGGAGTCGAGGGTAAGAGTGGAGGGGCAGTGGACATGTTTTCTTTGACTGGGGTTGCTTGGGTTTGCTGTCCTTCAAGCCAATTTCGTTCTCTTCTTATACGCTTTGAGAAGCGTCTGGGAATTTTCTAGGTCATCTTCTTTGACCCATTCGTTGCTGGCAGATGAGTATCCTTTCCAGGATACTAGATAGCGACGGCGTGCCGCTGTTCCTTTGTGTGCGAGGATCGCTTCTACTTCGTACTCCTCAACCCCATTGATAATGTCAGGTGAGGGTTCGATGAAATTCGGGCCGTGGACCTTCTGTCTCCCGATAGGAGGATAGCTTCAGATGCATGGAACGTGGGGTGGACTTTCCATTGTTCCGGGAGCTGGAGTGTGAAGGTGATGGGAGATAGCACCTTGGTAATGGTAAAGGGGCCGTGCCGCTTTGGCGCCAGCTTCTTCGAGGGTAGGTGCGTCAATAAGTGCTCCGCTGACAACCAGACCTTATCTCCAATCTTCCATGGTTCATACTTCTTCCTGTGCGTCCTTTCGGCCATTCGTTGCATAGCGATGTTGTGGCAAGACACCGCTTCTTCTCTCATTTTCTGGAGGTTGGTGACGCGGTCCTCGGCCGCGGGGATGTCGGTAGGGGGAAAGGCGTAGGGTATACCTCTAGGCTCATAGCCCATCATCAGGAAGAACGGTGATGCGTTCCGTGCATCGTGCTTTCGGTGGTTATGCACGAATTCTGCCATAGGTAGATGCTGTACCCAGGTTTCAGGGTTCGATCGGCAGTAGATCCGAAGGTAGGTCTCGATCTCCTGGTTCAATCTTTCTGTCTGTCCGTCGGTCTGAGGGTGATATGCGGTAGATAGGGCAACTTCATAGTCTAGTAATCTTCCGAGTTCTTTGGAGAACTTCGATGCGAACTGCGGTCCGCGATCTGAAATGAGCTTGTCGTGGAGCCCAAAGCGTAGGAAAACTTTCTTGAAAAATAGTTGCGCTACTCCTTCGGAGGTGATGTTCTTCTTGCAAGGTGAAATAATTACCCCCTTTGTAAGTCCGTGGTCTACCACGACCATCATAGAATCATAACCACCGCTCTCGGGGAGGTCGGTGATTAGATCAACGGAGAGCTGGGAAAAGGGGCGTACACCGGAAGAGCTAATCGGTTTCAGGGGAGGAGTAGTGGGGTGAGTGTCAGATTTCATCTGCTGACACGTGGCACATCCTTCGACATATTTCCTAATAAAGGTGCCCATCTGGGGCCACCAATAGTCACGTTTGACTAATTCTTCTGTTTTGAATCTGCCGGGGTGTCCGGCGGTCGGGTGATCATGGTGAAGCTGCAGGATGCGGCTTCGGGTAGCGGGGGGTGCGTAGGCACGGTTCTTGTACTTCAAGATACCGTTATCGAATTTCCAGTCGGATAATGCCGACTTCATGGGGGGCAAGCATAGCCCATCTAATGCGTCACTGGCGGTCTTGATGATGGGATCCGCCGTAGGATCATCGGCTTTCAGAGCCGTTTCTAGTTCGATGTCGATGAGTCGAACAAACATATCATCAGGTAATAGGATAACGTCCTGGTTATCGGTCTCGGTGGGATGGTGATCAGGACGGCGTGATAAGGCGTCAGGGGGCAGCGAGTTTGTTCCAGCTACATGATGAAATTCGAGGTCGAATTCATTCAGGTGAGCTGCCAGCGTGCTTGGCGACGTGTCAACTGTTGAGCGGATCTGAAGTAGAGGAGGTTCATGTGGTCCGTGAATACGATTACCGGGTGTCCGTGTCCTTCGAGATAATGTCTCCATGCTGCTAAAGCACGGATGACGGCCAGTAGTTCTCTGTCATAAATCTGATAGTTCCGTTCTGCTGCATTGAGAGATGCAGAAAGATAGGCGCAGGGATGGTAAGCGCCGTTTTCAGTCGGTCTGTAGTAGCACTGCTCCAGTTGCTACTAGGGAGGCGTCAGTTGCAATAGCGAATTGCTTTGCAGGGATCAGGGGTTCTTCAAGACAGGTTCCGTCATAAAGCACTTTCTAAGTGCTTGGAAGCTGTTTTCTTCTTCTTCAGTCCAGCAGAATGGCTGGGTCTTCTTCGTCAGGTTGTTCAGGGGTTTCGCGATGTCAGAAAAGTGCGGGATGAAATGCCGATAGAAGTTGCAGAATCCGAGGAAAGATCGTACATCAGTGACGGTTTTCGGTGTCGGCCAATCTGCGATGCCCTTGAGTTTGGTAGGGTCCATTGCGATTTGTCCGGGTCTGATGATCATTCCGAGGTAGTCGACTTCTTGTACGTCGAATAGGCATTTTTCTGCTTTCAAGAATAATTTCTCTTTTCTGAGGATGTCAAGTATCCGGCGTGTCCGTTCATGGTGTTCTTCGAGGTTCTTGAAAATATCAGGATGTCATCCATATAAACGATGAGCCATCCTTCGTTCAGTTCCTGTTGGAACGTCTGGTTCATATAGGCCTGGAAAGTACCGGGGGAATTGCAAAGACCAAAGAACATGACATTCGGCTCAAAGAGTCCGAATTCAGTCGTAAATGCTGCCTTCCATCTGTCTTCAGGGTGAATCCGAATGTTGTTATATCCGGATCGGACGTCCATCTTGGTGAAGTACTTTGCGTCGCGAAGTTTCGCTAAGAGTGGTGGAATGAGGGGAAGGGGATACGCGTTCTTTATCGTCCATTCATTAATATACCGGTAGTCTTGACAAGGCCGTAGAGATCCGTCTTTCTTTCCAACGAAGAAGAAGCCGCTTGACTGAGGGGATTTCGAGGGAGAGATGAATTCCTTTTTCACGTGTTCATCAATAAATGCTTTGACCGCGACCCTTTCTTTCTCAGATAAGGGGTAGAGTTTGGAGGATTTGGGAATATATCCGGGTTTGGTTTCAATCCTGTGGTCAATACCGGGTCGGTGAGGTGGCATAGAGTTAAGACCGTCTTTGGCAAAAAGGTCGGCGAAGTCGTGAAGGTAAGAAGGGACTAATTCTTCGAAAGTCTTCTTCTTTTTCTCGATCTCACCTTCCATGGCTAATTCCTGGGACTTATTGCTAGTCTTCAGGTATTCAGGAAGTGAGGGGGGTTTTGCCATTTTCTTGGTTTCAAAGGCCGATGTACCGTCGCGGGTAAGGGGAGTGTCCAAATCCAAATTCTCTATCAGGCGTACTGCGGTGGCGTCCTGGGAGTATTCAATGAGGAATTCATCGTCGGTGAAGGGGAAAGGAGGCCAATTCTTCGACTTTTGGTGCGAAGTTATCCTTTATCCAAGCGTCATGCTTCTGATCAAAGTTCGGGATTTCTAATCCCTCATCTTCTTCGTCTGGATCAGGGTTCAGGTGCGGGATAGGTTCATCTTCATCGGGGATCTCCTCGATGGAGGCACGGAATTCTTCCTTCTTCTGGCGGGTAGGCTCAGAAGTAATGGGGACTTTCTTCGAAGTCGGGGTTTCGGGATTCAGCGCCTTCTTGGGGGTCGCTGGTTCTTTGATAGGCACCTTCTTGGGGTGCAAGATATTCTTGGGGGCCTTCCTGGGGTAAGGCTTTGGTTTGAAGAGCGGCTTGAAGCCTGCGTCCTTCCTTTCTTGATCTATCCAGAGTTCTACTTCTCTAGGATCTTGGGGTCTCGTTGAGGGTGAGACAGTTTTCTGCCCAGTTGATGTCTGGGTTCATGGCTTTCAGCCAGGGGAATCCAAGGAGGAATGTTGTCCTTGGTTCGAAGCTTGGTCACGTTGAATTTTCCATACATGACCCGCTTGTCAATCTTGATGCCGAGTTCGACATATTCTCTAATCTTCCCGCCACGGCAGTCACTACCGTCAGCGGTGACCATGGTAAAGGGTTTCGAGAGTTTCTTGGTCCGAATTCCGTGATAGTCGATGAATTCGGTACTGATGAATGATCCGGCGGCGCCGGAATCGATGACTACGGTGGTTTCGACTGGTTTCGCACGTTTAGTTGGGAGGAGAGTGGCAGGGACACGTAACTCTTCTTTATTACCAACATGATGTACAGTGCGAACTGGAATGGGAGGGACTGGCGTCGATACAGACCTCCATTCTAAAAATCCCCCTTCTTAGTCATCCTACGGGTATCCATAGTTTCATCGTCAGATTCTTCTTCCTTATGCTTGGCCTCACGGGCCGGTTTCCTTTCCTTTGGGTGGTGTTCCCTATCATTGGCTCTGTGGCCAGTCTGGTGGCATATGAAGCATTTGCCTGTCTCTCATATGTTCGGCCCTTTCTTTCTCTGAGAGGCGGTCGACCTCCATAGAGTCTCTGTCTCCTCGCGGTTGGTACCTTTCAGGTCCGAATCGGTTCTTCTTCTTCTGAGTCTGGTGCTGGGTTTTGGGCCTCAGCGCTAGGATCTGCTGGTAGGCGTTGTCCATTTCTCTAGTGGACTCGACCATTCCTTCAAAGTCTAATGCGATATTGCCTGCTCTGTAAATAGCATTGGCAATTCCAAACTTCAATCCGGCGGTAAAGAAGTGGACCCTCGGTCCTTCTTCCTGCAGGCCGGTCAACTGGAAGAGATGTCTTATCTCTGTGATGTATTCTTCTAAGGACCCTTCTTGCTTGAAGGTCCTAAGCTTGATCCACGCTTCGGTGGCTGCTTCTCCCGTGGTGAATGCTTTAAGGAAAGCTTTTTTGAATTCTTCCCACGTTCCATACCCGATGGGTTGCTTGTTTCTGTCTAGCCTAGTAGTGTCTTGAGCTAGAGTCAAGAAGTCCTCCTTCCAGGTTAATGCCGACTTTTCATTCATGAAAGAAGTGGCGAAGATGATGCATTTCTTGTCAGTGTTGTAGATTTCACTGTTAATATCAAGGTAGGCGGCAACCGAGAGCAAAAAGCTTTTTGCGTTTTTCTCGTTGCCATCAAAGATCGGTGGCGTTCCGATTTTGATTTCAACTGGCTTGTTATAAGCGGATGCAGCTACTGCTGCGGCGGTGGCACTGGATGAAGCGGAGGGTCCCGACATGTTTCCAAATGCGGCGGCAAGGATGTTCGCGGTTATCGAATCAATGGTGTCGAAGTACTGTTGGGAAACAAGTACTGGGTGAGAAACTTAATCTTTTGTTACGACTGGGATAGTTCTGCTGTTGCCGGTCAAGATAGACCTGTCGGGCGAACAGTTCGTCGGCCTTCCTAATACAAGGAAGGTTTCTGGTGGTTCCTACTGCACGAGCCGCGGCTTCTATGCAGGATCAGCGGCGAGTGGTTTTAGCACTTCTGCCTAAGCGGTGAGTGGTTTTAGCACTTCTACCGCAATCAAAGGTTTCAGGCTAAGACAGTGAGTGACTGCCTTAGAATCAGAGTTCAGGCTACTAAGGGTGGGGACCTTAGTAGATCAGGATTCAAGGGGGAAAACCCAGTAGATTAAGTTAAGGAATACATCTATGGTACAGAGGGTTTATATAGGTAAAAGGAAGCGGCGTAGCCTGCGACAAGAAAGGTAACAGAGATAGGAAAAAGAGTACAACCTATCAAGATAGTAAAGATAGGTGAAACTGCCATGCGGCGCAAGATAGTATCTATGTTACAATCAGAAAGAAGAGAAGTGCGGACAGCCCGCTTGATAAGAGAATAGCCGAGTCTAGGTGAGTCTAGAGTCGGCGGCATGGTTACAAGAAAAGAAAAATATAATAGAGGTAAATGTTATTGTAACAGGTGGTAGTAGTTCTCTGCTAACACCAGACATTAATTTGTTGAGATCTCGAGGAAGGAGCACCTCAACGTCAGGCAGGCTTCGAGTTGATCGAACTAGACCTTCTTCTGCATGCGGCTCTGCAGCAGCAGGAGATATTGGTCGAGCACGATCGCCACTCGGCACATTCAAAACATCTGCTTCACAAGGCCAGACTGGCATTGGACATTGTGGCAGCATTCGACGCTCTCCTGAATTGTCTGATGACTCACTCGAGGAGCCTATTAGTGCTGGTGTACGTCGCCAAAGGACATACTCTGATGCTGGCCTGGGCGATCCAACTGTGCTGACACCCTCACGTGCAAAACGACTCAAGACATATGCAAAGAAAGTGGCTGAGGAGAATGATGTTCCAGAACGGGGTCTTTTTGACTTCATTGATGTGAGTCGCTTTGCTTGATGTGCATACTCTTCTCTGATTTTAATTTTTTAGACCAGTGGAATATATTATATGCTTATTGATCTTAAAGTATGCATGATGAAAATGGACTCGACTCGAAAGGCTGCTATGCTTGCTGATGTCAAAGAGTTGTTAAACTCGAAGGACTTCAAGGTATTTTAAATTTCTACACTACAAGTCGCCAGGCTAATTTAATGTTATGCAGTCTGGCCTCCAAAATCGTCTGACTGCATGTCTCCTGTCACCCAACCTGACTGCATATAAGACGGACGCGCTCCCAAACATCTCGGTAACCTCCTTTGGTATCGACTATCTCATGAGACTGACGCTGTAACAGACCTTTATTAAGGAAAACAGCAGCATCTTCAAGGTTCCTTCATCACTATTCGAGGATGTAGAGCTCAGCGCAATATTCGCAACAACCGTTAGCGATCTTCTTTCATCAATCCGAGGTGGAATGAAGTCCAAGGTATGTGCCTTAGTACCTTGTGCTAGAAAATTCTCAAATTATCACTCAGTTGCTCTCATCTATCCAAAAACACCTGAGCATAATGGACACATCAAAATCGCTTGCTCACGGCTGTATAGAGGTTGACGCCGCTCATTGGAATAGGGTCGCTTTTTTGGTATGTTTTCATTGTATCAGATATTATAGGATGATCACATTCAACATTAGCGGTGCTGCTTGCATGTCTTCATGATTGGTATCAGTGACCACAAGACTCTTTCGCTCAAGGCTCTCTACTCGGACTCACTCATACCATCTCTCCACTCAGCTATCCGTGCTAGAATCGGACCACAGCTCGGCATTGACATCAACAGCATCGAGCGTGAGTTGTATGGTGATGAGGCGGATCATGATGGTATACCACTGGATAGCACATCGGTGACCAATGAACATGGGGAAACCCAAGGTACATGTGCTACAGATGACAATGGTGATTTCGCTGGGACTGACAGCTTGGATGAGCACTTGGGTGGGAATGGAGATGCAGACCAGGACTATGAGCTTGAAGATAATGAAGGCATTGATACCACCATGTTAAACAGGCCGGCCGCTTCACCCAGACAACTCTGGCTTTGGGGACAACGGTAGGCCTATCATTTTCAGCACGGGAAAATTTTGGGACTTTGTCGACATTTCACTCGAAAATGTTCGCAAAATTGCCAAGGAGGAGGCGGCGGCTGATCAGAGTGGAAATACAGGATACGAAACCGCATTTCAGCAGTAGGTGTTTTATTATCATACCTTGCAAACGGTCACTCATTATTACCAAGAATCCAGGTGGAATATTTCCAGCAGGACCTTGCTGAATTTCCTGGCAACATGGTTATTCCTAAACTTCTCGCAAGCAACACCCCTCAGTGGCAGACTACCATCCAGAATAAGCTTCTGTGGAACGAGGATCAGTGATTCTGTCGCCGCTGCTTATTCACCTATCCGTGCACATATACATACATACCACACTCGTTTCCACCTACTAATCACATCTGTATCCAATTCGTCATAATGGAATGTTTTTCGTGGCCTGCTTCATTTGCTTGGATGTTCAATGTGATGGTGGTAGCACAAATAAAAATATGCATAATTAATTGCAGTAATAATTGCTTGCAAGGTCAGGATGATGCACAAAATGTCGAGCAGACATCACAGACACCTGTGACTCTATGTATGTCTGATACCAGGGAGAGCTATGTACAACCTATGGAAACCAACCTATGTGATAGGTCTGGTCGCCAGGGTATCCCCGGCACCTCTGATACCTCTTTTGGTAGGCCATAAGCAGGTCTCTCGGTCCCTTCACTCCCGTACTTCCTTACATATATATCATATTGCTCAGTAAGAGGTGCCGAGAACACCATTGGACCGGGGCTGTTATTAGGTCATCTACGGGGTACCACTTTTCAACCTGTGTGAGAGGTTTTCGGCAGTTGGCGGTGTACTTCATAGATCCGACGAAATCTGACGGACTATGTGCCAATAATAAACAATAATAAATATCAATAAATTATCAGAGCGGCTGATCATAGGCTCAGTGCAGTTACTTGGAATACGAGACAACATCATATGCGATGTTAGTGGTGTTTGAATGAGGTCTATCTTATTCTGACATGAATATCACTGCGACGCAACGAAAAAATCCGGGTCCACGCAGGCAAGCAAGGTCAGATTCGGCAACGCCGAACCCTAGTATGCCAGAAACCACCGTGGTCTACACACACGGACACCATGAATCTGTCCTACGCTCCCACAACTGGCGCACCGCCCAAAACTCTGCATCCTACCTCCTGCCATACATCCAACCAAACATGCACATCCTCGACATAGGCTGTGGGCCGGGCACCATCACCCTCGATTTCGCCACCCTCGTCGGGCCCACAGGACACATCACAGGCATTGAACCTTCCCCAGGCGACATCCTCGCTCAAGCCCAAGAAACAGCCACATCGCGAGGGATCACGAACGTAGAGTTCAAAATCGGGGATATATTTGAACTAGAAGGGATATTTGACAACCGTAAATTTGACATCGTGCATGTGCATCAGGTGTTGCAACATATCGATCGGGAGAGGGTATCGGAGGCTTTGATGCAGATGAGGGCTGTTACGAAGCCTGGGGGGATCGTTGCTGTTAGAGAGACGGATTTTGCTGGGATGACTTGGTTTCCTGATTCTGCTGGGATGACGGAGTGGGTGGATACGTATCAGCTTGTGGCACGTGCTAATGGGGGAGAACCTAATGCGGGGAGGAGGTTGGTGGCTTGGGCGTTGGGAGCGGGGTTCGCGAGAGACAAGATCACGACTTCAGCTGGCACGTGGTGTTTCAGTACCCCTGACGAGCGGGAGTGGTGGAGTCGGATTTGGGCTGATAGGACGCTTTCGTCAAATTTCAAGACGACGGCACTCAAGAGTGGGCTTGTGGACGAGGAGAAGTTGAATAGAATAGCAGATAAATGGACGGAATGGGGTAAATCAGAGGATGGCTGGTTCGCAATCCTACACGGTGAAATCATATGTCGCGTCGACTGATGGGCAGTTGATATACATGTATTTGATTGTTATTATCAGAAATATCGGGAAAATGTAATGCAAACAAACGATGCAGCAGATAAATGACAAGGTTCCACACACAAGAGAAATAGTAAGCGTAAGAAAGTGATCGCAAGAACGAGGATGGATAGAAGATACAAACCACGTGGCCCGTGCCTGCACGAACTCTCAGTCTTGATCGTCTGCATCGAGTTTGACGACCTCTAGATAACTCTCTGGTACGAGGGCATGCGAACCAGTGTCCTCTTTCACAACCACCGCCCATCCAACTCCACCTCCTCGTCCGACAACATGAACAATCTGGTCTTCATCAAGCCTCATCTCTGCAGTTCCTTCTGGCTCGAAGGAATACAATGCGCGGTAAAGGCCAGGGTATAACATGGGCTCTCCCTCCATCTCCTCATCATCGTCTTGATTTTGCGGGAATTCATCTGGCTCCTCATACACCTCACTCTCATCATCGCCACTGCCGTCTCCAAAGTTACGGGCAAAGTCAGTTCTCGAAGGAAAGTCCTCAGAAGAGGAGGAATGCGAGTCAAGGCCCCACCCAGATTGTAATTTCTGAAACCCCCACTTGAAACCTCCCCAACCATTGTTATCATTCTCATCCTCCCACTGCTCGTCATCCTCTTCTGTCGACGACGTGGAAGTCAAAGAGGACGTCGACGAGGACGACCCGCGTAAACGGCGGGCAAGAACGTTTGGACGATTTGGACGGGGTACGTTCGATCCTTCACCAGAGAATCGCGGATCTGAAGGCGCAAACGCATAGTCACGGATTATAATGAGAATTTTGGTCTCGGTGGGTGTTGTTTCAGGTTCTTTGCCTTTAATCTCTGTTACTGCTGACATGCTGAGGATATCTTTCGTACGACGTCCACTGGGAGTGCGAGAAAGTGCTGCATTGGGGGAGAGTGCTGCGGATACGGGACGTTGTGAGCGAGAATTGGCGTCTGAGACTGGGCGAGAGCGAGATTTCGATGAAGTGCGGGATAGGCCTGATGCACGACGGGAGATTGCTGGTGATGGTGGCGCAGGACGGGACGAGGTAAGAGAAGTGACGGAATGAGTGCTTAGACGGTGGCTGTGATCTTCTGTATCGTGGGAGTCGAATAGTCGACGAGGAGGATCTAGAAAAGATGTATTCGGAGATTCTGTTGTTGGAGTTGATTCCTGGAAGGGTAGTAGGTGGAAGAGAGAACGAGGAACGTTCAGCATGGAAATGATAAAGCGTGGAAGGAAGGAGCGGAAGAAAGCCAGAGACGCTCGTTGGGGACTTACCGCGCCGTTTGGTGTGGCCTGGCCGCTGTTGAGGCCATTGGCAGCGGTAGTAACGTCTTCAAGATCTTTCTTTGATGATTTCCTACGAGCGAATTCATGTGGTCCAGGTGTTGGAGGTGGTAGAAATGAAGAACCTGGAGATGGAAATGGAGGAGAAGAACGTAGAGCAGCTTGATCTAAACTATTATTTAGCCTCCTTGTCCTCGTCGTGGTCATCATCGTCTACATACCTTTTTGCGTACTACTAGTCATTTGGACGGTCGTGGTTTAGTCGTGGCAGTATACTTATATAAGTACCTCGTCAACTTCGCTTGTCCTTTCCTTTTAGACAAAAGACCGGCTTCGTCTGTTATGTCTGCTCGAAAGAAAGGCAAAAAAAATACAAAAAAAGAAAGAAAGAAAAGTCAAAATGACTTTTTGAATGAGTACTCTCCAAGGACGCACCCAACGTGCATTCATCTCCTTGACAACCGAAAGTAACTTATTTGTCCATATTTACTATACTACCGCCATCCACTACCACCACACCGACTCAACGATGCCCGACGCTCAATCCCAGCAGATCGCTTCAACTCAGTCGACACCGTGCTCCTACTAGGATCATTCTTCATATGAGGCGTAGGTGATCCGCTATCATTCCGACAATGAATCCGGAGCTGCATCAGCGCAGTGTTGGGAAGCGCACGTGCTAAGAACGACACAGGCGAAAGCGACCTAGAATGGTGCTGGCACGGGAAAAACACGTCATGTCTCTTTTTGGGCCGTACAACCTCTTTCGACCGAACCTGGCTGGATCTCTCTTCTCCAGGCGAAGATTCGGATGTCCTAAAGCCTTCGCTGAATCTTCCGAGCCCGTTGAATACCCCGCCTCCCCCTTCCTCGAGACCTTCGAGACCGAGGCCCACTAGTCCTGATCGACCGCCAGAAAAAATGTTGGGAGTACTGAGTATAACAGAATCATCTGAGCTGCTACTGCTACTGAGTGGAGGCAGAGGTGGCGTGGTCGCAGGTGTGTTATTTGGAACGGTGAGGAAGGATGTAGACTCGCTATATGGTGGAGGGAGGAAGACGTGGACGTCGGGTCTGGGTGCTTTCGGAATTTCTCTGTAGTGAGGTTTAGGAAGCAAAGGTATGTTTGTCTTCGATGTGCGCAGGCGAGGTGTAGCTTTCCGCCCTGGCATACGCGCCTTTCCAGCTGATAGGATATCTTCTTCGATAAAAGAAGCGTTCGGTGGAGCCAAGAGGGAGCTCGATGTGGATCCGGAATGGTTATATGCGTGCATGGTTGATGGGTAGTGAAACTGAGGTAGAAGGAGAACGGTGGCGAAGGCTTTAAGTGCGGCGATAGAAGATCGGGGGGAGAACATAAGATGCAGAATCCAGAAGATGTAGTGTCATGAACAGACGCCCAGGTCTTTTGTATGGCCACGCGTGCATGGCTGACGGGGTGGGCTGACCAGCCAATGGTGCAAGGCTGACATAGTCGATGATCCAGACTCCTGAGGGCTGACTAGGAAGTGTGTTTAGATCACGTGAGCAAAATCTCTGATCAAGACGCACTAGTACTGCAGGTCATGCACTCATGACACGTCTGCAAGCAACATGCAATAGTTGCTATACTCGTGCCAATCGCGAATACAACAACCGATGCGCGTTGCGTGCTCGTCATACGCACTAACAGCAAACAAAACTGCAAGTGGGTCATGACGCAACCTGGTTCGAGAGTTTGACATCATTCTAAAATCTATTCGAAGGGAACCGAGAACGATTGCATAACGAGCATTGCAAAGGCATAACTGTGAATATTGTGGGTTGTCTGCGTATCATATACACACCACCCGTTGTCAACAACTTGAATAAGTAGCTTACAAGTATTCATGAAGTTTCGGTTGTCCAGAGATGGCAAGAAAAAAGGCAGCTAAGCTGAGAGGGATGGAAGTCAAGGAGCCTTGCTTGTTGTATAACCCGTCATCTCGATGATGGCGGAGGGCTAACGTGACAGTGGAAGCGCAAGAGTAGTTCAAGCTCCGGTTGAAACAGCACTTAGATGGATCATCTGTATCATATAAGAAACAATCAGTCCGTTCACCCTCAGATGTTTTCTACCGTGAATTAAAATAAGAGATGCCTACACTACGTTCTCCGTTGTCTTTTCCTCTTCATTCTCTGTTGCAAACAGCATCGCATCATTTTCGAAAGTCGCGGGATTAAACGCTCCGTGCTTATATATGTTAGATTTAATAATTGCTCTCTGCGCTTTGTGTAGCCTAGTACGTTCGCAGGCACTTACATAACTCTGTATGTCAAATTTTGAGATTTTGTATTTGTGAGTGGCATTACACGATGTTATTTACAGTGTATGTATATGCTATGAAAATGTGATCGTCGACTCAAGGTACACACGTAAACTGCTCGGAGATCAGTATTATAGTTACAATATGTCTAGGGTCCTGATGTTCATAATGTCAATCGAAGCCGTGTCTTTGACCTGCGCAATGATATCATGGTCCGACGCAACCCTCTTATATTCTCCAACGCGTTGCTGCGCTACCAAGAGTGCGCTGAAAGGCTGCCCAAGGTGAACCATCAAACGCAATGATCGCGAGTAAGCATCCGAGTCAACTGACAAGCCCTCTTCTCCAGGTGAATCGCTAGACGATTCGTCAGTGTCGTCTAATGCAGACTCGGACTCGGACCAATTTCCTACGCTCTCCCCTTCATCTACAAAGGTCAGCTGTTCTGCAAAGTCAGGCAGCCCAAGGAGACGACGATCCCATGGACGGACAAGAAAGAATGTCTGCTGAGTGGGCCTTGCGCGCGAGAACTGAATTAGTATCTCGTCCGTGGTGATCAGCAAGTCCCGAAGCCCATCTGCTTTAACTCCATACATGGAATGAACAGTATCACCGCGCCTCCGTCTGACTTCCGTGACACGAAATGCGATGCAAGGTAGACGAAGTCTGCAGTTTCCGAAGAGGGGAACATTCATGTTCTCGAGCAGGTTATACAGTTTCGAAGCCAAATCCACAGTCACGATGTTTCGCAACGAAGAGACCGCCGTCTGAATGCCATCTTCAGACAATGATAGTAAGGAGCATGGCGGAGTTGCATATGAAATGATATCGGCTGGAAGGCAACTATTGAACTCAGACGATTCTCCGACCCAGTCCAGGGAAGTGATGTCGCCCGATCTGGCCACGATCTCCTGCAGGAGCCGCCCGAGCGCATTTTGCTTCTTCTCACCATAGATTACAGGCAGATAAACGCCGAAGATACCAAACAACGAGTATGCGATGTCTTCCTGCATGGTGGTGACACGTTTTGATGCCCATTTCAGTTTCTCTCGAGCATCTTTCATCCCTGGACGGAAGGAGATCAGGGCCTGTGCATCTATTCCCGTCGCACCCTCCAACTCCTTCATAATTGCTGGGGACTCTTTGTGGTTGGGAGAGCGATCCTCGAGATATAATGACCAATCCTTCTGATAAAATCTAACTTTCGGAGCGACGAACTCTTGAAAAGTCCATCCTCGCTCGATCCAAACACTCCTCGCCAATGCGCCTGGTGGGGATGAAGGAGGGATATCGGATAGGTAGACTATGGTAAGCGCTGAGTGGCGGTACCAGACAAACATGGAGTTGACTGATTCTTGAAGCTCGACGTTGTTGGTCTTATCGATGCAGCATGTATCCATCCACGCCCAGAAATACCCCGCATCACGAGCAATTTTGCAGAACGATTGCAGTTTCGCGATGCCACTAAGTCCATTCAGCTCATACACGGCTTTGTCCTGGATATCGTGCAGCAGCACCTCCATCTCTTCCCACCTGTGTGATAGTAGGACGCAACGGAAGTGCATCGCCACCACTTCCTTGATGCGTTCCATTTGGAGATCCGAGCAATTCGTTGTGAATGACAAAAGCTCCTTGTACTCTGGACTTGTTTTGAAGAGTTTAGCTGTGCCGCTCGGTCGCACAAAAGACCCGTAGAGGTATTGAGCAGACGAAGGGGGGCATTGTTGAGTTCAATCCAAACTACTCTTCGAATAGCGTCCTCTGCTTCCGATGGACAGACGTACTGTTGACGTAGATCTGCAGAACGAGATAGGGGTTTCGAGACGACGCAGAAATGTTCTATGGCTTACCTCGTATCTGAGCTTCGGGAGCATCATCCAACTTCGACAACATGATTGTGAAGGCCTCGATGGCTTCATCGTAGCGTTGCGCACCACGCAGTGCTGTGTGTGCCAACTGGTATCCAATATGAGACGAAGGATTGAGTTCAGTGACCTATGGCCATCGCCGAAGTCAACATGGGGTATGAAAACGTAGATGCCATCACACCTTTTGCGCGTCAAGGAGCGCATCCTCCCATAGCATTTTCCCCAACTTTGCCTTACTCCGATTTGCAAAGGCGACATCGGATGTAGAATTCAGGTCAATTGCCGTAGAGTATAAGTCAATAGCCTTGTCGTAATCGTTTGCAGCGAAAGCGGCATCTCCGTTGACAGCGCAGAATGCACTGCATTCTTGCTTGAAATCTGAGAGAAATATATGTGATTGTAGCCTGAGCAACATTAAAAACTCTAGACCTACCATTGGACCAGTCAAAACAGTCGGCATTTGTAGTTTCGTCGCTCGAAGCCATCACGTGTTGGTATGATTTCAGGGCATCTTGTAGCTTACCCGCCCGAAGAAGTGCATCACACCGTTTTTGGTTTGCCTTTTGCCACAAGCACTTCAGGTCCCAGCCAAAGAACTGGACAAGGGACTCGGTTATGACTCGGAGAAGCATCATATATGCATCATCTTAACGCACCACCACCAAATCCTCATATATTTCATGAATGTTCGATTTCGATAATGAATCGCGGCAGTCGAGAGCGGCAGTGAGATGGTCAACGGCTTCATCGTGACGTGCGCCATCCAAGGCTTTTATTCCGAGTTGAACGCGTAGATATGCCTAATGTGCGAGTTGTGAAGATGAGTGTTGATGACCAAGCATAGATGACACTTACTTGCACGACACAACACGCGAGAGTGTCGGCATTCGGACAACTGGCGAGTTCTTTGAGGAGCAGGTTTGCCTCGTCATATTGATCTGCATTGAAGAGGGCGACTGCCTGAGATATGAAATGAGACAGAGAGTATGCAAGGCGACTGTAACATACCTTGATCAATAGCAGAAAAAACAAGATTTCTGGATCTTGATTTGTATACATGGATGCAACATCAAGTGCTGCCCTCGCATCCAAGACATGACCATTTCCGCAGAGGGCAATACCCTTGGAGATATAGCCTGTCAATGAGGGCTGAATGCTGATGGACTATATCACCCTTGAGTTAGTCTGTCGTAAGGGGCGATGATGGGTCAGTGAGTCTCGCCTTGATTGCATCCTGAAGGGCTTGGTACCAATTAAGTTGTCGCGCCATAACGAATGAACGATGGGCGTAGGAATTATGGTTGTTCGGATTGATATTGATATCTTGAGTGAGTAGTTCTTCGGCAGTGGATAAGTCACCATCTATGCATGCATCGCGGGCTGCGGTGATAGCTAGGATCTGCACGAAAGATGCTCGAATTGTAGTATATGAATCGAGGACGGAAACATGCCTTTAAGCGATGGGCGCAGGAAGTATGGTTGTTCGCATCGGTGTTGATATCTTGCGTGAGTAGATCTTCAGCAGTAGATAAGTCCCTATCTATGTATGCATCATCGACCGTCGTAGTGGCTAGGATCTTCAGAAAGTATGCTTAAGTTGTGGTATATGAGTCAGAGACAGAAACCTGCCTTTGAATGAATACTCTGAGGTACTGCCCATTCTGAGATCATGCTATCGTAACCTCCACTGAGGAGGTGTTTGCCGTTCACGGAGAAAGTGACGCATTTCATGTTGAATCTGTGCTTGAAGGTGGCAACATTTTGTCCATCTGAGAGCCACCAGAGACGGACATAGCTGTCATCAGATGCGGAGGCGACGAGTGTGCCAGTAGGATGAATGGCAATGTCATTGATTTGGTCGGTGTGGCCCGTCCAAGGATTACCAGTCTGCTTCCAGGTTGTTGTGTCCCATTCGCGTATGCTAGGATCGACACTATTGCCGCCTGTGAGGAGGCATGTGCCATCGGGCGTCCACACGAGTGAGCAGTTCCATTCTGTGTGAGCCTTGAAGGATGCGACGCGTTTTCTTGTGTCTAAATTGTATATTTGAATATCGTTGCATGTTGCGATGGCAAGTTGTTCCCCAGAGGGCGAATACCGTACGCAGTTGACAAAAATATGACAATTGATTGAATCTCCTTGCTGCTCCCAGGTTTTGGTATTCCATAGTATCGTCGTCAAGTCATATGAACCAGTGGCCAGCACTGTTCCATCGCGAGAAAAGTCAAGCGACATAATACAATTGGAATGGGTTTTGAGGCGGGTGAATAATTCGCCAGTTTCTCCGTGCCAGATGATGACTTCGTATGTATCACCGCTTGCTATCAGTTGTCCATTTCGTGATACTGCCAAGCTCCGCACACAACCCAAATGTCCTTCCATATTCTTCAACACAAGACCTGTCTCCAAGTTCCACAGACGAAGCATCTTGTCCTCCGAGCCCGTGACCATCCATCGGTTATCGGGGAAAACTGCGACTGCCTCTATACATCCTTCATGACCTTTGAACTCTCGTAGGGGCGTGGTGATTGGAATGAGCTCCGACATTTTACTGGAGATTGATGGTATTAAATGCGATCGAGTTTAAACTTTAGAGAGATTGTCTTTCTCTAAGACACAGAGGTGCGTGTATTGTGCATTTTATGGTGCTCCACAATCATATCCGCGTCATTTCAATAGACGCCCAGGACACTTGAGGCTGCCTTGTGTCCACGCCTCCATCGAATGCAAGGGTATTTTCAAGCTCCGATAGAAATACTCAGTGATAACGAATCGTAAAATTTTATAGTCAATTTGGCTAAAATGCCCGCCCCATCGAAAGCAACTCTCCTATCCTCCTCAGACGCTGTCGCCCATCTGGCATCTTACCAATGCTTAGATGGTCTCTCCGTCAAGGATCTGATGGACTCTCGCGTCCATGGTGGTCTCACTTATAACGACTTTCTTATGCTTCCCGGAAAGATCGATTTCCCTGCTTCTGATGTGATCACCGATACCAGAATCACTCGTAATGTCGTTCTCAGAACCCCATTCATGAGTAGTCCTATGGATACCGTTACCGAGGCCGACATGGCCATTAGTCTCGCGTTGCTTGGTGGTATTGGTGTCATTCATCACAACCAGTCTCCCGAATCTCAAGCGGGTATGGTCCGAGCCGTCAAAAGGCACGAGAACGGTTTCATCGCGGATCCCGTCGTCTTTTCTCCAACTCGTACGGTTGCAGATGTCCTTGACATCAAGGCACGTCTTGGTTTCTGTGGTATTCCTATAACAGGTGCGTTATGCATTTCACATGCGTCTCCTTGATGAACACCTTTTTACCAATAACCTTCGTTCTTCCGAGTAACGGGTTTTACCTGTGATTTGCGGATGTCATTTTCATTTTGGCCATCTGATCTTTCTTTTCGCACATCGTGTTCGTGTGATCGAAAAACTAATACTTATTTTTCAGAAACGGGATGCTTGGGAGCTAAGCTCGTTGGTAGTTGTTACCTCACGCGACGTGCAATTTGAGTCGCCTGAGACACTCCTCAGCGAGATCATGACTACGTCTCTTGTCACCGCTCCTCAGGGTGTCACGCTCGCAGAGGCCAATCAGATCCTCCGTTCTTCCAAAAAGGGCAAACTCCCAATTGTCGATGACCACGGTTGTCTCACATCTCTCCTCGCCCGCTCTGATCTCCTCAAAAACCAAAACTACCCACTTGCTAGCAAGGACCCCAACAGCAAGCAGCTATATGCCGCAGCTGCAGTTGGCACGCGACCCAGTGACAAAGAGCGCCTCAAGCTTCTTGTCGAAGCTGGTCTCGATATTGTCGTACTTGACTCATCGCAGGGCAACTTCTATCTTCCAGATCGATATGATCCAATGGATCAAGCAGACATTCCCCAAGCTTGAGGTCATCGCAGGCAATGTCGTCACGCGTGAGCAAGCTGCCAATCTCATTGCTGCCGGGGCAGACGCTCTCCGCGTCGGCATGGGTAGTGGCTCCATCTGTATCACGCAGGAGATCATGGCTGTTGGTCGTCCACAGGCCACAGCTGTGTTTGCTGTTGCCGAGTTTGCATCCAAGTTTGGTATTCCGGTGATCGCAGATGGTGGTATCAGCAATGTCGGGCACATTGTCAAGGCACTTTCTCTTGGTGCAAGTGCGGTGATGATGGGAGGGCTTCTTGCAGGCACCACAGAAGCCCCGGGAGAGTACTTCTACCACGATGGGAAGCGTGTGAAGTCCTACCGAGGCATGGGTAGTCTTGAAGCTATGGAGCAGGGTAGACCTGGCGCGTCTGGTCAGGTCAATGGCAAGCCCGGTTCCACGAAGCATGCTCCGCACCTTTCGAGCAAGCCACATGAGAACGCCGCCATGTCGCGCTATTTCTCCGAGGCCTCCGCTGTCAAAGTCGCTCAAGGTGTGTCGGGTGACGTCCAAGACAAGGGCAGCGTCAAGGCATTCATTCCATACCTACACGTCGGTGTTCAGCACAGTCTACAGGACATTGGCGTGCGCAGTGTTTCAGAGCTGCAGGCAGGCGTGAAGGATGGTTGTGTAAGATTCGAGGTAAGGACGCCGAGTGCTCAGGTGGAGGGGGGTGTTCATGGGTTGCATTCGTGAGTGATGATGAGTTTCCGTTGCGATGTGTCGCTAATTTTTTCTGCAGGTATACCAAGAGATTGTATGCCTGATACGACGGTTTGCGTTATTACCCCATATAACCAGTATCCGTACATCGAGGTTCCTGCTCTCTACGCATAAAAACAGTCGAAAATTGTATGTACATCATTGTTGATCAGGGGGAACTGTGACCATGGCGCACGATATAAGTTCAACGACTCACTTATAGACTACATCCCAGACCTTCGCTGATAAAGACGGAACAGACACAGCACGCTTGCTTGACCGACGGCGATGGCCATCGGTCTACGGAGCAATCCCTGTTGATGGTTGGCGAACGCGGGATTGAAAGTTTTGATAATCTGCTCAGCATTGAAATTTACTGGCAAGTCCACTGGTCAGTCCACCATGGATAGCTTGTCAGGCAGAAGGCTAGGTCAATATTGCCACATAAGGCACTACATTTGGGTTCTTTCCGACTGACATTCTGCAAGTGCATAGGATACCAAGCTCCATGACAGTGGTTCGATTACCTGTGTCACACTGGTATTATGATCGCCAGGGGACTGTTCAATGCTTGGGCATCAACTTCATTCAAGATCTCTCGTGATTCATGGTGATGTTGCACGCGTTACAACGCTTCAAGGTTCACGATTGGGACCGAAACAAGGACTTCCTTCCAGTTCAAGTTGAGGGGAAACAATGCCACGAATCCAAAATCCGGGATAATGATCTTGAAACGGTGGATCTGTTGCTTCACACCAGTCACGACGAAAGGGTGACAGACTACGGACTACAAGGACGGGCCATCAATGTGGTCTCCGTCACTAGCGAGGCGCTCGCCAAAAAATACCCAAACCCTCAGGATGGCATGGTGGCCAAGATCTTTTGGGGAGAGGAGGGTCGTAATAGCGAGCCAAAAATCTTCGACAAAGTTGAGCAGATCGCTAATGTGCACCCGACCGTCCAAGGGCACATTCCTGAGCTGCCCTGGCACCACTGGGTTGACGAATCCCACGTCCGCCATACAAAGTACTCGGTGTCCCAGAACCCACCACGGGCAGTCGCGTGCTCTACATCCTTGTATTCAGGAAGCTCTATTCCATCACGAAGCTTTACGGCGAAGAGCTTTTTGATGTCTGGCGTCAATGTATCCTATGTATGTGTTTTATTCAATTTATTTAACCCTTTGTGACGTAGCATACAAGTCACCTCACTCTATGGAAGGAAGGGGTCTATAATCGAGATATCACCCCTAGAAACTTGATGTGGTATAGGAAAACCGGAAAACTGATTGGTGTCTTAAATGACTATGATCTATCTTCATTGGCGGATGACCCGGGTCTTCGGGGAAATGAACGTACGGGCACGGTACCATTCATGGCCCTCGATCTTCTCACTGCAAAGGCTCAACGAGGCGAAGTTAAAACCTATACCGCCATGATCTAGAGTCGTTTATATGGGTTTTTACTTGGATTTACTTGCGTTACAGGCAGGGAGTCCTTCTACCAGGGAAATCACGCCTTCTTGACGAGTGGGCGACTTTAGACGCCATTCCATATGGCAAGGAAAAGTTGTTCTTTCTGTTCGATTGTTTCAGTTATCAACCCCCAGACCTCCAAACTTCTCAATCGGACATAGGTTGGTCCTTATGGGATCTTCTTATGGATTGTTTCAAAGTGCTCGATACAGATGCCTACAATCGCCGTAGTCGCATTCGCCATCTTCGCCGTGTTCAGCAGCGATTGATGGAAGGATCAGGTGAGCAGCTAGACGCCAAGGAAACGATAGCAGATATGGATCATATGCTAGGCAAATTCACAGGGAGTATGGCCTGGGTAAAGCTCAGCAACCTTTCAGCTCCACAGTGATTTTCTTTCGTTGTTACGGTACATACTGTTTTCTGTGTTTTGCTGCTACAAAACGGTCAAATATATAGATACTTGCCAAATCTTCACTGACTGGCTGTCACAGGGACTTTGAGGTTGCTGTACATACGCTGGTATCATAGTTGCCAACTTGCCATGACGTCAAAAGACCTGCTGTGTCCATGATTTGTGGTTCACACTACCCATCGTATCGATGTGTTCTCAGGCCAGAAATCATAGACACGGTTCTTGAGATCACCGCAAAGCAAGAGACCGCACCACAGCAGTCTTCACGTGCCAAATCAGCTCTTCAGCCAAGCGGGAGCACGTCCCTACCCCACGCCACGCGTGCCCGATAGACATCCCACTCACGCCCTGCGCATGTTTAATCTAAAAACGATCCTGTGTCGAAGACTCCGTGCGCTTTTGTTTCTCTCACTTTATGACACACAGCGCAAAAGGCTACTTCAAGAGTCCGGGAATGAAGGGCGCACAAGCGCCAGATGGATTGCTCTTTCTCAAGGCCACGAGATCGATCGACTGGGAATATATGAGCGGGGGCATGAGACAAGAAGGGTCCCCCCTGCAAGGGATCAAATATATTGATTATCCGACATCACCCAAGATACACAGCAATGACTATTAACAGTGATGTCATGCAGGCCGATGTAACACAGGGATTTAAGCGGGGAGTAACGATTGCGTGACTATTGAAGAACAAAAGAATACAAGAAAACTGCGACTGAGTCATAGGTTTGACGGGCTTCTTTCTGTTGAGCATGGCGCGAGGATCGGACTGAATTCTACTCTGAGAACATAAATCCCAAAATCAAGATTCTTAGAAGAACTTCTTGTTGATCATAACCGAGAAGGAGACGTGCCACCAGCCTGAGATAGCGGAATTACTTTAGATTCACCATGAAGTGCTAGTATACGTACTACCTGGCGCGCTGCAATAGATATTATTTCTTATTTCTGAGGAACTGAGAGTATAGCGTATTGGATCTCTGATATATATTGGTACGGACGAGACTGAAATCGAATGTGCAGAGAAATCAGTCAAGGTCACGTGCGCGAGTTGATGGGAACGCGTCGGAGTCACGAATTAAATTGTAGAGGTTTACAACCGCCACTGTGCCACATCAATCCACATCCGACACATCAGATTGATCGATGGACCACTCCATTTGCGCCACATTGGTCGACCGGATATAAGGCAGGCAGGAAGTATTCGTCTTTCTTGTCCGCACACTTTTTTCCACCTCAGTCACGGTAGTTCTGCTCACCACAGTTATCATTGAACACCTATCGTCATGTCCCCTGCTGGAGAGACTGCCACATCGTCTACTCCACCACGCGCCAATGCACCAGCTGAAGGTGATCGTAAATTAGAGTCCACCCCAAACAGTCGTGGGGCTTCGGTCATCAGCGAGAACATCGGCTTGGTCGGTGTCCAGTACGCACCTTTCTTATTCTTATTGAGTAGCACCTAACATTCCATGAAGGGTCAAGGAGGTCCGACCATGGATTCAGCGGGACATCGAGCAGGCCAAGCAGTGCAAGGCAGATGCCATGCTGCAAGCCCTCCTACAGCGCGCGTCTTGTGCGCCGGAGACGAAGCAACCCGAGCTTCTGCAAAAGTGTCTCAAGGCAGTTCTACCGGTCTGTAACGGTGATGTCTCTGCTGGAGGCATGTCCTCCTCGGGCATCGAGACAGCCCTGAATGAATAGTGAGTGCTCCTTCACGATCGGACGTTTCCCCGCTTATAATGATGGCAAGCATACGTCCAGGAGTAGAAAACAAATTCTACAGCCCTTTTATTGAGGCCACGAATATCACGCTCGCTTGTCTTGAAGAGATCAAGGTTGACGGGATGCGTGCTCCTGTATCCGCGGTGGACATGATCTGCCAGCAGAACGATATGCCCATGTACCAAACCCACCAGACGGTGACATCAATTCGGAAGCCCGATATCGTCATCCTACCCTTGAATAGCGCATGCGCTCCTTTGGAGGATGAAAAAGGCAGCAAGAAGGGTAAACAGAAAGGCAGACAGAAAGACGACGAGAAAGACAACGCGAAGGATAACGAGAAGCACGACATGAAGCGCAAGAATCATATGGTGAAGAATGCCAAGGAAAAACCGCCAGCGCCACTTCTTTGGGAAGATGTTCTAGCTTGCATCGAGTTCAAGAGAAAGACGCCAGGGAGAACGAAAGGGATTAAGCCACCGCCCTCTTCATATACAGTGACAGACTATATTCCTACAAAACCAGAATATCTGCCGGTGGGTCATCTGAAAGCTAAAGAGCCGTCACCAGACCCTTCGCATACCCCAGCAATACAAACTGCGTCCGACAGTGCATGTAAGTGATTTTATTTTTGATCCTAAAATCGAACTAAACCGGCGTGTCAGCAGTTCAATCTTGCGGTCTTACTGCTGCACAGCCCTCCAAGGGTGGGTCCAGCTCCAAGCGCAAGGCTGCAGACACTTTACAATCAGCTGCGAAAAAATTCAAGGCTAACTCTGACGAGCTTGATGTGACCGTCCAGACGGGTCTGTACGCTGCCGAAATGTTCGCGGCCAATCTTGCCGTCTATTATCTGATTAATTTCATCGTCGTCGGTGGGTTCGTTGGTTTATCCAGATTGGTCGCGCTCTTACCACGGCTTTTTAGACGATGTGATCTGGATCTGGTATTATGATCGCCAGGGCACCGTTCAATGCTCGGGCATCAACTTCATTCAAGATCTCCCGCGATACATGGTACTGTTGTACGCGTTGCAACGCTTCGAGATTCACGATTGGGGCCGAAACAAGGACTTCCTGCCAGTTCAAGTTGAGGGGAAGCGATGCCATGAATTCAAAATCGAGGATGAAGATCTTGGAACGGTGGATTTGTTGCTCCACACCAGCCACGACGACAGAGTGACGCACTACGGACTGCAAGGACGGGCCACCAATGTGGTCCCTGTCACTAGTGAAGCGCTTGCGAAGAAATACGCCAACTTCCAGGATGGAATGGTGGCCAAGATATTTTGGGGAGAGTCAGATCGGACTAGCGAGCCGGAGATCCTGAGAAGGGTTGAGGAGATTGCCGAGAGGCACACAACTGTCCAAGGCCATGTTCCCGAGCTCCTTTGGCACCACGCGTTCGCGAATCCCACGTCCGCCATCCGAGACGCGCTCGGTGTTCCGGAACCCACCAGGGGCAGTCGCGTGCTCTACATTCTTGTATTCCCCAAGCTCAAGCCAATCACGGAGCTCTACGACAACCTGTGGTACCAGTGTATTTTATGTACGTATTTTGAACGCACTTACGAGACTCTTCGTTTACATGGCGTGCAGGCCACCTTACTCTGTGGAAAGAAGGGGTCTATCATCGTGATGTTAGCCCTGGAAACTTGATGTGGTACCAGAAAGATGGGAAGCTGATCGGTGTCTTAAACGACTACGATCTCTCTTCGTTGGCGAATGACCTGGGTCCGCGGGGCAACGAGCGTACGGGCACGGTACCATTCATGGCTGTCGATCTGCTCACCGCAAGGGCTCAACGAGGTGAAGTCAAACACCTATATCGCCACGATCTTGAGTCATTTATGTGGGTTTTTACCTGGATTTCCTTGCGCTACGATAACGGAGCCCTTCTATCGGCTGGATCGCGTCCCATCGATGCATGGGCAACTTTCGACGCTGTGACATGTGGCGAGAAGAAGCAATCATTTCTCAATTATATCGAAGATTTCAGACCCTCTCATGTGAAGTCATCGACTTGGTGTTTCATTGTAGCTTGTTTCAATGAGCTTGACATGGAAGGCTGCAACCGACGTGTACGTCGACGAGTATCGCTTATAAAGGCAGGTGGCTCATACGGGGAGACTATCGAAGAGGAATCAGTATCAGATATGGATAATTTACTGGGAAAATTCACAAACTCCACAGCCTGGGTTGAGCTCAACAACGCTTTCCGTTCACGGTGATTTTGTTTAGTTGTTACACTACATACTGCTTTCTGTGTTTCTCTGCCTGCGTTAGTTACCCATGAAATAGATCGTATTATTTTTAGTCATCGTCTCAAACTTTCACCGGCAGGGACTCATTCCTCATACCAAGGAATACCTTGCATTTTTCTCCATGCCATCCTCAGCCATTGATATTTCAGCAAGCTATCTTGCTGGCCAGACCTGAGGTTCATCAAGGAAAAGCTCCCACGGGAATTTTGAAAATGCGACAACGATTTCTCGAAATTCGCTCTAAACTTCGTAATGTTTTCAGAAGTACGCAACAAAGGACGGCCAGAAGCGCAAGGCTCACATGGTCAAGAATGCAATGGAAAAGCCTCCAGCGCCGTTCTCCTTGAAAGATGTTTTAGCTTGCATCGAGTTCAAGAGAAAGACGCCAGGGAGAACGACAGGATCAAGCTACCACCCTCTTTGTACACAGTGACAGACTATGTGTAACGCATCAACATGCCTTCCAAGAAGCGAAAGATATCAGACCTCACAATCGAAGACACGAGTAGGTTATTCCTTGCCTTGAATACTTTTCAGGACAATTTGGACGAAACGGAACTTCTCCCTTCCCTGAAGAAGCTTGCAGAAAAGCTGCAAACTGTTCCAATAAGTGGATCAAGTCAAACAAATCATAATTGACCGCATCCTTAGAGGCGCACGCAGCATATATATTTTCCTGATCAAGTCATTTTCAACCAACTTGGTATTCGGTCAAAACCTTTGGTCCTGCGTGTTGACAAGCGCAGGGAGATAGACTCTCTTGGTCTCGCACAAACTGAGGGTAATTGATTCTCTATCGATCTCACCAGACAGTTCCTACGCTTGATTCGCAACTGTGTCTCCAAAGTGGTGAGCTCGTACTGCTCTTTAGTTCTTGTTCAACAGCTCATGATTGTATCCTCAGAATGAAGCTGCCTCTCGCATATTAATGAACATGTTCTTACTACGCTTGGCTTCCGTTATACGCAATGAAGAGACAGAGGTCAACATCATCCCAGACTTTCCGATCTCAAAAACTACATTTCAAGGACATTCTTTTGACAGCGTTGTCGACTTTTTGGCGATCCCGGCCCATTCGGAATACACTGGTGCGTTTACTCAACAGATAAATTTGACGACCCTGGCTGAAAATTTGTTACAAAAGACTTGCTGCTCGATACTCCTGTCGCTGCACTCACATCTCATAACTTCACGTAGCAAAACATGTAACGTGCAATATATTTGAGGCGACATGGGACAATGTGGAAGTGGCTTTCCCGCAAGCTGTTGTGGCGGCTGCTTCGTATTGTAAAGAACACAAGTCAGTTTCTAGCTTTACTGTGGTTATGTTCACCAAGTCTTCATCTATAAGGCTGACGCTTCGGACCAGGGTGAAGAGGCACTCTCACGAGAGATAGCATTAGGATCCAATCTTGAGGAGCTACCCCTTCTTCTGGGACTTTGCGTGCAAATGGTATTTTGATCGATTTTAGACAATCTGATGATCTTTTGACAGGTGGAAGATGCAAGGGAGTATGAGCAGAAATTTTCGAGATCAATTAAAGACTGGTATGCAGAGCCGTTGTTAATTCTTCGTAGTGGCTACTTGTACTTGGTACCAAGGTCGGTCGAATCGTTCCGAGAATTGTCAGGAACTAGGAGTGGTTGTATACTTGTAACATGTTGTGTTTATTGCCGCGAATTGAACACGAGCCATGATGAATTTTACTTGCCAAACTCCCCAGCTTCTTCTCGACAAGATCATTAATTTCGCGAACGAATTTGTTAGGATCTGAATAAGTTCATAGTATGCTAGAGGGGTTCTAGCGATACGATCATATATTTGGCAAGTAATCAGTAATGAGACTCCGCGCATGAAGGTGCTCACTGCATCAAACCCACGACAGCCGCGCTGAGTCACAGAAATACAGAGGTGAACCACACTTTGAGGTATACCCAGACATTAATATTTTGGCTCGTTTTGAACTGATCAGCGGTAATGTCGTCTCGACAGGTTGAGTCTGTTCGTGTTTGCCGCAATCATATTGTAACTTTCATCTTCGGGTAGAGGACCTATCAATTCAATAGCAACCGAGTCTCCGTGAGAGTCTGGGACAGGGAGAGGATGTAGGGCTCCTGCGACCAATGTAGTGGAGGACTTGTTACGCATGCATTCAACACAACCAGCGATGTAGAAGTTGATAGGATCTTTTCTCATGTTTGGCCAATAGTATGATCTGCGGAGGGCTGCACGGGTCTTGTCACTGCCGAAATGACCCAAAATGTCGTGGGCAAGGTGGAACAATCGTTCTCGCAGTGGGTTGACACGAGGCACCACAAGACGATCTGTAATATACAGTAGTTCATCTCGCTACGTGAGTCTGGGCAAGGAACCTATCAAGGACATCAGCCTTATACAGAGAGGGTCATCCACGTAATCAATAATGATGCCCTTGAGGAATGACTTGTCATGTTCAATGTGCAAGGCATTAGCTGACATGGCGGTGTCTGTGTCAAGTCCATCATGCGTTAACCCAATTGCAATTGCATGAGCCGATACAACAGGTGACTAAGTTGCTGTTCCCTCCAAGTTTACTATGCGCAAACAAGGCATCTGCACCTGTGTTTTCTTTACCCTTGAAATAGATTCCTCGAGTCTGTATCGTTACAAAGTGTTACTAAAGGAAAGCTGATATACTAAAACGTAAGAGAAAAAAAGATCAGCTAACATGTAGAGCTAGTAGCGCGCACCTTGATCACAGCTTCGGTCTTGACGAGACGTACTCGACTGCCGAGGACCACTGTTAGCTCGTTCTTCGGCCAATTTTTTTACAGTAGCTCAAAGTCCCCAAAGTGACTTGCACCGTCCGCATCCACCATCAACAGCTTGATTACGCGTGCATGTAGCATCCCATATTTTCAAGGGCGACAACCCGAATATCGCTATTGAGGTGTTGCTGGGCCGGTTTTAGTGCAAGCGCGAATGAGTGATCTTTTGAGTCGTCGTCGCTAATGATGAGCCCCTATATGTGTGTCTAGGGGATGGAAGGAGAGAGTTAAGGTAATCAAGTATGGTTTCGAGCATGTACGGGAGACGGTATGTCTCGTTGTACGCGGGAATGATGACGCCGACAACAATGGAGCCTGCATCGGCGAGATATGAAAGGCTGGGAGGGTCTTTGAGAAATTTTCATGAGGGGTATATCTTTTCTCAAGGTTATGTCATTATTGAAGCAGGCGAAAGCAACACGAGGGCTAGATAGAGCTAGTGATGATAAGCGAAAATGCTAAAGCGGATTGGTATGAAGAATGACAGTCAGGCAAGAGAGGAACTCACTGGAGCTGCACAATTTCGCCCATCCTACAACTGCACACCATAGCCATGATAAACTATTATTCACCATCTGCTTGTACCCGTGGTGGATTGAACATAATAACATAAGAAGGGACGAGACCGCAAAGAACGAAATATAATAAAGGGTACACAACCTGTGATAAACCAATTAGTGAGAGCAAACACACGATTTGCATACCAGATTCATCACGAATATGTAGGAGTTCAAGAATATTGGATAGAAACTTGGGAGCTAATCTGTTCACTAGGGTTGTTCAGCCCAGGTGGATTATGTAAGTTGCCACGTGAGCAATTCCAGGTGAGTTGAGAGGTTTTATATTTGTCCACCACCGTCATGCAGTCGCCCTACACCACGACTCGGATGATATGAAGTGACTTCGAACGTTTAATGCGGCTGCCAACTCACTCAGCCAGAGATCGCTTGTTCGAGTGAGAACTTCTGCAGCTTCCATTACATATCTCACACGTTTCAGTTTGAAGACCGGTGCCAGCTTCTTATCCGCCTGCAAGCGTGCAAACGATGCTGCATCAATTGATGGCATCCGAGCTGATTCTACAAGCCCGCCGAAGCGGCATTTTCTGAACTTGCTCACAGTCATCGAAGTACATCCGCCGACTCAAATAAGCGAAATACTTTCATTGCACAACAGCCCGTCACGGGATTATAGTCAGATTCATTTAAAGTCATGCTATGCTATTAATACACATATTTGTTCAACTTAGAGGATGACACATGAGGCTTTCAAGCGCGCACCTTGCAGCCGAACGTGTGAACACCACCAGGCTGAAGGCTTAATCCTCAGACCCTCGTCATATGAACGCACATCAAATTCAGGCGAGCATCGCGTAAAACATTTGTATCCTGACTGCCGCAACGTTGGTTGGGGGGTGTAGTAAGTGCTGATCGGCTCATAAAGTTTGTGATACAGCAAGTAAGTGGTAGTCAAGGGTATGCGTGATGCACGGCGTCGACAAAGCACAGACCCGTTGAACGCGGACTGATCGACTCGACACGGACTAGTTGAATTGATACAGATAGCATGAAATGATGGACGATGAACCGAATGAAACAGAGGGAGGAGAAAAATACAAAAAATGAAACAAAAAAGAGCACGGGGACGACAGTGGCAGATAGCGAGACGAGCGTGGACAAAAACATATGATTGGGGTGGTGTGAGGTAATCCGATTGGATGGTTTGCATTAGATGATAGAAAGAGATTCGACTGGACGATAGTCAATAGCGAGATTACCGGAGATCTAGGACGAGAAATTGCAAGACAGAGTCCAGGGAGCGATGATGCCAATTAAGGAAGCGCAAGCCACACGAACGCGCAGGAATATCAGCATTTATCTTCTTGCCGCCTAGAGCATTCAGGAATTTTTTCGAGCTCTGTTGGCCTCCGCTGTAATGGACATGTGCTTACTCCCCAACTTCCATGTCTTCCTCCTTCATGCCAGTCGAAGACGCACTGCGGTGGTCAGCAGCAGCATCAGCAGCTTCTCTTAACTCCGCGTCTACATCCGCATCACCTTCGCCGTCTGCGTCTGGATCTGTGTTGGGGTCGGAGTGAGGAGAAGGAAGATGTTGCGCTGAGAGGTGTGTGTCAACTAGGGGTGATAGAATGGAGGACGTTTCACCCACCAGAGGACACCGCACCCCGTCGTCTTCGTCCAGGGTCTTCGTCGTCTGTGGTCTGTAAAGTAGCGATTGCAGGCGGGGAGGGAGGGTCACGGTTCCGATCTCTCTCGCGGTCCTTTGCAGACCCACCACTGCGTTTCTTGTCCTGTAAAGGCACAGGTGCCACGAAAGACGCTGAGCTTGGAAAGACTTGCGATTGCGATTGTCTCTGCGTCCCAATAATCGCACCGACGGGAATTGTATCCGTACGGTGCAATCGAGCCGCACTGGCGTTGCTACCGCCAGCCACATTTGCGTCGGTCGTTCCCCGCCGTTCTACACGCTTCATTTTTTTTCTGCAGCGGTCGCACACAGTGCCAGGCCCTTCTGGCCCAGGGCCCCATTTTTCGACACATTTGTTATCTTTGTAGCGCCCTGGCAAGCCACATTGACGGCAGATGCGCTGACCGACAGAGTTAGTGGGGGGGAACGAAGCGGTGGGGGGAATAGCAGGTGGAGGAACTGGTGCGATGGGGGTGACAATGGCGTTAGGAGGTGTTAGTGGGGAGCCATTGTGAGCTGGCACTACGTCATCAACTCGAGATCCGTTTATTAAAAAGGGACGCACTGATATTTGCGCTTGACCCTGGTTTGCCCTTCTTTTGGGGGGCGCCGGTAACGGGAGGAGCAAAAATATGGGTTTGATAGGTCCTGAGCTCTCCAGGCTGATCTAACGGACCTACGGGAATATTCCTCGACTGGTGTGCAGCCAAGACGGCACGAGGAGACTGTGGCTGTTGTTCACGAGCATTCAAAGCGCTCCTTTCATCAGTGGCAGCATCAAGGAGAAGATCCTCGATGTCCTGCGAAGTAGCACGGACACTAGAATGGCTGCTGGAGCGAGAATGTGATTTATGAGTAGGCTGAATGGTAAGGTGATGGTTGAGATGTTGAATCTGGGGAAGCTGTTGAGAGTGGTGATCGATGTCATGGATGCGTCCGCGTGACATGGAGGTAGCCTAGGGGATATGAGGAGATAGAAAGGCGATATGAGAGGGAACTTACCGAGAGGGGAGGCCGATGGTCATATTCTGCACGTTCGTTACGTGGTCGTTTGGAAGGAGGCTGGGGTTGTGAGATAAGATAAGAAGGGTCATCGAAGCTGCCTGAGCGAGGACGGACGCCACGAGTGGATGGTGGAGGAGGGAGTGGGCCTGGAGGGAGGGCAGAAGAGCTAAGCGAGGAAGAAGTGTAACGATGATGAGATCTGTTGTATGAACGCGGTGGAGGTTCCACAGTGATGCTAGGATTGGCAGAATAAGGGCTATGTTCATGCTGATTTTGATTTGGGATGGGGGTCAAAACAAGATGACCGCCTGCATCTCTAAGGATGCGCTGAAAGCCAGCACGTGCGTCTGCAGCACGAGATTCGATGGCGGCGAGGTATTTATTGAGTTCTTCGTAAGATTCGAGAACAACGCGTCTACGTGCTTCTGCTTCGTCTCTTTGTCTATCGGCATGGGCTACACGTGCCTCAGCTTCTTCGATGACTCGACGAGCCTCGCCTGAGAGGGGAGCACCATTGACGGTTGCGGCTTGAAATTCTGCTAGTAGACGCTCTGCTTTTTCTAATCGTTTCTTTGTGTTTCCGAGTTCTTTTGTGAGTTTGTCATTGTCGCAGTAGCTGTTATGAAGTAGATGTGCGAGCTGGGCGTTGGAATGATTATTTATTATGCCATTTGGTGAAGTGAGAGGAGGGGAAGTCATGGGAGGTTCTGCAGACATGGTATCGCGTTAGAGGGGGAAGAGGAGGTCCATGATGGGTTTCATTATTATTGGAATGTGGGTTGATAAGAGTTGTTTCCCTGTCGGTGAACACGCCTTCCCTGTCACATTATTTGTTGGTCACTTGTCACCTTTTCCCCGGTGGCAGTCTCGGCCGGGTGTAAAACATCATGCCCCGCTCAACTCCCAGAACAAACGTTGCCGACGCACATCATTTCTTAATTAAGTAAAACCCATTTCCCTAATTCGGCTTTAACGCCTCAGACCCCGGTCACTCATTTCATCCCGCCCGCCTTTGGGGTCTTGCCTCGTGTCGGCGCTCACCGCGGCCCCCCCGTATCTCCAATCCTGTCAATTATAATAATTTTTATATATTATATTTTTTATTATTCTCCCCGCCTCGTGTAGCGGATACTCCCGATTATTCCCGCCCTAACCCGTCGGTCTCTCATCTGTCTCTTCGGCCAAGCCAACTTCTCTCCTCGGCAGTAGCACACGAGGCAAACACGAGGCCCCGCACCGCCCATCCCGCTTCCACGTATGTTCTATGTTTACACCCGCCCTTGATCACCCCGGTCCGTATCTTCCAAATTTTATTCCACCCGAGAACCATACCGCACCCCTACAGCATGCCCGACGAATTCAAGAATTCAATCAACTTAAACTTTGTTTTTCACCTCTTTGCCTCGTTTTTTCTTCCAAATTCGTCTAATCGTGCCTGATAATATCCTTTTCAAATATTCTTTCGTCCTCTCGTCCCCAGCGTTACCTCCGTCACTACCCCCAGCGGTCCGTTCATGTCCATACCAGTGTATGTACCACATGCTCATCCTCATTTTAGCTCATCACGCCTCGATTTCTACTCTTTAATGACATATCTTGACATCATTCATATCCAGACCTGTATCCGGCATCTTCATTTTTTTTCTAACCGGCACAGCATGTTGCCACCCAAAGACTGACGCCAGGAACTACTACATGTCTAATCCGATTTTTCTTTGTAGCTCGTGTCCTCCTCGAGGTCCCGTGAACTACCAAATTCTCGACTCGACATCCCCTGCCTGACCAGAGTGCCATTATTGACTTATCGGCTGCTGTGTAATTATATTGTCACAGGTATAACGCAAGTAATTTCTCAAAATTCGTAATACACTAGCTTCCATCATGCGCTCGTCGGCGATAATATCAGCATCCAGTGTTTTTACTCGAGGTAACGCCATCCTCTTGGGAATGTCACCCTCAAACCTTGGGTTGTTACATCCCCGACGCATTCAATCGGTTACGCTGCCATCGAGAATGGTTAGCCTCGAAACGGTTCCGGAAAGTTACCTTGCACTGAATCCTACCACCGGTGACGTTGTCTTCTTGAGGCTCCGTGGTCCACGCCGTTCACCATAAGCAATAGAATCTCGATAGTCGCCCTTCGATGTGGGTTCCGTTCAAGATATGAAATGCCGTACGTGCTATGTATTCATGGCTACACCCAATCTGTGGCAGGTTAGCGGCCGCCGCCGCAGGGGACAAACTCAGCGGTGCACGGATTTTTAGACCAATTCGTCTTGATACTCTGCTTCTCATTATGTGCCAATGCACTTGCAGCTTCTATGTCTATTCTAGTAGACTTTCAAGCTCAAGTCTAGTGCATAGGGAGCTAAGTAGCGGCGTCCGCAAGCAGCAAAAGAATCTGGCGTGATGACATCTATCGCTGATAATGCACGGGGATCTGGATCACCAATTCATCTCGGTTCTCCGTTTTTTTTTCTACTGTACTTCGACTCACCGCTTCTACCGTCATTCTACTGATGCCAGGGGACACTAAGAGCTACTAGCTCTAATGGCTGACAAGTTACACGCCACTCAGAAACATACGACAATCCTTAAATTTTCAGATACCTATCTTTTTATCCGTGTGCTGCATGCGAACGCAGAGAGTTTTGCTGACAATTGTATTACTTGACGTGATCCTTTTCCTATCTTTCACGCCACCGATATACTCTTGACGAAGTCGAAGCACAACCTCATCGGCACCGCGGCCATGAACGCTATCCACCAGCTGATGAATACCAACACGCACAGTGCCAACCGGTATCCAATCTCTTGCCTATGATTTTCCCATTTTGATGATATTGATGTCTTTGCCGATCTTGACGCCTCACCTCCCATGAAGATGCTTCATATTGATCACGACGTGAGCACATGTCAATCTAACTTAAACAGGCGCATCTCAGCTGACTTAGATTATTTTGGATTCAGCAGGATCTGGTGCACCCCGAGCGAAAAGCCATTCTAATGCACACACGTTACCAAGTCTCCGACATCGTCGCTACTTCTCTGATTTTTGCTACCTTTATTCAACCCTCGGAGGAATTACGAGATTTTATAGTTTCATGTCCCTAGATTGGGACCTGCGCAGTCGCCTTGGGGTCACGCGCGAGTAGCAGACAGATCGTTTCGACATATTACCCCACATCGATTCTTTTTCGTGCGAGCTTCTCTAGATAGAGCTCGATGTAACGCGCGCCCCGCTCGAACAAATTTTGAACTTTACATAATCAATGTTTTTGATCTCGTTTAGGCTTAAATTTTGTGGGGAATGATTGATTCAGATGACGTTGAAATGGCATTGAATACATCCCTCCCTGTGTACGTACATTCCACCCACTCTAATACACACATCTCAAAAACGACAATCTTAGCCGCGAACATTTTCGCCCAGTATGGCACGGCACATGACCCCTGAGCTCGATCGAGGATCACAGCTCTGCTAAATCCATCTACTTGCCCCCACCCGCATTTGCTGTGCCTTCTATCCATATACAGCATGAACTTATCCAATGTATGCGACAACACCGCAGGCTTGCCTTCTTGGTTCCTGTAGTAAACCCGTTTCCCCTCATCTTGGCAAACCCTACGTAGCCATGCACATCAATATGAACGCTGCATCGCCGCATGCGCATTGCACGCAAGTAATATAACGCAACGACAACACTTTCCCGCTTTTGGCGCGCCGTGGAGCCCAATCCATATACAATCACTCAGAGCCTTCATCTTAACTCACGCTCCGGCATCACTGCTGATGACATAAATGAGTTCATATTTCAGAAGCCGCATGTATCACGTTCCATCCCGCGACTTCTCATAACTCAACGCTCAGAATGGTTCATTGCTTGTTCAGGAAGGCCTCGTTATCAACCCGTGCCATCGAGTGTTTCTTTTCGGTTTTAATTTTCACGAATCCCATACGTGCCAACGTGCATGCGAGTTTTGTTTCTAGACTGGGGCCCCGAATGTGACGTCGTTTGCCTCGTGTTCGGCGCATGTACGCGAACTGGGCCGTGGCCCGTGGGTGATGGGCGCTCATGCGTTAGATGGCGGTGTTCCTTCCCACCGCTCATTTGCTTCTGCGTTATCTGATCGGCTGTTGCTGCATGCGTTGTGCGTTGGTGCTGGGCGATTCACGGTCGGATCCTGGGCCCTGGCGTAGCCTGGACGATTTGCGGAAAGGCAATTTGTTTAAAAAACATGGTATTAAGAGCTTTCCTACGATCTTATTTCTATCATAAAATTTATTCAAAGTTCACGATGTCCGCTTGTCTCACCCCAGATCCAAATAAACGAAGAACACTTCCGGAGGAATCGAATCGACGAGTAATACAGCTCTCATCAAGTGACCTTCGGATGTCCAAGAACCCGTCTTCCCGATAGTTTTTCTAACACGATATGACCGAATGAAGAAGCTCGGCTGAAGACCAGTTCTGCCCGATCGAGATGTGTACGTTCACTTGCTAACTTTATCACGTCAAGTTCTCGAGGCTGACGGGACGCCATCCGTTAATTCTCGTGACAAACTATGGTGGAATGGGAAAGATAGCTGCCAGTGGATGATAGTCCTCGGCGGGAATGCGTGCCGTATCCCGCCCTAACATCATCGTATTTGCTGGCATCTTGTCACTCGCTTTCCCAGAGATTACTTCTGGACATCTCAGCTGCCATGTATACGCCGTAAGGAGACACATCCCCCTGTAAAGACAAAAGGGGCTTTGGCAGCCGCAAACCATGCCAAGTGACGGAGATTCGTGATGGCAGTACTAGCGATGAGCCATCTTGAGCCATCGACCCCGCCTTCGCCTTCCTTACTCGGCTACAATGCTCCAGGGAAACCTGATAGGTCGTTTCATTTATTCCTTTTGCTTCTTTGCTTCTTGCTAACTTGACTAATTGTTGTCCTCGATGGGGCTTTTGTGCGCCTTTGTTCTTGTTCTCATGATTCACAATTCGGCCGCTGAATGTCCGCCGGTTGGATGTACGACCATTTTGGGCCAACGCAGCAATCAAGTACGGGAGGGCGTAATCATAAGGCGGGTATTTCTTGTTTTGTTATGTTCGGTTCGGTTGCTTGATTATTCTGCGGTCGCTGAATTTTCATAATCCCAGGTCTAAGGCGCGGTGATTGATTTTCGTGTTAGACCATTTTTTTTGGTCACAGGCTCCCTGGTTATGCGATAGATGGTGATCAGAAGATCGGCAGATACCAGTGTCTGTTCTTTGTTCATCCGACCCATCCGATGAAATCATGATCTGGCAAGCGATGCATTTCTGAACATAGCAATGAAACAGCTGAAAAGATTATCGAAGGCAGATGGATTCCAAAGCAACTTGAAATCATCAAGTTTCAACACACACCGATGATCATGGAAAGTCTACAGTTACGGATACCCATTTCCGAGTCCGCTCCTTGTCACCCCTTGAATGTTTGATTCACATGACGAGACATGCGCCGCTGAACAAAGTAAACAGCGATAAATCGGTTCAATGGTGTTTTGCGCCAACACATGCTAGTACGGTGCGCCCAAGAATAAAGCCCCCGGCCTCCCGCGATAGGTTTGCGTGATGAGACTGCGGTCCTGGGCGCTCCACCCACCAGTCTCGCATGTCGTGCATGTTCTGGATCTTACACGCACTCTGGGATAAATCTACGTCGACGAGCCTCGTGTTTTGCGCGTGTTTCGCAAGATCATACGCCACGTCCCAGGACTATTACCTCGTGTCCAGGCCCTGAACATCCCGGGCAGCGTCGTTTACCCCTTTCCTCGCCAAGGACTCCTAAAACAGAGCTCGCGGGAAACCTGGGTCCTAAATTGAGATGTCCAATGGGATCGCGGCGACGAAACCCTTGCAGGCAGGCGATCTTATAGCGAAAAGCGCAGAATTGCCTGTGTGCACGGTCTTCCGAGTTTCGACTTTGACTCACGGTTGGATTAGGGGGGAGCTGGATCCAATCACTTGTTCATTGAAAAATTAATGATAGTTCCTTGATTAATTGGGACGTCATAGATTTTCATTTCTTTCTTATCTGCTGACTTTGTAATTGAAAATCTTTCTCGCTTGTCTATGTCCTCGGCGAAGCAGTGCCGTTCACAAGTGGTGGGACAAGTCCCTGAATAACCCTGAGCTCATCGAACAAAGCAGCTTGCTACACAAGGCTTTGGCAGCGGCGTAGCATCTGTTAGCAATAGCTTGACAGTGTCGGCCTTGCCAGCGCGGCGTGTCAATGTCAGGATTCGGTCAGGTACGACATCGCTGCCATAGCGGAAGAAATTCGTTACGGCTGTATTGGGTTCTACTTTCGCTCGTTATCATTCCTTATCGACCCTGTTCGTGTTCGGGAGACTATGCGAATGTACAATAAGTACCTTTTACCTGTACACTGAATTAAGCAAATTTTACAGCAATAATCGACTCATCTTTATCACGCCATCACTCATTCAACCGCTAATAAAATCGGTCGGACCCCAAAATTCATCAGGCTCAAGTTGATCCATCAGCTCGTCTACCAGGATGAGCAGATAAGGGATGTCGACATCTTTAACGACGCCGACACCATCAGGATACCAGATCTTCCTCTCCTCATAGGCCCACTTCCATCGCTGCAGATAATACCTGATCAGAGCTGAAGTTGACCACGTGGCGATAGGAAGAACCCACTAGATATCGGATCAGTTCCTTGTCTTCAGGCATAACTTGTTTCCACTCCTCGCTCTCGTGACTCGTACAAAATATTCGGTACGAATCTAGGGCGTACCGGCCCACGCCTGGATAGTGTGAGACGGATGTTGGCGGGTATGATATAGTCGTTTTACGGGCCGTTTGAGGAGACCCATGATTTTTGCGTTTTCTTGGATTTACATAAGTTGGCGCAGTGATTTTTAATCTTGCAGGTATTTCTAAGCGGCACTTAGATGGACGAAGAACGTCAGTAGGAGGATCGTCTATGTAGCGTTGAGAGATCTCCTTTAACCATGCTGCCCGTTTGTTGTAGAGGCCGAGCGGTCGCAGAATATTCACGACTTCATCATTATCAGCTTGTTATGGGATCATCATCAACGTGCGTGGTAGGGTCAAGAAGTTGGAGCCTACCCTCGATCATATCCCGAGGGGTTGGCCAGCGGTCCATGAGCTTCCAAAAGACCGGGATAGCATATCGACCAGTAGTCACATTCAGCAGTTTGACGGCGATCAAGAGCTGCCAGGGATTATCAGAAACAGCAGCTGAAATGCAAAAGATGAGAAATGCTGTTAAGACACGTAGGAGAAGAAGTACCCTGTATCAAGATTGGCTTCGCGTTCGCGATATATCCGATAAGATCGTTGAACAAGTCTTGATGGTATGTCGGAAACGCGGACATATTCTTGTGTGCGAAGAGGTCCTCCGACGGTAAAGAAGAAGGCACCCATGACTTGCCAGATCGTGTCTCATTGGAAAAATATTTCGAGGTTACCAGGGTGGTGGAATCTGGGCTGATTCTATGAATGACGTCCATTTTTTGCGTTGCTACCTTGGATGTAGCCTTTGATTTACTAGATAAAGCAGTCTGAGACTGGTGGAGTGATACAGTAGCAGGCACGACCTTGCAACATTTTCGAGGTCTGGAAGATGGAGTGGGGAGCGTAAGGGTTTGGAGTGTGGACCGAACTTCATCAGGCGTAGGTGTTGGCAGGTAACATTTGGTGAGCGGAATCTTTATCTCCGCTTCCGATGGTTCCATAGGACCCTCGTCCTTCGCGGGTAGCTCACGATGGTGAGCATTAGCAGATTCGAGCTTGCGCTTCTTTTTCATCCTCTTTGATACCTCTAGTGATTCATCGTGCGTCGACAGCGGTGGAACTGTAGACGCAGACTTGACAGCAATCTCTACGGCGTCAAGTAGTTTGCGAGGACCTTTGCGCCTGCGACTATCGGTGGAAACACCCTTGCCTGAGGGCGTAAAGTAGATAGAAGACTCTCCTGTAAGTACTTGCTGCTGATTGGTAATTACTGATTCACTCCTGCGCTTTGATTTGGCACGAGAGCCATGCTGTGAGGTATTCTTTGAAAATCGAGGCTTTCGAGCAGTCACTGGAAGACAATCATTATTTTCAGGCGAGTGCTTCCTCTTCAGCGAAAGAGAGGTCCGAGGGGTATAAGCATATGAGCGCAAAAAATGAGAAAAGGCAGAAGGAGTACTCATCGACTGAAAAAGAAACAGTGGTGGACCATGATGGACTAGAGTGATGGACCGGGTGGACCTCTGGACTTTTGGTGGCGTCATGATCGGAAAAGGTAATGTCAGGTTTAGTGACTCGGCTTTGAGAAGGAACTGGGGATCAGACGCTCCTGTTCGTCAGAAGCCATCACCAGCGTAACTCACTTTGAAACAGTCTCTCGAACAATACTCGCATCTTTTATTCTTTCACATCTCTTTCTCTTATATATATTGTCCAGTTCTTGCATTCAGTTACAAGAACATACAAATCCCTGCGAGCGTCTGAATCTACCAATTCATTTCTTATCTATCCAAACAGTTGGGACTATTTCTTTCATTCACATCTCTTAATGCCATCAAGGAAGAACAGAAATGCAACTCGTCAATCAGCTCGTACTCCCGTTAATAATTACTCTCCTGCTATCCTTCCCGTCGACTCAAATTCCCCACCTTGGTCTACGGAACCGTCCCCCCTTCTCGAGCCAGACAGACCTCCAGATTCGCCTATCATTCAAATCAATCTCGAACTTCCTTCAGTGGTAGCAATGGACGATGAAAGTTCACCTATCAAACACGAGGGTGGTCTTCTTCTGGCGACCCCCGAGTCTCGTCGTTCGCCTGTGTGCTCAGAGGTCAAGCTTCCTCCAACAGAAGATGATTTTACGTCCATACCAGGAGCGCTTGGCCACATACGATCTCCTGTGCTTGCCCGGTGAGTAATCTCACTTTGTTTGTCTTTGCCAGTCCACTTTTGGGGTGCCACACTTCTTTCATACTTGAGGGAAATGCAAGGGGCATTTACATAGCATGGTGTTTTCCTTCGCTGCACATTATATCCTCGCCTTGATGCGTCCCATCAGCTTTCCTGTGTCGTGACATATTCAATCGACAAGTATAGTAAATCACCACGTGCACATGCATTCTATACATCGTTTTCTCGTTCGTTTCACCATTTCTTTCCTTCATCAGACACAAAAGGCAAGATAGCTGAGCTTTCACTCTTTAGCGAGCCAACCATGCTTGAGAACTTCTCTCGCGCTGTGCGCAACTACGTGCCGACTTCCATTCCTGTACCTGCCTCCGCACCCTCTCCGCCGCGGGTATCGAGGCCTGTTTCTTTTGGTAGCTTCATGGCCCCTCCTGGCGCTTCAAGTCTGTCTCCACCAGGTCCAAAGATACCCGTTGTCTCTCCAACCACCAGGAAGCTGCTTGGCGATGGTCCAATTGGAAATCAGGAGACTTGGAGAATGAGATCAGGCGCCCAACTTAACTCAGTGGAGGTCGATGAACCTGCTATCTTCGGCTCTGAGGATGAGGACTGTGAAAGCTCGTTTTCAGGAGATCAACCCCTGGCAACCTACCCTACCGCTGCAGAAGGCGACTCTATCGTGTGGTCCCGTTGGGACACCCTTATTGAGAACGGTTCGAGACCTCGGTAAGCTAAATAACCTATTGGTCAAAGACATTTTTATAACAGAAGTTTCGTCATTTAGACGTATACTGCTGCTTGGCTACACCACTGGCCTTCAGATTTGGGATTGCACAATCCTGGGATCAGTGTCCGAAATTCTGAATCTTACTGATTATCCCTTTGGGTCCGTTACCTTTGCCAGTGTACTCGCAGCTCCGTACTCCTCTAGAGAGCGTGATTATGACAGTTCCAGGCCTCTGCTTGGTGTAGTGTGCGTTGAATTTCATGCTGGGTACATGTCATCCATCTCTGATAAACGGAATGTGCAGTTCTAGGTCGAAAGACAAGTCAACGATGTCTATTTATTCATTGCGCGCCCACAAGGTCGTCAAGCATCTTCCGTTTGTTAATGTGACGACCTTTGCTTCGAGTGTACACTTCATTGTTATTGTAAGTGCCTGGCTTATCCATTGATGGGACGTTGCTGACTAATGAACGACAGAGTACTACAAATCCACCAACTCTGCACATTCTTTCTTCAGCATCCTTTACAGAGATACATACTATTTCTTCCCTTGCCATTCTTCCTTCCTACACAACAATTCCATATAAAGCCAATACCAACAACATTGTATCATTAACAAAGATAGATTCCATTAACACCAACCACGCTTCTCATGACTACCCCGCCCCCATATTTGCTTTTTCTCATCGCATCTTGGCATATGCTTCCCCGCCTCCTAGAGCAGATTCTCATGTTGGAGCCGTTTCTCAACCCCGTACGCGCCTACACTCCCCGTCAAGCACCCTCGGAATATCTCATGCTACTGCTCTGAAGGTCGGGGGAACCGTCCTCAGCGGGGTAAGGTCCCTTGGTGGAATGGCATATTCCGCCGCTGCGGAGTATGCGAAATCTCGCGCAGGCGCGGGAGATCAATCACGCGCCGTTCAAGGGCAGTCATCAGTGATGAGTGGCGTCAGTAACCTCTTCTTTTCACGGAGCGCCCCTGCTGCGAGTAGCGGCCATTCGGACCCAATCGAAGTTACGTCTCCATCATCGGCGCTATTTCCAAATACCCAAGACCGACAAGAGGAGGTGGATTCTTCGACACTATCTTCGGGTTATCATATTACAGTACTGGACCTGGCTTCCCTTTTGTCCAGAGACAGTCCGTCCGTACGCATCATTTCCGAATTCGTCGCATTCAAGCACCAGCCCGTGTCCGCTCTTAAGTTCACTCCTGATGGGACCTCCTTGCTAGTATCTCCTAGGGATGGGCAAGCTGTTCGCACCTTCCAGATTCGGCCTACGGCGAGTGTTTTACTTCCCATCGACCTCAAGAAGTATGCTAGCGAGCATCAGGCCGCGCTCATCGGGCGCCAATTCAATGCCGAACAAAGTTCGCCGTGGCACATGTACAATCTACGCAGAGGTCGGACAACTGCCGTCATTGATGGGATTGAAGTGTCGACGGATGGGAGATGGGTCGCTTTCGGGACTAGGAAAGCGACAGTACACGTCTTTGCTATCAATCCATATGGCGGAAAGCCAGACTTGCGAAGCCATATGGAGAACAGGGTTCGGAATACAAACGAGGTCGTAAGTAAACGTTATCTTCCTGGTCCATTTAGCCGTGCTCAGACTGTATTAGCATGTCCCATTGTCCGTTGAATTATCATCGCTTGTGCGTCTCAGATCCGTCAAGGCGTCCGCTCATAACGGCGTCAGGTCGGGAATTACCTTTACGTTCCTTTCTAGCGATACACCGTTGCCTGCCAGCCTCCAGCCTCCTCCCTCTGCCATAACATCATCTCCTAGCACGTCCTCAAGTCGTTCTGATCTGCATTCTCCGATTCGGGCAAAGAAGACTGCCAACTTTCAGGATCTTCTTCTCTTTGATCCATCTGATGGTGTGCTGTCTTTGCGACGTGTCATGCTTGAACAACGTCCTCGTGATACGGGCGCATTTTCATACACATTAGCCAACTTGCCAACGAGCATGTCCCTTCCCGGTGGTAGCGCCACTGGTCGTGTCAGCACATCGCCACACAATCGCGTTGGTGTCGCGTCGACCAAGACTTCTGGCCTTACTCAAATGATGTTGGAAACTGCCAGCGAATTGCATGGACGGGACACTATGATCGCTACTTGGCAGCTTAGACGACACAGAGATTGGGGCGAAGTTAAGCACGTGCAACGTTTGAATGCAAGGTCTCCTGGACGAATGCCTATCGTAAAGTATGCGCTCCCGTCAACAAAGTCACTTTAGTGCTGATGCAGATTGCATTACCTTTAGCTTCCTTGCTCAAGCAGAACTGTCTACATGTTCCAGGTCACCGAATGTGGTTCCTCGCCTTATCTATCTCGCCCACCAATTTAGCTTTTACACTCTGGGCGAAGATTACCACGCTCTCATTCGCCGCAATCAACTAGACATCAAAGGGACCAAGATGGACGTGCGCAAGGAGGTAGAAGTTAGTGCATATTCTGCAGGCACTGGAGAATCTTTTGTGGAGGGATTTTCGCCTCGTGATATGGGACGAGTCGCATCTTCGTTTGACGAACCAATGGCATCTGCCATATCTGCTGATATGGAGTACCCACGTTCATCTCGGTCTCTCATCCCCATGCTCCCGAACGGGGCTGGTTTGAAGCCACGGTCCTTCAAGAACCCCATCCCCATCCGCGCAATGACGTCGAATATCGCCGAAGGTGTCGGAGAAGGCTTTGGTCGCATCAGAAGAGAGATCAAGCGAGTTCGTTCCCCCCAGCTTGTGTCACGATTAGAGGGTCTATCGGCGTCCGTTCCTCTCGAGTTTGATGAGAATGACGAGGATTTAGTATTTCCGGGAATGGAACGAGACGATGACGTTGCGGATGACAATACGTCCAGAGGCGAAGATGTCACGGACCCTTCAATTGACACACCACCTACCGATGCGGAGCTGTGCGACGAAGGCACAGAATTATGGCATGGTTGGACAGAAGAGGATAAACTCGCCGTGGACGAGGCAGAACAGTTTGACGATGTCGTCGGATTTTTGGATGAGGAGCAAACGCCGGCTATTCAAGCGGAACAAAGGAGGGCGAACAGGAAACAGCTTTGGTAGTTATCACGCGTTTGCGGCGCTACACTTCCTGTATACTGTCTACGTTTGTAATGTGTATTATCTGACATGTAACACGCGGTCTGATGAAATTAGTAAACTTTGTTTGCGATCCAAGATAAATGCTACATGTAAAAGTGAGATGCTTTGTATGATATATCAAGATACACATGTTGGTATGTAGTGAACATAAGCAACGTCAGATTGACAAGAAATGAAATTAAGGATATGTGCATTATGAACGACTTGAGACTTGTCCATTCTGCCTTGCTGCGCGACCTGATGTGTCACAGGGGAATGCAGGTCGTAGGGCTGTGGAAACCCGGGAATCTGTGCAAGAGCGAACGTAGGCTGGGTTTGATGGTCTATAAAGGTATTCCGTCGGGTGCGATGGCGACGGGCCGAGATGAGAAAGCGGACGGGGTGGAGGATAACTATAAGTAGTAGTTTTCCGGGTTGGGGAAGGCGATCGCGACCAAAACAAGTTGCTCTGCGACCCTGATCCACTGGGATGATTAACCTCCTTATGTTCTTTACCGCAGGTCTCATAGACATCCATTGCGTAGTGGGAATCATCATCAGAAATATCGTCTTCTGATTCTTCCGAGTCTGTTGCGGGAGGCGAGACCAGGGACTGACTGTGGCCCAGCATGTCCGGAGAGAACGGGGATTGGTCAACATGCCCATCCATGTCAGCCAAGTGACCCGCAGACAATCTCGTGTGATTCCGCCAGTGGCGACGCATGTTTGAGTTGACATTGAATTCACGGCCACATCCTGGATATGGGCATTGATATGCTAAAAGTAGAAAAGTCAGCTAGTGTCTTCGCATACGAATTGAGAAATGATGCAACGAGGCAAACACGATTTGTGTTCAAGACGGACGAGTCCGAGATAATCAGATATAAACGTACGTTTTGCTCCCGTGTGCGTGTTTACGTGGATCTTCATGCTACTGGGGCGATTGAATCGCTTGCCGCAATGAGGACACTGGTGCTTCTTACCGCGCCCTTCACCATGCAGCATTGTTGTTAGATGATCCGACGATTTTAGGTAAGGTCTCCTGCCATCATTTGTCATGACGGTGGAAGCAGAATTAGGAGGGTCTGATACAGAAAAAGACAATACAGAAGACGAAGGCTGTGGTCTTGATTCTTGAACGTGTTGAATTGGGGTGGGTAGGGTGAAAGAGGCATTGTCGCGTTGAATTTGTGAACTATAGAGAGGAGCCGGGGACCTGTGCTTTTGGCGTTGTTGTGACTGCCGAGGAAGTACGAAGGGAGCCATAGAAACGCGGAAAACCGGTGTCGATCCATTGGCGATTCCCGAGCCCGATTTTCCCTGAGAGGAATTTGTTGCACGAGTACGCAACTTGGTGCTAGAAGCGATATGCTGAAGAGAGGAAGCGAGAGGGTCAGCACGGAGGACATTGAATGAATAAGTTGGGAGATTGTCTGAATGGTGATGGGATAATGGGCGATTTGGTGCGGAGTCTGAGCTTGTGCTGGATGGGGGTGGTGATGGGAGACTGCGAATTGTGGATGCATGCTCTGTTGCGGAATCACCCGTGCGATAGGGTTTTTGACCGCGGTGACGAGAAGTGCTGCTGGTGGGGCGAATATGATCCTGGTGAGAGTGATGAGGATTAACGGGTGTAAAGATGTGTGAATGAACTCACAGAGGGATCTGTGTCCTGTTGTGTACGAATTGAAATTTCTAGATGGATTGTGAGCTAGAATTGAGAATTGAAGAAAGTATTATACCTGGAAAGATGTCGCGTATGCTGGGGAGTGGTACGCTCTGGTGAGACATGATATGATTAAATCGTGATGCGCAGTCAAGGGACCCTGGTGGCAACCTGCTGTGGGCTTTGGGGGCTAAAAGGATATGAGGCGATATTTATATAGAACCTGGAATGGATGATGAAATGCGGCGTTCTAAAGAAGGACCGAGGGCGCTTTGATGCGAGCACCGAGGTGCATCAGAGACCGCCGCAGCATGGGCAGGGAAGATTAGCCAACCAATATATTTTATATATAATATAATATATTCCACTCCTGAAAATCTCACTTTTTCAGTCTTCTATATTAAATCGGCCGCCGGTCAACCTTTTCGTAAGTAAATCCGCCTTACCGCACAATACGATGATCTTTTCCCCTTTTCGACCAAGTGATCTCCGCCCCGTAACACAACTATCCACCTTGCTCGGGCGCCTGTTCTTACGTCCATCCGAGGTGATATCGTGCTTCTCATCCGTGGACACTCTTTTTCACAGTTTGAGGATCATCCGCGGTACTACGTATACATCGGACTCCTTCCGATCTACCTGCGCTCTAAACGGATTCTTGGTCATGAGGTTAACACGTTCAAAAATTAACTGTCCACACTGATTTTCGGATTGGCGCGGTCACTCTCTTACCATTGTGGGAAATCGCCGTTAAGATCGACAGGGCACATGGTTGCCGCCGGTTGGATGGCCGGATTTTCGTCACGGTTAATTGCGTTATCGATTTCCTACAGCCAGCGATGAACTTTCCCCGATATGCACAAACACATCCGAGATCAATGGGAAACGTATCATTCAAGCATGTGCTCCCAAATCTCAGCCTCAGATCAGTGCCGCCTTGGTAAAGCACTACAATTACTTTCTCCAGACAATAACTTTTCCACAAACTCTGCAAACGAATCACACACCTCATCCGGAGCCTGCACACCTTCCTTGCTTTCATCCCCTGCTCGGTATTTTCCTGTCTTCACTAAGAATTAACGTTAATAATCGCTGGGCACCGCAAATTGCATCAATACCTAAGATCCTCCACAGACCAAGGTCTATGGCGCCCCCACCAAGGTCCATTTCGATATCATCGCCAATCACGGCGATGCACCCTTCACCATCGCAATCCAGACTCTCAATCACCGTCTCGAAGAACGCTCTACTCGGCTTTCCAAGCACCTCCGCTTCCCTTTCAGCAGCATTTTCAAGAGCGGCGACAAATGGTCCTGGACCAAGCACAAGTCCATGGCCCGAGGATTCAACGTATCTCGCCTTGTGTAAAGCAATGAGGGGGATCGATGCCTTCGGATCCTCACGACGCCCCTTCTGCGAATCATCCTCTCCAACAAGAATCCGAAATGCAGAATTAAGCCGATCATAGTCGAACAGCGCAGGCGCCAAGCCGACAATAACCGCGTCATAGGGGACGTTGGGATCGTACAGTCCTTCGGAAATACATTCATCTTTAGCGGTCGCTGACAAGAGGAAATACGGCCTTGGAACGGCTTAAGCTCGATTAACACGTTTTGAGATTTCATCGATACCTTTTGAGACCCCTCGACCGGATAAGACTCCGTACAGCCTTGAGGCTCGTCCATAGTTCTGGCGATTCACCGGTTTGCACGTCAAAACCAGCATCTATCATTCTCTTCTGAAGGACCGAGGTCGATTCCTTGCTGGTGTTGCTACAAAACCTGTATGGGAATTTACTGCGCCGCAGCTCAGCGAGTGCTTGGGTTGCTTGTTGTGTGGGCGTCGAGCCGATCATCAGAGTACCAGAAATATCTATAAGCAATGCACGAATTTTTGGTCTTGATCTTACAGCCATGGTGAAGGTGGGCGTTATCGATGATGGTCACTGCCGGACCTTGATACACTCATCACGTGCAGCCACTTACCCATATTATTTTTCGTCTTTTGTGTGCAGTAGTATGTAACAATCAGACCAAATATAACATTCACGTAACAGCCTAACGGAGAGGAAAGGATCCATATAGTAGTATGTAACCAACGGGAATCAGACCATAAAAAGCGTTCACGTAACGTCCCAACGGAGAGGGAAGGATCAAGGGGATTTAGAATCTCCGAGTGCTGCTCACTACTCAGCCAGAGCCCCAGAGAGCAGTATCCACCTCTCGCGGACCACGCCCGTTCGGTGCTCCTGTATCATGTTCTTCATGAATGGGCAGTGCAATTCTCCCTTCCCTATTGGTAAGTCGGCGATAGAGGAGCGTTCCTAAGAGAGCCAAAGGGTGAAGTACGGTGAACAAAATAACAGTGATCTATAAAAGTGTGAGGTAGAAAGTACAAATGTGATAAAATTTAACTCACATAAACAGGAGCAGGTTTTGGCCTCGCGCTCCATATACTTGCACAGATCCAAGTAGCTGCAACAGCCCACACGATATCACAGCGCATTAGCACCACGACCAGACCAATTATATTTGTGCCGAATGTAACCCCAAATCCAGGCCAGGCAAAACGGTCGTAATGTTCCGGGTGACCGGGTGAGTATGATAACCCCAGAGTGAGGCTGAAAGGAAGACACAATCAGTTAACCAACCTTTCTCGAAGTCAAAAATCCTACAAGAGTGAATAGGGAAACAGCAAGGATAGAGGAAGAACGAGGAAGAAACGCAGTGGAGCGTGAATAAGTGCCATGTCGAGAGGACGGGAGGATGTGGGAGGATGGTATGTGAGAAGCGCGATGTTCGAATACAACAAACATAGAACCAGGAGTCCAAGGAGTATCGTCGAGAGTAAGAAAAACTCAAAAATCTGGTAACGCATGACAGTGAGGTTCGACAGGTCTATGATATGCAACATACCCAACACACGGCCCAAAGAGCCATCAACCAGTTTGCAAAAACGAGGGAGAGACCAACTCCTCTCACTAGCGTTGTCTGCGGTGTGCTAAGGACACTTTGAATGTTCGCTGGCAAAGCGTTGCTTACCTTCGTCTCCGGCTTCCTGGCTACAACCAGTAATGTGCAGTAGCCTATTTGCCCAAGAAATATAGCGATCACATAAGCAGCAATGAGGTTTGGCGAAGGAGATATCGATGTAGGGTGCGAGTTGATAATGGACCCTAGCAACCACCAACTGGATGAGAGACGAAATGATGAAGCATAAGCATGATGCTCACCCACTGAGGGCTTGACGATGATTGAGCACACAAGTAGCGTCGCAATGTTAATCAAAAGTGATAAAGGGGTGAGGACCTGTAGCCTGTGCAGGAAATCAATAGGTGCAAGATGATGGTGATTGAGAGGGGCTATACTGCATACCGAACAAGGGAAAGGTAGTCCTGCACTGCAGGATGAGACACATCAATTGGTAATGAGTCCATAGCCCAGGATAGCGTCACAAAATGTTGATGAATACGATGGAGATGATTGCAAGAGGCAAGTTACGCAATGGATCAGCGACTCGACATTTCAACTCGAAAATGATGTCATGGACTCCAGAGCGTTAGCTAGGTAAACAAAGGAAAACAACTTCGATTTTCGTGCCAGCCTGAGAGAAAAATATACTGTCGACATGCAGAACAAATCACAGCGTTCGCGGAAGAGGGTACGAGTCCCTGCTGCACTCCATGCAGAACTCACAGAACACGCCATGTTAATCAAGACAATCCGGACAAATCACCTGCTTGATCTTACTTATCAACTATACAGCCATGCTAGTGCCCAACGCGTCGTCGATCGTGAAAATATTCGTCAAGGCAAGGGAAAGTTGAAAACAAGAGATACTTGGACTACTTGGCCTCTGATAGATTGCTTTATTCCGGAATGGCGGATTGAAGATGAAGTCAAAACTCTTGCTGAGGCGGTGGCTCGTCAGCTCAAAACTAAACATCTATCGACAAGACACCCATCAGAATCTCAGAATGATGTAGAAGAACACGACGATGACGAGTTGGAACCGTTATCGCCAAGCCTTCTCCAAGCTCTGGTCTGGCAAGCCACCAAGATCCTGGTCTGCATTTTGGACTCCATTCTCGAACAGCGCCCAGCGGTAGCAGATAGCATGCAAAATAGGATGTGGGCATTTAACTGGGAGGGTGTTCTCAGAGTCTTGATCTCGGGTATGACTCTAGACAGAACGTAAGTTGTCATTGTCTTTCATGAGGTCCATTTATATGACAATCAATCGCAAGCGTGATCTTTGCAGCAAAGAAGCGCCTGTCTTCAATATACGGTTCATCCAAGACTCTTGACATCGGTATTTGATTTTTTGTTGCACGTTTCTCTCTAGTTTCACATAAACCACTGCACCTCAGCTTTGTCGAGAATTGGGCACATCAAATCTCGCACATCTGTGTTTGCTGAACTCTCAGAGAGGTACGAGGATGCCTTTCTTCAGCAACCCACCGTGCGTACACGGAGGCCACCACCAAGTAAGAACGCCTTTATTCTTATATCCACGGCTTGTTTCATATACCCATTCCCAGAGAAAAAACGACGGGTTATGACCAAGGCGATCATTGAGACTGATACAGAGTAGTTATGTTTTCCCGCGGATGCTGCCGGACCTGGTGTTTCTCCGATCGATAGCCATCATCTACGCTCACTATATATGTGGGTGCCTCAGCTGACATACATTACGCTTTTCTAACACGTTTCACAGCTCAATGGTTTCAGTTCTCAGCATAACAAGCATCGAGATTGGGTTCAACGTACTTGTTAACCACGCTTTTATAATTACACCGCTTTTGGTATACTGGACAAGAGCAACGGATTCAACCGAAGTTCATATGACGGGGATCAGATCACACCGGCAAGAACCGCACTTTACCTGGCCGAATTCATATCTGTCATACAAGATCCGAGCCACCTCGCCCTCGTCGTTCCTCGCACTAGTAAACCTCTATGAGAACATGGATCCCAAACAACGATCAGGAATCTTCCGAGAATTTGATGACCCAGCGCTGAACATGGGCTACGCCTGCATTGCTATCACACGAGTTATACTTAGGCGAGCACAAGTCATCTGCGCCCGTTACTACTAATGGGACCCGCCCGCAAGCCCTCATCATCCATATCATGTGATGGCACGTAGTGACTTGAAATTCGAGTACTCGTGCTTCATCTTGTGCTGAGTTATTGTTGTTGTTCTGACAAATGGTATATCCTCTTCCCAGACTACATCAATACCGAACTTTGGCAATGACACCGGTACCTGAAGTTGCTGGAACCTGACTCACATGTCAAAAGATCATTCGGAGGACATCGCATGACACCGAGTGAATTGCAATACTGTCCTATTCCATATCTGTGTTTTTGGGTTCAGGAAAAGTGTACACGCAGAGCTTCTTCCTTTTCTGATACTCTGCGCTGGTAGGGGAGGCCATAGACCGCTCCAATATCAGCAGACCGTCTGTGCTTTTGGCGAGAGAAGTGGCTGTAGGCGAAAGAAAGCCACAATAGGTCAAGTGCCAGGGTACGTGGAAATAAACCCCACAGGACTTTTGTAAATATTACGGCAGTCTATCTTCAAAAGGCATGCTCACAACTAGATAAATTGCGAGATCGGGTCGGAGGGGCAGTGATTCCGGGGGCGGGTAAGCTATGCACGTAAGTTGATAGTACTTGGGTGATGGGAGCGCATGGACACGATTGACGGTCTGGGACAATCAAGGGCCGCCCCAAGTTAGCAAGTTATTTTTCTGCCGCTTCAGCCTCTTTGATGGGATTAATGATAGCTGAAGATCTACCATTAAAAGCAGTGCCTCGCAGTGACTTGGGCGCCGCATCATTTGAACATTTCATTCTACGATTACCAGTCAGTGTACGAGTTCACAATAGTAAATACCTTTGGCGCAAGTTGCAGAAGGCCGAGCACTTCGCATCGTTCAAGGGTACGAAGTTGAGTCATATCCGCCTAAGGCTGGAACCGAAAGTCTGCCGGCCGCTTGCCGCGCGATCATTCTGACTAAATTAGTCAAGGCTGTGGCAAGTCTACATGGGCGCCTTAACCTTACTCACAGCCCCAGGCCAGAGCGCTCAAACTTGCATTCAAGCCCATCGCAACAGTGGCAGTACTGGTTTCAAAGTCATAGAGCAGTGCAGTACCGCCCACCGAAGTTTGAACAACGTGAGTCGATGTTTGATACTCATTCGGATCTTTCGCTTTCTTCATATCTCGTCCAAAACCACAGCCAGCATGGCATCGTCATATCAACCGAGAATCAGCTTATCTGTGCTTGTACGTCACTGCTCAGACTCAGTCACAAAATCACACAGGAACTACAGGAACACCCCTGCCTCTCAAATACATATAAACGTCAATTCACATCGCAACTTCATTGTCTCCGCTGAAACTAGGAACTAGTTTCGTTATCATCCCCCTTACGATACCGACGTTCCAGACCCCTCTGGTCTTTTTATAAAGTCAAGCAGCCCTCAGATTGACCGGTCCTCATACTACCATTTACCATGTCTTCGTCTTCTACCAATTCACATCCATCCACCCAGACTTCCACACCTGAACATGAGCACCCGCAGGGCTCCTGTCCAGTGACAGGAAAGACATACAACTTCTGCCCCGCACAGGCTGGGGACGTAAGATCTCCCTGCCCAGCGCTAAATGCCCTCGCGAACCATGGTTATCTGTAAGTATCAACTTTCCAAAATTGGGACACACGAGAACTGACGATGACTCATCTAGTCCACGAGATGGAAAGAACATTGGCCCATTGGACCTCGCTCGCGCACTCAAAAGCGGATACAACATATCATCAGTACTGGCCTACATCTTGTCGTTTGGCAGCTTGCTCCTACTCGGCCAATATAGATCTTTGTCACTCTCAGATCTCGCTCGCCATAACTTGATCGAGCATAATGCATCACTCGTGCACAAGGACGACAGAAACGGCGCAGAATATGCACCAACCAAGGTGAACAAGAGGCTATTGGAAGCCCTTTGTGCACAAGGAGGGAAGGTACTTCCAGACAGAATGACTCTCGAGGATGCCGCACACATCCGTGTCAAGAGAGAAGCGGAGTGCGGGCAGTTGGACGGTGTACATGCCGAGATTGCGCGAGGGGAAATAGTCATTGCTATCGGAGTCCTAGGTGGCAAGGACGCGGCGAAGAACGGTGTCACCATTAGCGCATTGCATGAATGGTTGCAGCACGAGCGTCTGCCTGCCGGCTGGAAGCCGGATCACACTCAGGGCTTGTACCAGACGTACAAGATGACGAAGTATGTCAGAGATCGCATGGGTGAGATCAAGGCACAAAAACCACCAGTGAAGCTTTGAAGTCGGAGTCGCATTCAAGTTAGGCTTGGTTTTCCTGTATGTGATTTGTCTTCTAGCGTGTTCAGATTTTATTCGTATATATTCTATACCCCTCGGTATCTCCTCGTACAACAGATTTACTTATATCACGCCATACCAACAGCATTGTTAATTATTTTGTACTTCATTCAATCCCTTCACGACGGACTAGTAGCAACTTGCAATAATTGACGAATATCTCTAATTTATTGCTTGGCATTCTCGGTCAACTCGTGTGGGGTCGAGGGTGACTCTACCGGTGATCTTGGCACCCCGAGTCACGAACACTAAGTACTAAAAGACTTGCCGAGAAGTCATTTCCACCCCAAATATGAAGACGTTCCAGACATCGACTTCACTGACATGGTTTAAATGATCACTGATCAGGCTAGCTACGTGTCTCAGCCATACCAGCATGTCCACCCCTCGCACCAGGCGATGAAGGATAGTAATGCGTATACCTGAGCTACAACGTCGGAGGAAGGAATTCAAAATTCTGTAAACCCTCGTTTAGAGATGTGCGTTCAAGGGTCTAAAATACGTAGTCGGGTCGTCAGTGATCAATTTTAGAGTCGCACCTTATCACGTACAGAAACTCTGTCGAAGGGAGAACTGACCAGAGGAAGAACATCGCTTTTTAAACCATGGCTTTATTATCCGTCAGTTCTCTACAGTCTGCATCTATAAGGTGGAAGGGTGTCTGGACAGGGGCCTACAGGATGTGAAGTGCAAGTGCGCAACTCCGCATTTCGTCTTGAACTGGCTATACACCCACGAGGGACAAATATTGACAAGTGCGATCGATAGACCAACAAAGCTCGTATGCATCGGAGGTTCGATACGGCCGGTAACTCCATCCACCACGGAGTTGCAGGACGCATAATAATAGCAGAGTCGCGTTTTCCATAGGGTATTTCGGGATCCCTATCGTACCTTGTGGTACCAGATATCCGCTCCAGTTGGGTTCCAGCTTTGTAATCTTTGCCCCCACACGATTAAGATATGAAGGTCAATACAAAATATTGCAGCATAGTAGTTTAGGCATCCCCAATTCATCAAACAAACAGAAACAGATGTCGCTCTGGATTCCAAGTAGTGACAATAAACGCAGCTGCGCATTAGAGAGCAAGTATGGTGCGGCCAGATAGGGACTACCCTCCTTGCTAAGCTCATACACGGCCATTCTTGGCACAAGTCATCGTCAGACCTGTGCAGAGAGTGAAGACCGTAACTTGCTTTTACTATTGAGGGCACGGCGGGCCGCTAGGGGCCGGCGAGCTTGGTTTTGCCAAGAATAGTTGTGCGAGGATATCCGTTTTCCGAGGGCACTTACTACGATGAGTTGTAAGTTTAGAACTGCATCTGTCGTTGGGGAGGTGACCTGTTGAGATACCGACGAGTTATAACAGCCTCTCGTGTTGCCCTCCAGAGGCCTCCATGGGAAAACGAGCAGCGAAAGATTAGACTGCTGGTCAGCTGGTCACCGGCAACTAGTCAGTGACTATGCAGGACCAGTACTAGGGCCGCTGATCGGTGATTGTAATTATGCGGCTATTGCCGACCTGCCAATTGCAAGCGGGAGGAATATTGTAGTACAGACAAGTTGCCATTTTCGAATGTAGAGATGAAGGGTACTAGCTATAGCATTCGATCACTTCTTCTGCTCTGTGGCCTAATTTCACTTACAACTCAAAAGAACGTTCCAGACGCCTTTAGACTTCCGCCTAGTGAAGCAGTGGATAATGTTAATCCGTCAGCATCACCACTCGCACATTATTCATACGCACAACTCACAATATTGTTTCAATAGGCTTATTGGCAATGGCGGCGACTCTCCAAACGGGTCCGGAGGAATGATTCCGTCAGCTTCGCCTCCATTTGCCATGACACGATGGGTTGCCCAAACATCCGAGAACTACGTATCTGTCACACCATATAATTATACTGCGACATCAATCCATGGCTTTCAAGCAACCCACCAACCAGCCATCTGGATGGGTGAGAGCGGTCAAGTGGTAATATGTCCAGGCGCCGGCCAGGTGCAACCTAAATTCGACGATCGAGGCATGAGGTTCACTCACGAGAACGAAGTTATCACTGCTAGTTACTACAGCGTGAACTTGAATGCTATCGAAGGGGGTCAAATTTTAGCCGAACAATCCTCTAGTACGTTATCTATTCTATATCGACAGATCTTCCGATTTGCTGACTTCTATCGAGCTTCTCGCGTCGGACACCTCCGTTTTACATTCACTGATACCCGTCAACCTTACGTTCTCGTCGAGGCTACTCGGGCTAGCGTTCTTGGGTCTTCGGACCCTCGTAATCTGACTTATCCTCAGGGTTCCATATCCATTAATCCTGATACTCGCGAAATTTCTGGCAGCAATCCTGAACGCCAGGACTTCATTATTGCGCCTGTTTCGACACCTGCAAAACACTGGAGTGGATATTTCTGCGCGCGCTTCGACCAGCCTTTCGCCTCATGGGGCGTTTCCAAAAATAACACCCTTTTTGATGGTCAGACAAACGGCAATGGCACACTGCTATCAGGATATGTGTCCTTCTCGCCTGAAGTGGTGGAAGTCAATATCAGGATCGGGGTTTCGTTCATTTCTGTCGAGCAAGCTAGAAAGAACTTGGACATGGAGATACCTGACGGGAATACACTAGAAGACACAGCGACGGCGACTCGATCAGCTTGGGCCGAGAAATTGGACTTAATCAAGATCAAAGGCGCTTCTAGGGACGAACTACAGACTTTCTACACCGCGTTTTTTCACACATTGCAGGCAATTTTTTTTGTTGTTCGCCGCGGAAGTACGATGCTCATATCTCCTTCTAGTACCCTTACGAGCAGAGCGAATATGGTCAGTACTACTCAGGATACGATGATGCTGTGCACCAAGGAGTGTCATACACTGGATACTCGAACTGGGTAAGCATAATCTCTAGGCATAATAGAGGTCTAATGTATTGCATAAAGGACACATATCGCGCCGAATGGGCGTGGCTTATTTTATTTGCACCCGAGAGGATACCAGGTATGGTACAGAGTATGTTGCAAGACTACAAAGAGGTGGGCTCTATTGCGGCTTGTTCAATGAAAGATGTTTCATACACAACTCACAGGGTGGTCGGCTCCCAATGTGGAAGAACATCATTGGTAGGTTTAAGTGCTTATTTTAATCCTGAACTTTCATCAATTTTTTTTGTCATCAGAGACGAATATTATGGTACCTCCTTTTCTTCTATATGCCGTTCCGCGTGATCAGTGAACATGCCTCTACAGGTCGCAACTCATGCAGATTCCCTCATTGCAGAGGCTGTCTTGAAAGGCATGGCTGGGTTCGATTTAGAGACCGCATGGGAGGCTGTTTATAGCGACGCAACAGCACCTCCGGTCAATGATACAACTACTGCGTGGGTTTAAAAGTTCTGTTATATGGGTGACTAAGTCGAATCTCTATAGATACTTTGATCGTCAGGAAGTGAGAATTTGATTTTTCTACCCCTGCAGCATCAGATCTTTTGACGGTCACAGAATGTCGATTATGAAGTTCGTGCTGGCTTGACTTCGGTCTATGAAGAGAAGGGCTGGGTTGCAGACGACATCCATTCCGAATCAGCGTCTCGAACCTTAGATTATTCTTGTGACGTTCTTGTTCTCTCTTTATATGACCAACACTTACCACCTCACTTTGTTTCATTACATCCATTCAGATGACGATTTTGCTGTATCTGTGCTCGCAGGTCTCCTCAATAAAAGTGAAGAGGAACAGTTTTTCCGACAGCGCTCGCTGCGAAATCCCTTTACTATCTTCAACTCAGTCACTGGTTTTATGGAAGCACGCAACGCAAGTGGTGCATGGGCGGGTCCCGATAATGGGTGGACGGAAGGCGATAAATGGGCTTATACATTTGACGTGGTACACGATACACCAGGATTAATCGCTCACAAAGGCGGCAATGCGACGTTTGTGGAATTCCTGGACGAACACTTTGACGGTGGTCAATTCTAATTATGATCCGAATTGGTATTTCTTACTGATTCCTTCGGTCTGCTTCAGGTCACAATGATCATACCAACGAGGTTCGTTCCTGGCATGCGGTATTGAAGCTGCTAACACATTCTTGCAGCCATCCCATCATATTCCTTACCTGTATTCCCTAGCTGGAGCTGCGTCAAAATCTCAATCACGTATCCGCCAGATTGCAGTGTCAAACTACAACGCTTCCGTTAATGGCCTCTCCGGGGTATGTCAAGCTGTAGAACGTTCAGACAGACCATTTCACTGATATACTGCAGAATGAGGATTGTGGCCAGATGAGCGCGTGGTATTTGTTCAGTGCATTGGGATTTTACCCTGTAAACCCAGTGTCGGGGTTGTACGTGGTCGGGTCGTAAGTGTGTAGTGTCGTTCAGACTCCACCGCTAATTTGGGACCTTCAGTCCATTTTTTGATGAAGTGGAGATTCAATTCCCATCATCCAACGCCACCAGCCTGAGAATCATCTCAAACGGCGCACCATCACATCCATTCGTAAATTCGCTCACCATCAATGGCGCGGATATACTCAGCCCTATTATTTCGCACAACCAATTACTCGACGGGGGCAGGTTTGAGTTCATAATGTCCAGCCGGCCACAGGCCTGGGGGAGTAGCACTTTGAACGATACGGTGGGTGACCAAAGTCCGTGCGCGATCTTTCTTGTTTATTAACGCAGTTAGCAATAGGATTTTACTAAGGAGCAAGACAATACCGCACAATATTACATGGCACACCTTGAGCTGCGTTGAGGGTATATATACATCTTTATTGCACTTCAACGAGTTGAGTCGTCTGATAGTCATTAATGACAAAGGGAAATTGTTCCGCTGGCGAGCCGCACCAGAGCCCCATGTATGATGTCGTTACAATTAAGCAGACAATTATGGAGGAATCGATTATGTCCACTCATCATAGCTTCAGAAGATCCA